AACACTGGCCCACCGACTCGACAACAGTGCGAATCGAGTGTGGGCACCCGTCACGTGTCTATGTTTATTAAACAGCGCAAAAATGATTTTTTGAACCATACTCGCCACTCGCCTCCCCCCTCCCCCGCCCCGCCCGTGGTAATAATGATCGTACGCGCAATGAAAATATGTCGACAATCGCCTTTGGCCGATCGAAAATTACAATACATCGGCCGTGCCGTCATAAAAACGGGCCGACGATGTAAACCTACCCACCCACCTACGCACACGTAGTCGGCACCCACATCGATGTATTCACTGTTCCAGGGGCTATAGTTTTCGGATATGTTCAACGGCTGTTAGTCAACGCATTGTTTTATGGGAAATTTACTTCGAACGAATCTCGGAGCATCGCATTGCACGAAACCGATACGCAAGCATGTCAATACGGAACTGGTTGGTCTACGGTCACGTACAGTTAACGCTTTGAAAACACGCACTTTAACAATAATAATATTAACGTCTATTGCATGCGACGCGGACTACGGGCAATCGAAATTTGAAGATCGCTCCGTACATAACATTACGTATATTGTTTTCCCACCCGTTTCTAATCTAACCACCCAACATCCATAGGCGTGGGGTGATCAAACGTGTCGGGGGGAGGGGGAGGGGAGGAGTTGGGTCGACCACCTGTTGTGACCAGACGTTACGATTTAGGCGGGACGGTGGTATACCTATCGATTTTCGAACGGGTGTCCCGTTACATTTTGAATGGACCGTCCCGCTGCTTTTGGCGTCCTGGGTTCGTTTTGTAATTTCCACGTACCTGGTCTCATTTACCGCATTTCAATAGCAAATATATGAATACGAAAAGTATAAAAACGTCCAATCACACATTTTTACATTAATGTTACTGTATCAGATTAACTGCACGAAATGCCCGTTAATATGCAGTAAATTTGACTGCACTATAAAAGTACATTTATCTGTTATCGGCAATCAATTATCGTTTTCATATTTTTCAATGGCAAACATCATATCTAAACAATTATCTGTTTTATTAGTAACCGTTTAATATTTTATGACTGTCCAAACAAAGTTATATATTTATTTCGAGATCTCGAGAAATAAAGAATTTTTTTTATTTTTTTTCTCGTTCGGTTTATTATCGACGGTTTTAATTTGTTCGGCTGATCTGACCAATCTGACCATAACCGTCCCATTTCCTCGCGACCTCGGCCGAACTCTGTGATCACGAGAGTATTATTTAGAGGGCTTGTGGGCTAAGCGCCCTGCCGTTATTACCGCGTTATACGTTCTGTGTCTATGTTCCGATTTTATAAAAAAAAAAAAAAAAAACATCTGGTCGCATTAATCTTGTTATATGCAATTTTCATGCGCACAATATCGGCTAAAATTGTAAAGCGGCTAATTATCCGTACCGGGGGATTAAGCCCCCCCCCTCAACCTACGCCTATGCACCTGTCATATATATATATATACATATTATTATAATGGATAATGTCGAATTGCACTCGGGCGAAAACAAAAAAATGATAACAACAGTCCAACCGCACTCGGATAAAAAACAGGTAACGGCCGAACTGCGGCGCCCGGGCGGGCGTCACAACGTAAATGTCCGATAAAAAATAAACTCGATCGGAAACTTTTTTCGACGCGGGTGTTGTAGCGCGGCCGTTTTGTGACAAAACGTGCAATTCGACCACATTCCTCCGATTACGACGGTATTCTTCGCCGTCATGCGTAACACGCGCGCGGGCTTTACGGGCGGTTACCGCGACTTCGAGTTTTGATGGCCCGTTGACGGTCAAGGGTTGCAATGCTGCAAACACGGTGGCGTCTTAATAATGTTGTTGTTGTTTTTCCCGTTCGCGGTATTATAGCCACGAACTCGATGAAACCGCCGGCGTTCGACATCGGTTACGGCGTTTACCGTTCGTTTTACTTCACGGAATACGTGCCGCCGCCGAAAACCAGTCAAACGTCCAAAGATCTCAATCATCAAGCGGACGGTGGCGAAGAACAGAGTAACGATTTTAAAAATAAATAAATACCTACCCAAGGAGAATAGAGGGGAAAAAAAAAAAAAAATCTCCCGTGTATCGCCTACCGGCGATGATAAGAATATTGTGCCGAAATATTTGAATTTTCCGTCGAGTGGTAGGTAAACGAAAACGTATAATGTAAAATATAATTCGAAATGTTTTGCGTTTCTACTTATACGTGTTTTTACGTACCGCGAATCAATAACAAGAAAAAAAAAAAAACCCCAGAGGGAAACTCGACTCGGTTTCTTGCGGACTCGACGGGCGACGGAAAATTCAAATAGGGTACCTGTAGCTTTGTCTCCAGAATAATTCTTATCTGTACACGGGACCCGTGGTGCGAAATAATTAAACACGCCTCAGCAAATTGCCGTGTTGCCGGCGCGTGTCCGACGGAAAATCACCGTTTTCGAATCCCCTTAATAAACACGCCCGCGCTGTGAAACGCGACGCGCCTGTACTTACACCCGCCTTTGTTTGCCCGCAGTTTCGCCGATATGGAAAATACCGGACGGCACGTTGCCCAGGATATGGTGGGCGTTTTCGCTGCCGGTGGCGTTGATGTTGTCGATGACCGTGCCGGACTGCAGGACGAGACGGAAGGTCTATCCGTTCACGTTCATCATGTGCATAATTTGGATAGGCATCAGTTCGTACATCGTGTCTTGGATGTTGTCCATATGCGGTGAGTACTGTACACGCGGCCCTTACGTATCAGACCTACAGAACCCGCGACCGAATAACGTGAGCCGCGTCTCGATAATGTTATCTGACGGTAGGAAAAAGTCACTCGGTAATTAAATCGATGGCACACAGTGACTAACGGGCCCCGTACACGGTCGGATTTTGCGAATGTCGAGTTTGGCATTCATCATGGTCGATCGCGAATGACAATCATTTGATGATTCTTCGGTTGGAAACAAATTTTGCCACCAATTAACCTATATCATAACCTATGGCACATTGTATAATCCACATTTTCCATACCGCATACAAATGGAATAGGCTTGCACAGTATAATATTATTCTATAATAGCGCCTATTATATTATAGTTCAAGTAGATATATTAATACTTCAAATAGCATTAATAGTATGTGTAGTTAAAATAAACATACATTATACAATATACATTTTTTGTGCAAATTTCAGGTTTTTATTAATATTTTAAACTGAATTAACACAAAAAAAAAAAAAAAAAATTAAAATACATTTCGTAAATTTTCCAGTTTATTTGTGTTTTTTTTCCCCAATTATTAGGAAAACCTTTTTTTTTTTTGATTATTGATTTATTGAATTATTGAAAAATCAAAAAAATCACTTCTTTAAAGTGTCACTAAAATAAAATTTAACTTCAGAAAAAGTGCTATACTTCAAAATCGGAGTTGTTGTTGATAAAAATAAAATTAACACCATTGTAAAACCAATTTATTCCTCGCTCACTCAAAATCTAAAATAATTTGATTGTAGTAGATCACATACTGAGGAATATCATGTAATATTCAACTCTGGGGGGAAATTGACTTATGTTATTTTTAAACTGGACGAATCGTTTAAATGCATGTGATAAAACGGGCCCACACATAACTAAATAATTTCAAACTTGTTAAGAAGTTGAACTTTAAAACCATAGTAAATTTCTGAAAAGAAAAATGAATAAATGATAATTTGTTTACCCATAGAATGTTCTAATAGAAGAGTACACTTCAAACTTACTTTCAGGAAAGTGTATGACGTTAAGTTGATTTATCGGCTATTATTATTATTATTATTTTTTTTTTTTGATAGGAGATACATTTCACATAAGTGACATAGTGATGGGTATAGCAGTTTTGGCGGCCGGTGGTAGCATACCCGAAGCGACTTCGGGCATTATAAACGCCCGAAATGGTAAAATAACTTACAATACCGAGTAATAAAAATATTGTTCCTACAATTTATACATTTTTTTATTGTTTACTATATAGGTGAAGGATCGATGAGTATCAGTAATGCATTGGGTGCCAACACACTGGACATATTATTGTGTTTAGGACTTCCGTGGTTCATTAAAAGTCTAATGCCTGCTTCCATGAACGGAGGTCCTGTTCAAATGGAAACTAACAATTTGTTCTTCAATTGCATATGCATGATCATCAGCGTGTTCATACTGAATATTGCAGCCGCTGCAAACGGATTCAAAATGTACAAGACATTTGGTTGTATATGCCTGATCGGTCATATAGTCATTATAACAGTTTTTGTATTGAACGGCTTAAACGTGAAAACCACGGATATTGGCCAATGCTAGTATAATCAAATATTATTATAGATATTATGTATTATGTTACATACATCGGTTGTCACTCTGTCATTGTTATCGAATCATTTGATATAAACTTTAGTTTTATAAGTAATTTAGTATTTTATTTGAGATTATATATTATAGTTAACTATAAATAATGTAGAAAATAATTTTGAACCAATGACACGTAGTGAACACTAGAGTATAAAGAAATGTAATTATTCAGAAAAAAAAAAAAATCACCTAAAAACGCATTGTTGTCATGCCAAACTGTTAAACTTCATTAAATATTATTTAAATAATAATAATACATTTTAAACAAAAATATTGAAACGTAAGTTAATTAAAAATCGTAGGTCCTATGGTACTTGTTTTATATTATTATTGAACCTTATAGATAAATTATTGTAGATTGTTGTTTTTATTTTTTAATAAACATTAATCATGATTTAATTTAAATATTATTAAATATAAAATGTTATGTTAAATAGCTATAAGACTGATGAATATATACATTAATAATATAAAATACCTAGTTAATTATAGCTGATAAATGACAACCGAAGTTCTAAACATATATATTGAATATTGATATTATGCGAATAGAAACTATAGGATCAAAATATACTATTATACTCATGTATGTAGTTAAACTTTATAAATTACTAAGAAATATTTAGATATTTGTCATTTTATTAAAATATGTGTATTTTGAAAATATTGATAATAAAATAACAAAAATGATATTATAGTAGTTATTTTAACAATTGTCACGAATCGGTCATATCGAAATGAATAACTCTTGAACTATCCCGGCAATGAGATATACCTTTGCTAATTTTTGTGGCCATGGCATCCATATTGAATTTTGATTCCAGTTCTGTAGATATTGTTGTTCCTGGAGATTCTTTATCAGTTGGCGGTCTTGTATAGTATAGTAATACACCACTAAAAATAAAATATAAAACAATTAATAATTTGTGGATTCAAAAAAAAAGAGCTCATACTACTAATAGGTGAGTTACTGTTGCAGATAGGAAGTTGGGAAAGTAGGATACATAACTATTTAATTTATATCTGTAAGCAACAATAAACCATTGCTAATGAAAAAGATTCTGAACAAAATTTAATTTTACATGTTTTGATGAAATGCCATAATTTTTTAAATTTTCATCAAAATTTGGTTTTAAAACAATGGATTACAAAAAAACAACTAAATTACACACAACTATTTTTCATCACTAGGGATAACTTATAATGAATCCAGTGTTAAATTTATATACATTTTTGTTTGGTTAAAGAATCTTATTCACATAGTACATAAGAAAAAAAAAACTATGTGAAAAATTAGAAAAATAAATAAATAGCTCAAAAACAAATTTTCAGAATATTAAGTTATATATATTTGTAACTATTAGAAAAAGCTAATATAAGTCTTGTCAAAATTTCAAGTTATTACATACATTTTTAACTGAACATAAAAACAAAAATAAAAATAATGGAACATTTATTTCTGTAAACTCTCTTTCCCGGTTTTGCTAAATTATTAACAAATATACAATGAGAATCAAAATTTCTGGTAAAAAACATAAATTGTACAATTTAAATAATAATAATAATTACATTGTACACTGTAAATTTGTTAGTTTTCAGTTAACATTTTTTCTAATTTATGAAGCAAGATTTCTGGTAGAAAATTTGCAGACACAAAAAAAAAAAAATAGTACAACCCAAAGATCCAACAGATTTAAAAATGAACATATTTGGTCAGGTTATAAATAAAATTTTGTATTTTTATAAACTAAAATTAATGTTCAACATTCAAAGAAATTTTTGTTGTTTCGTTTATAAAATAAATTTTGTTAACTTTTAAGGTAATACTAACATTTAAAATATTTTGTTTAAAGAGTGATTCAGTTAATTTTAAACAATTATTTTTACTTGTGTTTATATATCTAACAATTGTATTATTTAGATAATATTGCATTACTTCTGCAATATATTTGTCTTTTTAAACCAAATCTAAAACTGGTTTAATAAAATGTGTTCCAAATCACGCTCATCACATAGCAAGACTGTTACCTCTATTAATTTATGATCAGTTGTTTCAATTAGGTAAGACAGGGGAGTACTAATTTATGGCAAGTGTCTTGTTCTGCACTTTTTGTTAACTATAATACATTTTTAAAATGACTTATTTTCAATCTCTATTCTCTAACCAATATCTCATTCATTGTAAGAAAAAATGGAATAAGTTCATTTTAACACAACCTTCCAACTTGTCTATTGATCTTTAACCTGATATTGCTGCAAGAGTATTCTAAATGTCAACTTAAATCTCATTATACCAGAATAAATTTTCAGATAAAAGATATTGTAAAAACCATACAACAAACATCAAATAACTATAATTTCTAAAATAAAATTCAGTATTTGAAACACATATCCTATGATCCATCTTAAAAATTGTATAAAATGTTTTCTAGAGAAAAAATTATTTTTATTTTCTTTTATAATTATTGGGAATTATAATTTAATAAATACAAATATACTAAATATATAGTATAATATTTATAAAAAAAAAGTCTCTAGTTTTACTAAAGATAAATTTACTTTTTTAAATCCTTCATAAAGGATTTGGCTGCGTTTACTTGGTCAGGTTTTCCGCGCTTATTTATTAAACTATGTCTCTTAGCTTTCATTTCAAGCACATGCTTATAATCTTCAGTACTTTCTACAGTCATGTCATATAATAACTTCAACTAGAAAAAAAAAAAATGTTTATGTAACAGTTAAAGATTAATAATTATTATGCATAATTATATTAACAAACCTGATTTTTGTTTATATAAGGTAAAAATAAAGCACATATTTTAGTTGGAACTATGTTTTGAAGATCTACTAGTAATGCCTGTCTTAAAAGTAAACGATTATCACTAGGCTGCTTCAATATTGTTTGTACTCCAGTACATTTCCATGGTAATAATTCAATTTTCATGTTATTGAATGGATATACCCCAATTGATCTGAAAATAATTTATATTTATTATGAAATTATGGCATTGATAAAATGTTATTTCAATATTTACTGATTCTTTTTTGATGGAACGGGTTCATCACCAATTGTGTACTTCCATTTGATGGTATCTACAACACAAGATTTCCCTACTTTGGACATACCAACAACACCAACTGTAATACCCAATAGGGGTTCATCTATACAAGTTAGTAAATAATTCAATACAATATTTTCTCCAAAACATTTATTAGCAATTTTATTTTTTATTCTTTCGATAAATTTTGGATCTTTTGCACTGGTCTTTGGTGTATTTCTTACTTCACGACTGGCTCTGAATGGTACTGTTGGCGCTATCTTACTAAAATAATCTACCCAATCAGCTACAACTGATTTGGGTACTAAATCAATTTTATTTAACAAAATAATACGTTTTTTATTTGGATTTTCTGTTAAATAATCCTCTATTTCTTTAGAACGTGTTGCTAACGGATCGCGAACATCCAAAACTTCTAGAACTACATCACACATTGTGATTATCTGAAACAATAACAAAATTCTAAATACGAATTTAAAATGAAAAGGTAAAAACAAACATGGATATAATATTATTGGTATTTACTATTTAGAATAATATAATGAAAGTGGCAATAGAATTGTATTATGCTTTGGGATATTTTTTTTGTGTTGGTCAATATTATCCAATAAATAACATATTTTACTAATATTTTGATAACAAATTGATAAGTGGGCGGGTTTTTCATTAATATATTATGTTACAAGGACTATGATAGTGTTATCTGTATTTGGAAGTACGAAAAAAGATATGCATTGAGAAAATGATACCTTGTTGCAATTTTCTATAAGTATTTACTTAACTTCCAAATAAAGGGCCATCTGTGTTTGAAATTATCAAATTACATATTATTATATTATTTACTTCCTATTTAAGTTAATTTTTTTTACTGCAGATAAGTTTTTAACTAGAAGAATTGCCAATCATCATTTCTAAGGCAGTTTCAGGAAGCAATTTTGTTTAATTTATAGAGATATTTTTTTGATATTTCTTAATACTAGAAAAAACACCATTAAAATTATATGCATAAAAGGAATATATGCTAAGTTCAGTAAATTTAAATTTTTTTGTAATTCTGTGAAAAAAAAATTACCAAATCCTAAATTAATTACTGAATAATTGTATTAGTTTTCTAGATATAGGTTTTGAGTTATTTATTTATTTTATTAAAAATACAGACAGAAACCCAAAGTTATACCAATACAATAAAAGAAACTTTTGGTACAATATGCAATAATTCAAATAAACCAGGTTATAAAGATATTTAAAATGATTCATATTTTTTTTTTATGTTCAAGAGCGGCTTAATGATTATTAATGAATCAGAAAAAAAATATAAATATACACATTTATATATGTACATGGTATAACAGGATTATATAACAAACATATTAACTTTTTTTTTATTAAATATTTTTTTTAAAATTATTATAACACCTTAGCAATAAAAATCAAGATAGCTTTTTTATAAATCTAATTTTTAGAGAAATGTTGATATAAACAGATTTTACTAAACTAATTATTTTAAGTCATATGAAATATGACAATTTTCTAATGGTCCAATTTGATTTATCTATGAAATATTGTAAAATGTAATAATATTATCATAATAAATTTAATCTAAGTGGATAAATGTTTATCATTCTATCATTAGTCAAATTACCAAGAAATATATTTTTGAAAAATTCATTCCTAGATTACCAAAAAAAAAAAAAAATTAATTTTTATTTTTAGTTAAAGTACTGAAATAAAATACAGAAATTATAGAGCAGTTCTAGTTATTATTAAAACAAATAAAACGAAGTATTGAATAGAAAAAAGTTATTTCATTTGTTAAATATTGCTCTTATGTCTTACATAACAGATACAATAGTTTCTATTATTGGGAAAAATTCAATCAAAGTATAAATAGTGTAAATTGTAATCTAGTGGTGGTACATAACTGTTGTCATACATCGGTTAGATAATGATAAAAAATAAAATCCAGTGTACATAGTATTTTTTTGTACAAGTTTTAAAATCTAATTTCTACTTCAAATTTCTGAAAAACATAATAATTGTATTTTATCAGGTGTAGATAATTGATAATTTTTTTCCAATGATTTATTGACCAGTATATAAACTAAATTACGCTATAGGAAGACGTGTGTCCTTCCTTCCCAACTTCTTAGCTACAATAATGGCTTACTTATGAGCAGTATCTTACCCTTTTATAGTTGTGTTCTGGGTATCGATCATCTCTAGTCTCTTTTAAAAGCCATGTTTTTCTAAATGGCAATTTTTCTGATTCTGTACTTTTTTTAGTTTCATCATTCTTTTGGGTTTCCATGGCTTCAATATTTAACATACGTATCTCTCGCTCCTTTCTTTTAGCTTCATTAAGTTGTTCAATTATTTCTCCTTTGAATGGACATAAGTTTGGAGCGATAATCATACTATTTTTGGTCTCTAAAAATTATAAATAACACATTTTATATGTAAAGTACTTTTTAAACAATTACTCTTATTCAATTAAAATATACAAAAATATTAATATATATATATACTAACAAGTAAATCATTTTTAATATGAATCAAGGTCAAGTCTTCTTAATTTAAAATTTAAACCAAGACTCTAATATGATTTGCACATAAATTAGTATACAAGTTGTAGATATTAGATAGTATAACATATTCAAAGTAAAAATGAATAATATGACGTAAATCATTAGTGCTTAATATAACCTAATACCTGGTAGCATTAAAAAATATACACGCCACTTACTGTTTATTTATATTAATATGATAAAATTGTTAACATATTATTTTAGAAATTTGAAAAAGTTTATTGTAACCATAGTTTTAACATTTATTTATTTATTAATAAGTGTTTTATAAACATATACATATATATATATAACTTGTTATATTTATTATTATTATCTTATAATATACTTGTATATCTGTATTAATACAATTTATGTAAACATATTTTTCTGTTTATTATCAGTCATGTACTTACTACATTGTGTGGCCCATATTTGGACAGTGGAAAATAATTCTATAGTTAGTCTTTTTTTTTTTTCTTTCCATTTCATATAAATTTGAATTGTTAAGATTTATATAACATATGTGTTATAGCAATAAAGAAGAAAATCTCCACTTTCACAGGTTTGTACTTAGAATTAGCATTAAATACATAATGTTTATTCCTCTTTTTATAAATTTATAATTTATATCTATATATTAATAATCTATATTTCTATAAATCTATTTAAAATCAGAGAGTGCATTTAAGGAGCGGCTTATATTAAAACAGATTATACTTGGTTGTTCAATAATAATAAATTCAAAATATTTAAACATATAACTTTAAAATCAAAATAAATCTAATAATAAACTATACTTTTTTTTATCTGTAAACAACTTTTCTACCAGAAATCTTGCTCTGATTTTCTAACGTAGTACTTTTTCTGAAAGGAAATGTTATCTGGGTGGTATTAAAAGTATAAAGTCATTTTTTAGTTTTACATGAGGTTTTTATAATAATTGGGGTAAAGGGACAATTTACCTACATATACATAAGTAACTTAAAACTGAAATACATTTAAAAAAACAAAATTTAAAATAATGAATTATTTTCATGCATTTAACCCATTCTTTTCTACGTATTTTTTGGTTTTATTCATTTATTTAAAAAATTACAAAGAAAATAAAAAAAATTCTTTCATGGTCACGAACTAGATTAAAAATTCAACAAGATTTCTTGATTTTTTTCTACTGGAGCAATTTTTATGGTAGAAAACATAAACCATACAAATTTAAAATTAGTTTTTTGTTTTTTCCAATAAAATTGATCTCTTGTCATTTGTATCAGAGCAATATTTCTTGTAAAAAACATTGTACAAACATAATTAAAATAATGAAAATGGTAACGCCGTTACACCTATAATTTTCTTCTAGTTTCTCCTAATTTTTTTCGAAAAACCCCTTGGAAAATCAAAAAATGACTTCCCCAATACATCAACAAGAGAAAATTACGTTTCAGGAATGGTGCTATAGTCTATATTTGGGAACAAGTTTTCTGGCAGAAAACTTTATTACTTTGTAAAAATAATGCAATTTGTTCACGTTTATTAATTGATGGGTAGGTACATTTTTTACACTAAACTTTACATTCACAAAAAATCAAAACAAATCTTAAATCTATGAGCAGCTATAATATATAGTAGTATAATAATAATCTAGAAATAAAAATTTGAAACCACAGATTATTATACATGTACTATTAATTCACTTTATTTACTGTATAATAGTTTGTACTTCTTTTGATAATAGGTAAGTAGGTACTTACTCTTTTTGGGCTTTTTCTTGGCATCTCTTCTTAGCTTGCGGTTGTGATCTCGTACTTTTGCCGCTACCTTGTACTTGGTCCGGCATTTCAAACGTTTAGACTGTTTCCCTGCAAATACGATTTAATATAATAATTAAAGTTATCACAAATATAAGTATTGTAGAAAACAAAAATATGAGATGACAGAAAATCTTTGTAACGTTTGAGAAGACACTTACTCTTTTTTGGCAAAGCCATTATACTTTAGGACCTTAAGATTGCAAACACGAAAATTTACTCCACACGAGTAAATACAAAATAATACCGATTTATATATTTTGAAAAATGATACACGATTCGTGTATCACGAAAGACAGACCACGGTGCACGTTACTTGTGAATTAGTAAACTTAACCTCAAAAACGATATTCATGGGTGAATGAGTCCATAAGAAGCTGTCGTCCAAAAATGATTAAACAAAGAACGATAAGGATAAATGATAAAGATCTGAAAGCATGATATTTCTAAACCTAAATTTAAACTTTTGTAATAACTTTTGTAACTTTTACTGCTATATTAAATTGTAAAATTATTTTGTGTGTGGTAAATTAATTGATAGATGAAGTGATTAACTAATAAATTAAAAACCCAGATTTGTTATGAAAAATCACGTCGGATAGGATTTTATTTTGTGATTACTACACGTCTACACTGTTACTGAAATTTTTCCATTTTTCAACTTCTTATCTCTTATCAATGGACCACTTGCACCAATGTGTATTATTTTTCAACTATTGTTGTTCGGTAGTTGGTTTCTTTGGTAAAAACGGCAATGCGATTCCTCGAAATACCAGCTGATCGGACGTAAACAAAAGGACCGTGCGGCGATTGGACAGTTGGCGTCATATGTTTTTTGAACTCTTCTCCTTACCCCATCACCCCGACGAGCAAAATGAGGACACGGCACTACGGCAGTATTACAACATACACACATACACACACGCAAATCTAATATTATATTTAAATTACACACGATTAATAGACTATATAGTGTATTAGTGTATAACATATATTTCATATATATATATATATATACGTTATACATCCGTAATCCGTATACACGGCATAGACACAATATAATTTTGTTTTTTTTTTCTCCGTACGCTGGCAATAGCCGCAGAACGACTCCTAAATAATATTGCATTATACTAAATTTTTGTTGGTTTTTTTTTTCTTTCGAACACCTAGAAGAACATACGCGTGCGTTCCGTACTATCGTTACGATTTTTTTTCTACCGTTTCCGGATTATAATATTATTCAGGTACGGCTCGTTTATTTACCGTGTGTTTACACACACATTGCGCTGCGCGTACGCGCACACACAACAAACACGCGATCGCGTGTGCACACAAGACGGCAACGACGACGACCTCAACAACAACAATAACATTACGGGCGACATACCGACCGCTGTAGTTGTAATTGTTTAGGCGGCGAATACGAGGGACTTTACCATAGATTTACCGAATCTAGCGGAAAGTAACGTGAAATCAAAAATAATATCTATGTCCCGCGGTCGGCGCGCGTTTAATAATAAGTTATAGCGCGTCGTACGAGTGCCGCGGCACGTTTCGTTTTCGGGGTTTCGGTTAGCGGCAGCAGCGACCACCCCGCTACTTACCCCTGTCCGTAGGTCGCTGACGAAATACCCACAGAATCGCTGCGAGCCGAGCTGCTGCTGCAGCTGGCGCTGTTTCAGTGGCTGTGCCTTGCGCGTTTTATAGGTTATGTTTGCTTTGTTGTCACTCGATATTTTTGTGTGTATTATTATTTTTCTACTGTACCTACCTACTGCTCCGCCGCCGTAGTCTCGTATTATTATACCTGTATGTGTGTTTTTGAATGCCCAGCACAGCGATCGTTTTTCCGAGTGTCTCTCGTACACTACTCGTCATCTCGTGGATTTTTTCCGAGTCGTCCGCCGCCACCGTCGTTGTCGCCGTTAGTTTTGCCGCACACTCGAAGAAAAGGTTAGATTTGTCCGACGTTTTTTCCACACACCGTTGCTTTTCGTATCGAATTCATTTGCTCCCCAACCCCGTTTACCTGATATTTTCGAAATTTTTCTTAATACACACCACTCGACTTGTGTCCCTTTGTACATTTTATGAAAACGATCAACAGGTTCAGTGTGTGTGTGTGTATGCGTGTGTGTGTGTGTGCGTTTTTTGTGTTTGTAACTCGCAATTAATAGTCAAATCCCTATTGTTATTTTTTTTTTTTTTGTTCCAGCGTTTAACGTTCATACTACTTTTTTTTTTAAAAAAAAAAAAAGGTGAAATCATGACGGACTCCATAAAGTTTGGCCCAGAGTGGTAAGCACGTCTTGGTTTTATATATATACTCTTAAATACCTATGTGGGTTTATTGGTTTATTATAATATTAGGTAGGCCTTTGTTTATTTATTTTATTTTGGTAGGTACTTGACATCATCATTGCCAATATTTTATTAACTACACATGACATTTCAATATTTCTACTGCATGATAAAATGCACGGGTCGTTCGATTTTTTTAATGTTAATGATAACCACTTAATAATGATATTAAATATTTTCTAACTTAATATATTATGTTTTAAATAATTTTAGTTTTGCTTTAACTTTTACTGTAGGTATATAAGCAAACATGGTTCCCATGCTTGTTTGTTAAATTGCATTTTTTTTTGAAATGTTAAATTGTATTGTTTTATAGAACCTATAGCTTATTTGATAAATTGTTTCAACAATTATCACACAAATAAAAATTCACATAACATTTTTTATTTTTGTTACAAAATTTAGTCTAAGCAAATGGGTACTATTAACTTATATTATACATTCATACACAAAATTGTCTATCCAATATTTGTATAGAATTATTATACAATAAATAAACATGTATATTATTTATATCCTCAAGGCTAATAAAATTAGTTCAATAAAATTCAAAATTTTATTATTAATTTTGGTTTTATAAAACAAGAAGTATTAGATTGTATTTTTATAATTTAATACAAATTTTAATAATATGCACTAAGGCACTTTTATAAAATTCTCAAAGAAAAAAAAAGCAACGAAAATAATGATAAACTCATTAGTGTGAGGTATATGTAGTTTACATTATTGTATTTTATTGTGAACCTATATTAATGAATAGGTATTATTATCATTTCGTATTTTTAATTTTATTAAAACACAAGTTTTTGTAGTTTTGTAGATACAGTGTCAGTAATATTATCTCCTATTTTTACCTATTGTTATAAAAACTTAAACCTTATCATAAAATATTCTAGGTACCTACTTGACCTTTTATCAAATTATTGAGCCTTTTTATGGAGCCAAAATATTAAATAACAATTTAAAAATATTCTTCGCAGAATGGGTGGGCCATTAGGTGAGAAGTTGGTATGGTAGAGGGAAAATTGAATGTGTATCTGTACGTAAAGAATAATCATCTCTAATGAAAAACAATTCTGGGCGGAGTTTGGTTATACATGTTTCGATAGGCTGTAATATTTACGATTTTATTACGATTATATATAATTATTTAACTATATAAATACATATTACGTAATATTTGAAAATAATACATTTTCCCTTTTACCTCCAGTCTTTCCCATTTATTACAAAAAAACCTGAGAAAATCAAAAACTGACCTTCCTGAAGTACAATCAAATTTGCATTCTTAAAATGTGCTACACTTGAAAATTGGAGCAAAATGTCTGGTAGAAAAGTTGTCAGAAAAAAATAAATGTCATTCTAAAACCAATACATGGTTAGTTCGCTTAGAATCTAAAAGCAATTCAGATTTTTACGGAAACCAATATTGAGTAATAATCCCGGTTTTTCGACTTTGTTTTCTCCATTATAAGGAACAACACTACAAGGTAAATCCTTAATGTGCCATCTAGACAAAACAGAAACAATGCCTTTTGTTAACCATTAGATCAAATATTCTGGTAAAAAAACATGTACTCATAGTTAATAATATAAAAATAATTTAACTAATAGGTACATTACTTAGTTTGCTCAAAATTTGAATAGTTGAAATGTACAGTAGGTTAAATAAAATAAACAATTTTTTTCAATTTAGGTAGTATCTATCTTAATGTAGTCATCTAGTTGATATTATGCGTTTGATAAATCATACTTTGTTATTTATTACAGGTATATTAAATTTATTAAATGCTAAAATTAATTAAATTTTAGCACTTGTTGATTTAAAATGCTCTAGGGAAAAATAATGTTTAGATCATCTATGATAGCCATTTAAATTTGTTAAACATTGTTTTATGTGAAATGTATACAATAGGTTGAGGAACATGTCTCAAGGCATATCCAAACCACAACTTGCTGAACATAGATATGGGCGAGAAGAGATGTTGGCCTTATTTGATATTTCTTCGTGCAATGTACCGCCAGAATCGCTTAAAGAATTATCCATGGCGTATAGCGATAAGCCTCAAACACCATTGTCTTTACAACAAATGTCTGAAGAAGAAACTGTAGGTTTATATATATATATCTATACATCTAAATGTAATGTGTTTCAATTTATAAAGTTATTCAAATTCATCATATTATTTTAGAGACTTTGGAATCGAGGTATAAATAGTGACACAATTGTCAGGGCATCTGTACGCCCGACTGGTGCCAGAAGTACTGCTAACATTGAAGTCCGTGGTGCTAGTACCAGTGCCAGGGGAAGAGGTGGCCGTGGTGGTTATTATTATAATACTACACGGCCAGGCTATGAAGAAGGCCCTGAAGGTGGAGGTTCGCCAATGAACCGAGGTCCACACAGACCATTCGAACGTCTGAATTCGGTAAAAATTATACTTATAATTTAAATTATGAGATTATATATATTCTTGTTATCCTGGATGTAGACTAGACTACTTAATTGTCATTCCTGATACTGGGATTACTTACTATATTTTTGGAGAGTTATTTGGAAATATTTGATGTGTATATATTAATAAAGTTGATTTCCTATATAAATTGTTTAAAACTTTGACATGGTCCATTATATTTTTCAGTTTTCCCAATAAATCACTTAATAATATATGTGTGTATTGAAACTTGTATAAGGGTTAAAGAAATTGTTTTGTAAATTTGCCTTATAAACTGGCACAGTATATAAAATGTTGATAATGTACCCATGGACCGGTTTTTTGTTGCAGACTAGTAAATATTTCAATATTTAATGAATGAAAAACTGGGTAAAAATAAATTTTACACATATATAAGTTAAAGATAAGTAGTTTAACCCCTAAAAAGGTAATCCCATTAACAGGAATGATACACTCTTAGTCCTGATAATAGTGCCTAATATAAATATTGAACCTACATATAATGATAATATTAATTAGATTTATTAAATACTAATAAGTAATTTATTTTATAGAATGAAAGAAATATGAGTCGTAATGGCGAGTATACAAATGATTGGAGAGGAAGAGACGAAACCAATTGGTGGAGGAAAAATAGGGGTGGTTCACAACAAGGACAATCTGAAGAATCAAACAGTCGTTGGGGAAGAACTCGTTCAGATTCTTATAACAATGATAGATGGCCTGCGGGACGACCATCATCAAGGTATGAAGAAGATGAAGGATGGGATAATCGTGGTGAATCAAGGTGGTCTAATAATTCTAATACTAATGAACGACGAAGACTTGATTGGGGAGATAATTTGCCTGAATGGTATTTTACTTGTTACTTAATAAAATAACTCTTCATTCATGTATTTAAATATTTTAGGGCTGTAGATAATCCTGGTGAAAAAGGCGGAAGTTTTGATTCATCTGGTGCTTTCCACGATAATCATTATGAAGATCATCGTTATAGTATGGGAGATGAACAGTCAGGAGAGGTACGATCGTTAAATCAAATTTAATGAATATAATACTAGTATTTTAATAATATAAATTATTGGTAATAATACATTTTAATATTAGAAGGAACAAGAATACGAAGAAGAAATTCATAATGATACTAGTGTTAATAATTTAGAAAGCTCAACTGTGTCACCAACTAAAGATAAACAGTTAAATGGTAGCCAAGAAAAAGAAGGTATGCATCAAATATATATTATATATAAATATATATAATATATTAAATATTTTTATTTGATTAAATATTAATTAAACAATTTGAATAATATACAACTTTTAATTTAATATAATTAAAATCAAACTTATACATTTAGTAAATGACCAAAATTCCATGAAAAATAAGATAGGTATGATCACATTAATATGTATTCACATTTTGATCTAGCTCACCTTGCATATTATTGTTTTTTTTATCATTTTTATTGCTTATGATAATTTTCGCACTTATATAAAATTATTAATTAATGTTCAACTTTGATTTGCCTTCATCCTAACTATTTGGAGTTAGCTACACTTCAACTTGGTCCATTACCCAACATCCTTGCATACACTAGTCATTCTCATATTATTCTCTATATCCCCTTCTTTTTTGGTATTCCTCTTCCCCTTTATTTTCCTACATTTATTTGCATAACATGCACAAAACATCTCTGTGAGGTACTACAGACAAAAGTAATATAATGGGGGTTATGCCAACTTTTAAATGCATTTCATATGTGTTTAAACAACTTTTAAAGACTGTAATTCTATAATTGGTGTCATTTAGAAAATAAAAAAAATTAACTATTTAAATAACATTTGTTAAACTAGAATCTGCATTGATGACTGAAGTTAATAAATTAATTATAAATGAATTCTACTGTTAATTTTTTTTTTTTTTTTTACCTATATTTGTTATATTATAGTTAACAATTCAAGTTATATGATTAACACTGGAATAGTATTATATTAAACGATAAATTAAATAATTTCAAATATGAAAAATAAAAATAAATATTAAAATCGAATGAACCCTATGAAATTCAAGTCTATTCCTCTTATTGTTATTTTTTTGCTATACTTCAATATTTTCTACATTGATCGAAATTTCAAATTTGTGTATTACTGTTTGAATCCTTGTGTTATGAATAAGTATATAATACTAGTTATATCATGTATAATGGTAGCAACTAATGAAAACCAAATTCATTCTGAACTTTTCAAAAAATGAATGATAATTTAAAAATATACGTATTACTTAGGTATTTGGAGGATAGTTATTTTTCCCTTTGGACCTTTGTTTTTAAAGGTTTTGTAAGATAGTAAATTATAATTCTCTATTTATATTTAATTTATGTGAATTTAAATGTCTAGAACGATTATATAGCATCATTAAAATATGCTGGTGTAAAACTTGTTTTTAGTCCACATATATGTGTGTTAATAATTTTGTATAAGTAATATTTTTAAATGTTTTACATAACAAATTTTAACAAAACCCTTATAATAATTCTAGAAATTTAAATTTTTGGAGATAGGTATATCTTTATTTATTAAACTGTTTGTTAGTTCAAATTATATAACTAATAGTGGCAACACTGGTAGATTGTAATTTTGAATCTAATTGTTTAACTAATCTTATGTTGATTATTGTTTAGAAATTGTGTCATCGTCAATATCCACTTCGCCAACACAGAATGAAGAAGTAATAACTTCCCCTGACCAGTTTATATCTATGAGACAACAACATCAACATAACATTAATACCCAAACTCAAGATACATTTACACCCAATGAACAAGTAATTGTAAACCACCCTGAACCCATAAGAATACATCAAGTTACAGATAATCCAGTCGGTCACAGTAAAAGCAGTCCAGCGATTCCACTTATGTCTGACTGCCAACCAAATAATATGGAAAATATTCAAAATATAAGAGAGATATCTGGCATGCCAAATCATGTAGACAATGCTAATATTAATTCTATCAATCGATCAACAAGTTAGTTAATATTTTTTAACAAAATTAAGCAGCTCATTAAAATACAAAACCTTAAAAAATAAAAGTGCTGATCTGATGGGTATGCTATTGTTATTGGTGGGAAGGTAGGATACTTACTGTAAATTAAATTAATGTTAACAATACAATCCTGAGTGAATTTCTGTTTTATACAATTTTTATCAAAATTTACTTAAACAACTTAGAAAAAAATAATGATAAACGCATTACACCCAATTATTATTTTTTTTTTTCGCTACTCAGTACAAAGTATCTCGTGTTAATCATTGCTTTTTAGCCAAACAATTTTATTTTTATAAATCAAATAGAAACTTTTAAATAAAAAATACTTGATAGCTTGAAAATCCCAGATTTTTTTTAACATTTTATCACGTCTAGAAAGGCCAATATAAGTATTCTGTAAAAATTTCAGGTCTACAGTTACTTTTAACCGAATTGCAACAAAAACAAAATTGAAAAATAATGAAACAGTTTTTCTATTAAGAAAATGGTATGGAAAATCATTTTTTTAAGCGCCAACTAGACAAAAAAAATTTTCAGAAAAGATGCTACACTTGAAATTCGGAGCCAGATTTCTGGTAAAAGAATAATATCGAAAAAAATGAAACTTCATTATTAGCAATAATAATGCATTATAATTCATAAATCTACAAGATTTTTTTGTTATTTGATTGGAGCAAGATTTCGAGTAGACTTCGCAGGCACACATAGTAAAGTCCATACATTTCTTACTGCATTCAGAATCTAAAAGATATACATCATCATAATGAAACCTATTTCATCTTATTAAAACAAAATTTAACCTATATTGGTTTTTGTTGTATAATTCATATTTGTCATCATTATGGAAGAACTATTAAGTAGAATTGGGATGACTTGCATCTAGGGCACACCTATTCGTAACTACAAATATTGAATAATTGAATACTTAGTAATAGTTAATGATAATTCATTTTGAGATTAAAATATTTAGGTTTGAATGCTAATGCTAATCATCGAATTGATACATTGGATGCGGAAGCAGAATCAATGGTATCCAGATTGACCAGTGACAATTTCAAAATTGGGCCATCATCACATACACCATTAACACCAATAGTTAATAATAAATGGTATTATAGGGATCCTCAAGGCGAAGTTCAAGGTAAATTAATGTTATTAAATTTAGATTATCTGAGAAAACGTTTGATTTCTTAGGTCCTTTCACGACTACTGAGATGGCAGAATGGTATAGTTTAGGATACTTCCACGACAACATGTTAATGGTGAAGAGAGAATGTGATGAACATTTCTATTCTTTGGGTGATCTTGTGCGTTTAAAAGGAAATGTTCCTTTTTCTGACATTCCATTTTCGGTATTTATTCTATGAGGTTTATTTTTATAAATGGTTTTTTATACTTGAAAAAATAATCTTGAATATTATTATTTTAGGAACGAGATGTGAAAATAACTACTCGAATAGGAGTACAGCCTCCTCTAACCCATAACCCTTTTAATTTAAATGAAACAATAGTTCTTCATCAGCAACAACATTATCAATACAGGCAACTATTATTAAAGTAAATTTAAAATTATTTGAAGATTATTCCTTATATTTAATTAAAATAAAACTTGATTTCTATAAACCATGTAGTCTTAAACATATATATATATATATATGTGTGTGTGTGTTATAAAAGTTCAAATATTTTTTTTAGTCAAAGAGAACTAGCTATTCAAAATGCAGTTCATCAATTGTCCCAATCAGAGAGGTGGAATACTTTATCACCAATTGAACAACAACAGGTAATACTAGTTTTAACAAATAAATATTACTATAATATTTATTTTATATAACATGGCTTTGTTTTATTTTTAGATGATAATGCACCAAATTCGAAATGTTGAAGCAAATACAACAATTCCCCCTTTTTTCTCTGCTCCACTTCTACCTCAGCCACAACCGACCATGCACCCAATGAATCAACCATCTAATAATTTAATGGTGATGTTATCTCATATGCAACAACAACAACAACATTTTAATCACGTAAATTAAAAATTGATGTTATTATATAAAAAAAAAAAGTAAATTAAAATTGTTAAAATTTTCAGCCAATTGATCCTAAACATAATGTACACGTTGTACCACCATCTCAACCAATGGCTCAACAACTGGATCCTCTTCACTCATTAGTACACAGTATGGGAGGTTTAAAAACTGCCACTCCACCACCAATGAATACACCTCACCATCATCAAAATTCCAATGTAATAAGACCTAATAGTGCTCAGTCAGAAAGCAATCCTATATCAGATCTTTTAAGGCAATTGGGTGCACCTCAAGATAAACCTCTTAAAGTAAGTTTATTTTATTCCTAATGAAAATTGAAAATCTGTATTAAGTTAGATTAATCATCAGGTAGCTGAAACTAGTGTTTGGGGGGTTGACTTTGCTGGTCCAGACAGTAAGCCGAAAATGAATGGTCCAATTGGAATAACTGGTTGGCAAACTGGTTCTACAGGTGACATAACTCAACAAACACCAAGTGTTATATGGGGATCTGGAGAGTATACTAAAATTATTGGTGCTGATCATCAAGCCATTGTTAGTAATATGAAATTGTTTAATATATTTTTTTTAAATTTAATTCTCATTAAAAATTGATAATATTTATTGTTTTTATGTTGAATTATTATTCTTTTTTTTTTCTTTTTATATATATATATATAGGAAGAGGCAATTAAAGAAGAAGCAAGACGGAGTGAAGAAGCCAGAAAACAGGAAATAATGTATTGCATGTTAATATATTTATAAAACTATGCATTAAAGGAATTTATTTTAATTTATAGTTTACAAAAAGAACAAATACGAAAAAGGGAAGAAGAAAAGTCTAAAATCCAAAATGAGTTGAAAAAAAAACAAGAACTGGAAAAAGCAAAATTGGAAGAAGAAAAAAAGAAGGTTTAATATTATATTAATAAACTATTTTTTTATTTTTTAAGAAATATCAAGATTAATTTACCTACAAATTTGTATATAATTTCAGGAAGAAATTCGTAGAAATAAAGAGCACGAAAAAAGATTAAAAGAAGAAGCAGAAAAGAAAAAAATTGAAAAAAAGAAACTAGAAGAAGAACAGGCGAAAAAACGTTTACTTGAAAAGAAGTTAAAAGAGGAGAAAGAAAAAAGACTGCAAGAAGAAAAAAGGAAAGAAGAAGAGGAAAAGAAAAGGTTAGTTATACAATGATTTTATACAATTTTATTGGTTATAAACAGGGCTCGTAATTGGCAAATGTTATAAAATCCGAGCTTTGGTTATGAAAAATGTTAAATTTTAATTTCTATTTATGTGTACATACAGGGTGATCAATTTAATAATAAAAATATTCCACTTTTAAGTTTGGTGGTTGAGTAAGAGTAGTAGTGCATTATTATTTATTAGAGTGCTGTGCACCGTTTTAATGATGGTCCATTACTCTCTCTCAAACCCAAATTTAAAAGTAGAATTTCTTGTCAATTGATTGTCAGAAATTAAAAATTTCAACACCAAAAATTTATTTTAATTAATACTCCATCTATGGAATTCTTAATACAGATTGACGTTTGAAAATCAAATGTAGGTACTGGTTTTAACCACAAAAAATAACATAAATGTATAATTGTAAAGTACAATCTATAAAACAAATTCTGCAAAAAAAAAAAAACTTTCTGAGATGAGTCGTCTTGCGATAACTTGATCATTCTGTATAAGACTACAAAGAAAATTAGATGTTAAAATTTAACCAAGGTTTGAAGTTTAACAATGCGTGGAGACAGATAAAAAATACAGTCTTGAAAACTTTATATCCAAAATACATATTTAGCAGACTTTATAAGAAGATATTGGTGAGAGGTGTTTTGGGGAATCATTGTGAGCTAATAATTAAAGTAATAATGCAAAACCCAAATGGTAAATGATTTGGAAAAATAAAGAATTAAATGGGAAAACTAATAAAAAAAAAGTTGTTGGTAGTTCAAATTGGAAAGAAAATGCAACATATGGAGAAGGGTGCTTAGAGGCCATGAATAGATTCTCCCAGTTTAAGTTAATACATATTTTCTATCTTTAAGTACTATGATTATCTATAGTTAATCTATGTATTGAATATATTATAAAAAGGAACTTTCTTACCTTTGACAATTAAATAAAATATTATTAATACCCATTTTTTTTTTCATTTGTGGACCAAATTAGTAACTCATTAATATAAAAAAATTAATTTTCTAATAAATAAATAAATTAATTTTCTAGTATTATTATATTTAAAAATTCAAGTTTTATTCATTCTTTAGGAATTGAATGTACCTTAAATCAAATTCCTTATTTTTGAAATCCCCTATGTACAGATGAGATGATTAAGATAATCAATAAAAAGGGTTATTAGTGGGTTCCAGCGGTAAAGAACATTTCAAGGTCATATTAAAGAGTCAAGAATACCAGTTAATAATGGGATTCTTATTGTAAACAAACTTTCTACTATAATTAAATACAAAATAGTCGATTTGGTTTTTTATTTTTTTTTTATGTGTAGGTGGTTTCTGATATCAGCAATTTAATTATGAGTGAAAATATACTCTACCTTACAGTAAGTCTCATTTAAATTGGTTCATCTGTTTCCGAAATTAGTGGGGATATGTAGACAGGCAGACACTTACATTTTATTTTTATGAATATAATTTTATTATATATAGTTTAAAAAAAAATATATATATATATATATGTGTAATATATGATTTATACTGTTACGTACGCCTTTTATTAACTCAGTTTCAGTTTGCAGTCAGAAATTATACACAATAATTTCACAATTATATTTTACACTCACACTTAAAAAGTGACACAACTCTAAAAATGTGATTTTCCATTTTATCATGACATATGTTAAATAAATATCATAATTGTATAGTAAAAAAAACATCTAAAGTCTATTCCTATTTTTTCAGTAATAGATAGCACAAATGTTACTTTTTTATAAATTACATTTTACTGAAAAAATATTACCAAAAGTGTCATATCTCAGTTACAGACTGTTAAATTAAACAGGAAAATTAAAAGGAACTCTATAATGAGCCCTCTAGTACATAGGTTTCCTTATGTGTGGGTTATGGTATATTTTTAAATAATACATTTTTAAAATGATGAGTGAAGCAAGGAATGTATTGGTTTTACAATGATGTTTATTTTTTAATTTTTTTTTTATATTCATAGATAACTTTTCTGCCGGAAATCTTGCTCCATTTTACAAGCACTTTTTCTGAAAAGAAATTGAACTGGGGAGGTACTTTACAAAAGTCATTTTTTGATTTTCCCAAGAGTTTTCCTACCAACAAGTTGGATCTATACTTGCAAATAAGAGTATGTGACAGAATAAACTTCATGAATCATTCAGAAATGAAAAATAAATTTCAAAAAAGGGCCATTTATATTATTGTGGGACGCCAAAATTTAAATTATTTCTAACATGAGTTGAACCAAAAAAAGTTTGGGGACCTCTGCTCTAGCAGATTTAAAGCATGTTATAGGGCGCCTTTAAAAATAAAATAAAATAAATTTCTGGACATTAGTAAAAAAACAACCATATTCCGCAGTTAAGTTTTATAATAATTTACATTAACACTAGGTATTATATACATTTACTATTTATCACTATTCTCACTTTTTATCATTTATTTCATTGATTCTCCAAAAAAACTCACTTTTCTCACTTTTTCAAAGTTCTTTAAATATAAATTAATTATTCCCAATTTTCATAATCAATTTTTACTAATAGTTTTATTTACTTAACTAATAACTATATTTTTTATTTATTAGAAAATCAATTCAAAATTTTTTCCAAGAAAAAAACCGGATCATGAAATATAAATAATATTTTAGTATCATTATGAATACCTATGGCTATAAAGTATTATTATTATAATGATAACAAATTGACTTCTTGAAAAATTTAAATTAGGTACCATAATTTAAAACTAAAACATTTATTTGGGTAACCAAACTTGTTTTATCATATGTAATATTATGTATAGTATATTGTATTATTAATTATTTTAAATACATTTTTTTTAAATATAATTATTACATTTGTTGGGTTAAATTTTATTTATATTATAATATACCTACTGTTGTAAATATTAAGAAGAATTGTCTTATTAATGTTATTTTATAACTTGTATAACTATGGAATAAACAATTTTAAAAAACAAGTGAAAGTATTAAAAATTGTGTATTATTTTATATTTTGATTAAAAAAATTCACTTCAATGAAAATAATACTCATATTTAATAGAAAATTACTCATTCAATTGAAACTTAAAAATTAGTAGCAACCCTGGTTAATATGCACTACCTAAATTTAACCCAGACTTAGATTACATTAATATTGAAAACAGCGTTCCTTTATCTCACTAAGTCATGTTATTTTATTATTAACTGCAAGTTAAATTTATAAATTTTGTTTTAAATAATTGTATAAAGTTTAATCTTCATGAAATTGTATTATATTTAATGAAGGCAATAAAGATTCAATTTTAATTTAAAATAATTGTCTTTCCTTAAAATAAATAGTTGTAACAATTATAATGTAAATTATTACATTTAAAACGCCACACACAAAACTTTATAAAAAAAACGACAAATTAAAATAAATAAAAAATTTACAAACTCAACAATTCTAGAAATAAGATAAAACAGTGAGTTTAGTGAAAAAACCAAATAAATTGATCAATTAATGAAGTTATTACAAAATGTACTTTTTTAATTAACTTTATTGAAAAATCACATTTTTTGAGTTGTATCACTTTTTAAGTGGGAGTGTGATAAATTAATTTGTTGAAAAATAATTACTTTTTAATTTATTTTTACAATTTAATTGGTGTGAAGGTGCTCACATTAGATAAATCAAGACTTGTCTGAAAATGTTTTCTCGGTACGTATACTCTGGGCCCCCCAGCTAGATGTACTAGATGCGCTTTTTGCATAATAACATGTTCATCTGGTCAATAATGTTCCTACTATAGGGCTCACACCTGTGTGTGTGTGTGTGTGTGTCTGTGTGTGTGTATATATATATGTTATAACTATTTTATTTATGATCACACCAGTCCATATATATATTTGATATCTATATAGTGTTGCGAGTCTTATTTTTGTTAATATGGTTCCCTTGTAATTAAGTGCGTGAGCTGTTCTATAAGTGTATATCCGAGATTCAGCCTCCCATTGCGATGGCGTTGGTAACTTGTTCCTAACAAATGTGGACAGACTTGGTGTGAAGATAACCTCCGTGTGGTCGGTTAGTCTTAAAGTGCAATTTTCCTGGGCCTCCTCCACTCATGGCGTATCTATATTTTCTACTATGTTGTGTTAATATTGTATATTAGCCGGGAAAAGACTATGCAGGCAGTTGCGGAACATACATTACAAATTTAAAAACTAAATATTTGTTATTGAGTTATTTTATATTACAATTTAGAAAAGCTGAATTAAAGAAAAAAGAAGAACAGAAAAAAAAAGAGGAACAAAAAAAGAAGGAAGAAATAAAACGAAAGGAAGATGTTAAAAAACAAGACCAAAAGAAAAAAGATGAAGACCAAAAGAAAAAACAAGAAAATTTAAAACCGAGTTCTGTTCCAATTGTCACTGAACCACAAAAGGTTAGTAAAGTTATTTAATTACCAGTTTATCCAGTATACTTTGTTGCCCATTAAAATAATTCCACTTGTTAACCTATTGTTGAATTGTCAACAAACAATCCAGTTTTTCTGTAAGGTACAACTGTATTAACTCCATTTTTTATGAAAAAAATGTATCAATATAAATACAAAAAATCAGTAGTTCCATGAAGATGTGAACCATAAGATAAGTGTAGTTGGATAAAGTGGATTATAAGGATCAAATGTTTTAAATGACAAGAGAATTCTTATCAGACACAATCTACAAAAGTGTGCTGAAACTATATTGTATGATTTGTAGACATAAAGTAGGATTCTATGAGTGATGAAAACGCTAGATGGATGAGTGTAGTTACTAAAGTAGATAAGATAAAGGATCAGTACATTAATGATAGTTCAGTTGTGACTTCCATAGTATACAAAATGAGAAAAATTAAATTAAGATGGTTAGGACATGTCACGGGAAGAATAATCTGAAGCAGTAAGAATGGTTATGAAAATAAAACTAGAAGGAAAGAGTTAAAAATATTAAAAAAAAGTTGGTTGGATACTATTAAGAATATGAGAACAGTCAGTGTATGTGAGATGGAAGATTGGGTCAAGTAAAAGTTTAAAACGAAGGTGGCCGACCCCAAATAGTTGGGAACCTAACCTTGAAGGTGAAGGAGAAAAGGTGTATATAAAATGTAAAATATTGGAAACAGTCAAAAATAGTAATAGATATTTTAAATTATTTTTGTTAACTAACTTAGAAATATGAAAAGATTTTCCCTCCAAATAACACTTTCTATTCTACCCTGAAGTTATCTGCACAATGATCCGTTTATAAGTATAGGGCATATAGTCAATGAAACAAGATTTTATTAAATGATAAGAACATTTTTTGATTATTTTTATTGAAATAAATGGCATTAAAAATTGTGTTTGTCTTATTATAAATGATAAATAAATCGTATAATTAGTGTTTGAATAATTTAATCCATTTATCTATTCCAGAAAAAGAAAAAAGACCCTCAAACAGTAGGCTATAATGGTTTGGAAAGTGGATCTGCTCCATGGGCTGCTACAGATCAAAAGAAACCGGTCCAAGTTAAATCGATGGCTGAGATTCAAGCAGAGGAACAAAAACGTGAACAGATGATAAAACAAAAAGAACGTGAACGTACTGAACGAGAAATATCTATTGTAGCAATCGAGCAGGCAAAACAAGAAAAAGCAAGATCTGCTGTTAAAATGCAGTCTTGGTCTAATGTTATAGCTAAAAATGTTCCTCAGCCAACTCTTATGGCCAATAGTTCTGTCTGGGGATCATCCAATCAAATGAGTATGTTAATTATTTTGATGTAATTTATTTTTACTTGCCTATAAAATATAGATTTTACTATCAATCAAAATTTTTTTTATAATTATACCAACATTTAGTTTAAAATAATTACGAATAAACCATACACTAAATATATTTTTCAGTAAACATATTACTTAAAGTAGCAAGTGCATCATGCACAGTTGAGGCCTCACCAGATAATCCATTGCTAACATTTACATACAAATATTCTGTTAAATATATAGTTAGGATGCAATTTTCTATGTAGTATAAGTAGTTATTCAATTATAAAATTGTAGATGCTGATAAACAGAAATTTACTAAAACACCAGCGGCTGTCACCATTAATAATAATAAAAGTGCTGTAAAAAATATTGTCAAATCCGTAAATCAAACTGCACAACAAACAAAAGCAATGAAGAAAGTTATTGAAAGTAGAGGTGAAAACAATAATTGTAATGATGAATTTAGCCAATGGTGTTGTAAACATCTAGCATCGCTTAATAAAAACACTATTGATAGTAAGTATTTTTTAATGTGATTTTATGTGTATTCAATATTATTAGTGAATAATAATAACTATTAATACATACAATATAATAATTTTATTATATTGAAAAGAATTAACCATTTGTGTTTAATTTTTAATTTAGTACCAACGTTTGTGACGTTTTTAAAAGATGTCGAATCTGAGTATGAAGTGAAGGACTACATTCAAAATTATCTGGGTGACAATAAAGAAGTTCGTGAATTCATCAAACAATTCATTGACAAACGCTTAAAAATACAAAATAAACAAAAAAGTTCTGATTTTGTAGAAATGAAAGTGAGTAATATTTTTTTTTACCATAAACGGTATAATTGTATGTGTGTACATTAATTAATTAATTTTAACCTGTGGTTCTAAATAAATAATTTTCTGGGATGGTTGTAGATATTTAACATTTATTTTTTTTGTAAGAGGTAACAATATTGATATTATTTTGTATAAATAATTTACATAATTGAGGGTACAGTGAATTTTTTTTACCTTTATTTATCTTTCTCACCAGTAAAATGTAAAATACCTTACATTAAATACATTTTTTTTAAATTTTAAAAATAAAGTCAACCTATGATTTTTAGTTAAATTGATAAATTTCAATTTACATCTTATTATATTAATGAATTTAAAGTATCATAATTTGTTCAAAATTTAAATTTGTCAAACATAATTTCTAAACATTTTTTACAATTTGATTAAAATATTCACTGTCACCAATCTCCTTAAGAAAGAATTTGCATAACAACAAATATTTTGCTAAATTATATAAACCTCTGTCAATTTTTTAATGCGAAACTGATACTTTTGACTGGTAGTTTTTGATTAGTCTTGAAGTTGTACAAAAATTAAAAAGTGTTGAGGCTAACACCTGAAATTACCTAAAATGTAATTCCTGAGAAATCAATAGGTCCTATCACTATTTTTTTTTTTCCATTTGTGAATACTTGGTATCTGCTGTTTACCAATATATTATATAGAAGTCTAGTTCTAATAATTATATTCATATACGCAAGTTGATAATGAACTGTATTTGTGTCTAATGGCGGATTTACTAGGGGAGGGGAGTGATCTGGATCACCGTCCTCTTTTTCCAAACACTGAGATAATTTTTAAATATATATGCATTTTAGGACCTCTCCCAGAAAATATTGAAAATCTGCTGTCTGTGTACCATTATTCCCTGATCTGAGTACTGCTATTATTGATGTTTTGTAAATACTTAATAATTTTAATGCAACTAGTATATTGCTTCTGAATTCTTCAGTTTGTGTTCTAATTCCCATGTATTTCAATATTTCTGGTTAAATATTATCAGTTTAGCTTAGTTTTACATCTTTAAATGTCGCAGAATATCTGAAAAGTACACTAGTATTGTACATTTTTTTTTTAAATTTCAATTTTACTTTCACTTACTTATTATAAGCATTATTCTAATGTAGGGAAAGAAGTGCTGTGAGAAGAACGGAAAAGAAGAATGTTATAGGGCCAAATGGAGGAGTAGTACTAGTAAAAGTAAAAGTTTAAAAAATGTTGGACAAATTAGTTGTTAAATAACTATAAGATTTCTTTAGTAACACACTAATAGTAAATGATAAGATACCAGAAGAGATTTTGGTACCTTTATTTTACAGGAATGTGGAAATTATTAAGTTATGAGTGTGAGCCATTATGTAAAAATTTGGGAAGAGATTATATGAAAAAAAATTTTAAATGATGACAAAGTAGATTAGGATACATATTAAGTTAATCGTTGTTGTTATTTCTTGTTTATACTTTCTGTATGCTTTTGCTTTTATGTATTCTGTATGATAGTTAATGTTTGTTTAGTCAAAAAATTTTAGATATTATAATAATGTTCATATTTGACCAAGTAAAATTATTTTGTAGTGGATTAGGTTGTCATGTATCAATGTTATTAATAATTGTAATTCGTTACTATTTCTAACATTAAATAAATGAAAATAAATATAATAAAAACAAATTTATGAACTCACTTGCTCAATATAGCATATATTAATGGTATTTTGGCTTGCTTCCATAAAATCTTTTTAAAGGTGCAGGTGTGTAAATAAGTGGGTCATCATTAAGTCTTAGCTGAATATATTGTCATTTGGTATTATTATAATGTCCAATCAATTGTAAGTAAATTATTATTATAGGTAATATCACATACCCTAATAGTGCAAATAGTTTTATTATTTTCTTTATGAACAAGCCTTATGCTTTCATCAAAGTACTGAAAAACTAATTAATCTTTAATTTTACAGAGTAAAAACAAAAAACGGAATAAGATGGTACCATTAGATAATAAAGTACTTGGCTTTAATGTGGTCGCTTCAGAACGCATCAATGTTGGAGAACTTGATCTTGGCGAATAGGATAACATATCAGCATGTCATTTTTACGTCAAATTTGTTTTTTTTTTTTTTAGGAATGAATTAGACCTTGGAAAGGAAACTGTTTGAGTATTATATGTCCATGTTTCTCGTTGAAAATATTTTTTCTATTTGATAAATATATATATATATATATATATATATATATATATATATATATATTTGTTAATTAATTTCTTTTCATTATTATTTTTTAAATGTAAATATTAAAAAATTAATAATATTACTATTGTTAATTTTTCAGTTTAATGTTGTCTTAATTTATTGTGTACAGATGCTGCTTGTATGCATGCAATGTTAACATTGATTTTTTTTGTTGACTGTACAAATGTATATCCCTAAGTCTCTTTCTAAAATCCGTTGTTTAAATTATTATTGTAAATAACCTTTATAATATTAATAATATTATTATTGAAATTTAGTATAAAGTATAAATATATATATATTATATATATATAATTTTTTATTAAAACAATATTGAATATATTTTATTTTTGAAAATCTTGCAAAAAAAAACACATCTGTTAGATATAAATATTCTTTATTTTACATCAATGCAATAACAAATATAAAATAGGTCTTTTTATGTTATAATCAGTGCTTAAATATGTAGAGAAGTGGTATCTGTTATTTTTTAATAGCATTTTTAAACAAATACATTACACTTTTACCTTCCCCTTCTAATTTTTTCTAAATTGAAACACTGGTTAAAATGTTAATAGAATCAATAACTGTATAATGATATTAACTTATAATATCATAAACTCATAAGTTAGAACTAAAATTAAAAGAATTAAAATGTAACAAAAAAGACTTATACATTCTTTCATTTACTTTACTTGATATTTCAGTAGTTTGATCCTGTTTTAAAGTAAATTTTTTACTTAATATCAAAACAGTTCTAATTTTCCTTCATTAAACTTCATGAAATTTTTAAATTAACTAAATGTGTTTGTTTTAACTAATCATTTATTTAATCGTATACCATACATTAATTTAATTTATCACGTTCGTCGTCTTTTCAATAGCATGAGTAACATGCTGCAGTAAATTGTCAAAGTGCAACATCTTGAATGTGATTACAAAATTACATTTAAACAAAGCCAAAATGTGCTTAACTTTACATATTACTAGACTTGTGCCTTACATGGTTGATAATTATTATTTATTATGAAAAGTTAATATCAATATTTATCTGGGTTTTGCTCCAATAAATCCCTAAATATCAACCAGAATATTTTTTGGTTTTAGCCACATCACAATATTATGTTGATAGGTAATAATCACGGACTAAGGAAATATCGACCTTGGACTAGACATGAATAATTAAAAATGAATCAAGAACACTGAAGTAAATACATAGAAATTAGAATGCGATCACATTTGTAACCAGTTACAATTAGAAACATTACTTTTTTTCAGAGTTAACATTAGTAGTACAAATTATAAAATATAAATATATTAATTTTTTTAACCTCCCGAAAGCTTTTATTACAAATATCAAAAAAATTTAGTAATACATTACAAAAGTGTACACGAGTGGCTTTAGTCTAAGAATCTTATATTAAATCATATGGTCCTCGGCATTTGTTATGTCTAATGTCTTGATAATTGTCAAGTGATTGAATTGCTACTGGATTTGATATATTGAACTAGTCTTATTTCATGTTTTCCGGCAAACTTGATAATCTCGTCTTTGATACACATAGGCTCCGCCAGGATATTTTTTTCAAGGAAGTGGTTAGTATATGACAATTTCTAAATAATTCTTAAATTATTTGAGTTAAATTTTTTTCAAAATAAACGTAAAATTGATTTAATACCAGTACCAATTAGATTACTAATGAAGATAAAACTAGTTTAAAAGACAATCATGAGACATATTCAATAGGTCTGTGAAGTTAATGGACGGACATTGAGCACTAATTATATTATTTCGCCCTAAAGTACATAGAGTCTTGCAAGGGGTGTTCATTGTTTTTCCATGCATAAAATATCTAAAATTTAAAGAGGTTTCACAAACTGATGAAATTAGTCTGACATAAAAACGCAATTAAATTAATACGTCACAAAATTGTTTAAACTTTGAAGTGAAAAAAAAAAGTTAACACTGCTGATGGGTGCACCGCTGTTTTAAGTTGATAGAAGAAACTGTAGGATACATGTGTTATTTTATTTATTTCTGTAATCAACGAAAAACTATTCTGAGTTAAGTTCGTTTATACATGACTTGAAAACCCGTAATATTTACCATTTTCATTAAAATTTGATCTTAAAACCATTATAAATAATAAAATTACTATCTACATAGTATTGTATTGAAGAACATTCTTAATGATTTTTTACCACTAAGTAAACTTACAATAAATCACCATTTAAATTTTGAGGCATTTCGGTTTCATCAAATAATTATATCCAAAAACTATATCTACCAAAAAAAAAAAATAGAAAATTCATATTAATAACTCAAACATTTTACCTAACTGAATTGGATACAATAAAAAAACAATTGAAAATAATAACAATTATTTAGTTTACAAAAAATTGTACATTTGTCTTTTTCTTCTGATCAGTTTTGATCTAATATGATCTCTTAAAAATCATTATTTACACACATAAAAAAAGCTGTCCTAGGATAATGGAGACGGGTGCAGCCACTCTTATTGGTAATTTAATGATACCTATACTTGTAAGCAACACTAAACTATTACTAATAAAACGATTCTGAGCGGATTTCATAACCTCTCCCATCCAACAGGATTGTTGTGTGGTAATTGTTCTCGTAGTTCCATGAGTACTCCTTTATGCTAAATCAAAAGCTTGGGCCACTTCTAGAAATATTCCGCGGGAATACTTTTTTTCTTCCAGTGCATTACACGTTTGTAACAAACTGAACTTGATCAATAGTTGAACGTTTCAGAATCCAAACTAATGATCAAGTATGAGGTGTATCTATTTCTTATATTAGTGGTTTTAATCGAATGAGAAGAAGCTTTTCAAAGAGCTTCGATAAACTTGGTAGAAGCGATATTGGTCTGTATATATGAGCTCGCTCTGGTGATTTACCTGGTTTCAGTAACATAATCACTTGTGCCTTTTTCCATTGCTTTAGGACAAATTCCATTCGTATAACTGGACTATTTGACATTAATAATATTATGAGTAAGAAGAATAATAACCTTTGGCACTTCTGTAAATAGGTTCTTTATGCTTGGACTAATCTCATCGAAACCGCTTGTCTTTTGTGGGTTGATAATGATGTAACTTAAAAATATTCAAGGGGTATGAAGTACTGTATTTTTTCTCTTGTTACATTAATTGTTTGGCATTATATCATATCGTATTCGGAAGCGATATTGTTCGGTTGAAAAACACGTTCAATTTGTCGAGCATATAGGTACTCCGGCTTTATCCTGTTCACTACGTGAAGTCCAGTCTTCTTATCGGCTAGGTTACATTGGAAGGTACGTACATGAACACGAGATTTTATAGGTCTCGTGACTTTCTATAATGAATAATCAGTATTATCTGTAGCAGATAAGACACTCAGATACGATTTGAATGTTTTATTTTTACTTCATTAATCTTGTCACGGTGGCGGGAGGATCTCACTCATATACGATACCATTCGGTTTTGCCAGGTTCTTCTCGCTTTGCCCTTCTGAAAAACTAACTTAATTTCCAATGGGTAAGTAATCTCACGATAACTACCTTTGGTAGCAATAGCGTTAAAATATTTGTCGCTCCAACAATGTCAATGCATTTATCAGTTTTAGATTCTGAGTGGAGCGAAGAATGTTAACAATAACAATTATTTTCTTTCTATTATATCTATTATACGTAAGTACAACGTTTATCTACCTATACGTTTAGATAGCCGTAATGGTACACAAATATAAAATACTAGATAGCTAACTAACGTTTTCATTTAAAGCCAGTCGCCGTGTGCGTGGTCAATGTTTACATAATTTTCTTAACAATATGGCACGATAATACCACAGAAGTGTGATATAATATTTAATAAAAGTATATATATTTTTTAAATCATACTAAATCACACATTTATAATACAATGTTATATTAAAATAAATTGTATGATTTTAATTTTATCACGCTTCGCCACAATAAAATATCAAATATCTACCTAGGATAGGTTAGTCAATGAAATATTGTATTTTAGATATTACATAATCCATCAAGCTTATTTTTTTCAAAAACTGTTTACCCAGATGTCCATAAACAAAATATTACGAACAAATAAATAAAACAAATTCCATACGGTGACATAAAACAGTGTTGTTCATGTTCGTTCACCTGCTGATACATTGTGTCATCTGCAGATAAAAAATTTACTTGACAATATACGATACCTTCTTGTTTAATACCTAAATCTAACGCCGCTTGTTCAGATAACTCTACAACTGTTTCATTTTCTTTTGTATTTTGATCGTTGACTGTGCCCTCTATAGTTCTGTCATAGCGCGATAAAGTGAGTTTAGTGTTTAATGGCAATTTCGAGTTGGCTATATTTAACGTTGTTCCTATTAACGTATTATTCTTCGACGCATTAATTTCATCATTTCGTGATTTTTTGTAAGAACATAATCCAAGACCATCTAATAACCATATAAAAAAAATACATGTTTATATAATATGGGTAGGACGTAGATATGCAGTAGCGTAACCGATAAAATATTATTTAAGTGGGGGAATTTAATTTTCATTATTTATGTGACCAACTAGGATTTCACGACCTAATAAGGGCAGGGGTTAAAAGTTGCAACTTTCTAAAAGTACATACAATGCTATTTTTGAAAATTTGTGTATTATACAAAATTACAAACCCGTTACTTACATCGATGAATCTATAGAGGTATTTAAATACCAGTATTTCCTGTAAAAACATGTAATTTGAGCACGAAAATGGATAGGGTGGTGGTTAAAAGTTGAAACCATTAAAAAGTACATCCTTGATACTAACGTCCTGCATATAGAAAATTGTAACCCTTGGTTTAATTTGTGGAGTCTATTGGTGAAGACAAAGCTAAAAAACACCCTCGTGCTGTCACAATATGGGGTTAGATTTATATTAAAATGCAACTCTATATTTATCGCTTCAATCCACTGATAAAACAAATTTAATTTCCGAATTTGGGCTCAGTTTGATCCAAATGGGGCCGCCATAAGTATTCAAAAATAATAAAATAAAACAAAATTATTAAAATGTTTAATACTCGTAAATAAATAAAATAAATAAATATATAAATAATAAATGTATACATAAAAATAAAATAAATAAATGAATCTATGCGTTGCCTGGAGTATTATGATAAGTGTATTACAAAACCAGTTTCGAATTAAAAATTCATCAACGGGTATATCAGTCAAAATGTAAATTTTTAAAACGGGACTGAATACAAAAAAAAAAAAAAGAGCTGATACTAGGGATGGGAGCGGTCACTGTTGTAGGTGAGAAGTTGGGAAGGTAGGATACATAAGGGTATTTCATTTATACGATTGTATCTATAACCAACGATAAACCATTGCTTGACGAAAGACAATTCCAAGCGTAGTTCGGTAATATATAATTTGAAGTGCCTTAATTTCTTTTAAGATTTTCGTTTAAATTTAATTTCACAACGCTTATTTAAAAAAAAATAAGTCGTCCTATGATTTTAGAAATTTTACCACGTTTAGGTAAATCCAATATAAGTATTATTAACAAGTTTTAAGTCTTTACGTGTATTTATAACCGAATTACAGCAAAAAAACTTCCAAAAATTAAAATTCTTTCAAAGACAATATGGTTAAACTTTGAAACTAAATTTTTATTCAACAAAAAATACATAATAGTAGGAGAGATTAAAAATGTTGAAACAATTTTATCCCAAAATTTAAACTACTTACAGATTTCATATTTTAATAAAAATCAAATATTATTATATAATCAAATAACATTTATATTAATTCAGTTTAATAAGAATTACATATACATAATGAAACAAAGAAAAATATTTTTAATAATATTTTAAATGTTCAAACCGATTTTAAAAATAATATCTTATATCAATACGTTTTTTTTTTTTTTAAACCACCCGAAAGTTTTTATTATATCGATCAAATAAATCTTTAACAATACATTATCGAATATGCATATAAATACTTGTGATGTATCTGTGTACAAAATAAATAAATATTTGTGGAATCTCACTCCCAGTGGAGTGGCCCCGGTCTTAGTCTAAGAATCTTATACTAAGTCATATGGTCTTCGGCGTTTGAGAGGCTTAATGTCTACGTTTGAGAGGCCTAATGTCTAAAGAGTTGTCTAGTAGTTGAAAACTTGGTAATCTCGTCTTGGACGAAGGTGATCATCATATCTCAGTGGATAATGTCGTTTCTGTCATATCGGTAAACTACCATAATGGTACGGAGAGCGATATTCTGGCAACGTTGTATAATCTCAATATTGAATATTTATATTTATTCGTGTTTTACATTTTGACTGATGATGAATTTTTAATTCGAAACTGGTTATATAATACACTTATCATAATACTCTAGCGGACACATTCATTCATTCATTTATTTTATTTTTATATGTAAATTTTTTATTTATATATTTATTTAAAAGTAACGGGAAACAAACATTTATTATATATTGTATATGTGTATATTGTATATATATTGTACATGCCACACCTTTCCCACCATCAATTATTGCTAGCGCCGGCCATATAGTTTTATCTAATTTCTAGTTATAGTGTAAAATGGACACTTTTCTTAGAGGTTTTTGGAATTTTATAAAATATCTAGTCATTATATAAAAATAGCATATTATAAAATTTGACTGTAATATATAATGTATGTTATATACTATACATAAGTATACCTATGTATAATAGACACAATATCGTATTTATTTTCGGGAGAAATGTCACTAAAAGCAACTCACTTTTCAAATATCTTAAAACGTATATAATTTTAAAAAAAAAGTCAGACATTTCTGGGGGGTTGTGATCCCATTACACTAGCTTCCTCTGCCTACACCACTGTAATTAAATATATACGAATATATACGTATATATAAAAAAATAAACGTATATAAAAGGCTGACCCACCTTTGAAAATGATATTGGCTTCTGACGTATTAACTGGTTTTTTGATGGTTTTTTTTATAGTTTTTTTTGTTTTTAATTTTATATTTGTTAACTCAAAACAAAATCTTATGTTTCCCATCGGTTGGAAGCAATTCCCAGAACAACATTCACTATCGTTATTACAACGATAATATTTTTCGAGACATGCAGTTGTAGTTTGTTCTTCGCTGCAATTAATCTCTGAATAGAAATAAGCAAGTACATTTAATTAGATAAAATATTCATAAACTAGGTACCAAAAAAGAATAAAACCAGCGGGACTTAAATAAATATTACGTCAAAACAGGATTTTGCGTTTCCTTCATTATTCCATAATACAATTTTTGAACAAAGCCTAAACCGGTAAGACCTTGAATACATTTAAACGTTATTAAAATAAAATTAAAAAATTTGTGTCAACGGACTTATGATATTTATATAGTGTTATAATAACAATGTATGGTGAACCTTGCGTAAAATGTTCAAGTATTTTTGAGAAGGGGGCCAAGACGATTATATTCACATAAAATCAAATAAAAACTAAAAATACTTAATAACACCATTTTTCTTATACAATTATACGTATTTTAAAAATAATTTATATTATTATGTATAATATATATAATGTGGTCCACCGTATTGGACGGATTTTTCTTGTGCTGTTAATATTATATTTTTTTCGATTCTTTTTTTTCAATCGGTTTGTCATCGAGGGGGACATCGATTTAAAGAAAAATTAAATATTTATTTTCATCTCCTAAAGACAAGAAAAAAAAACTTTATTTATTCACTTAAGACAATTTTTAAAATAGCCATTTTATAAAAATTTTATTTAAACAATTTTAATGTATCACACATTCATATCCGATGAATAATTTCTTAGTTATAACCATTTTAATTTTTAGAAAATAGGCGAGAAAACAATTAATATTCAAGAAAATAACACGCTGTGATAAAGAATTATAATCAGAAAGGTAATTCTTTACCTTCTATTGAATATTAATTGTTTTACGCATATTTTCTTAAAATTAAAATGGCTTTAACTAAGAAACTATAAATCAGATATGAATATTTATAATACATTAAAATTGTTTAAATAAAATTGTTTATAAAATGGCTACTTTGAAAATTGTCTATAGTGAAAAAATAAAGTTTTTTTTTTTGTGTTTAGAAGATGAAAATAAAAATGTAATTTTTCCCAAATCGATGTCCTCTTCGAAGACATCCGATTAAAAAAATAATAATAAAAAAAAATGTAATATTAATATTAACAAAGCTAGAAATATCAGTCGAACATGGTGAAACACACTTATATATATGAGTTCGATTGATAGTGTTGCTTTGTCAACAATATATATGTAACATTATGGTAAAATACATTTTCTAAAATAACATTTGTTTAATATTATACCTATTTCCCGTTTTTATTCCGGTTTTTCCAATTTATTGGGGAAATCAAAAAATAGCATCCCTTAAGTACTTCCCTAGTCAGATTTTGTTTTATAAAAAGTGCAATCATTGTAAATCAAAGCAAAATTATTGGTAGAAAAGTTGTCAACAGAAAAAAAAAAAACATCATTATAAAATCAATTATGATCTTTTCCACGAAGATATACTCTTTGAATATCTCTGGAGATAATAAAGATAACCAAATCCTGTTTTTTTTTTATATATATAACTCACAGGGAAGAGGACTAAAAATATTTATATTTGAATTTTTTTATGTTATGTAGGGAATAACAACCGTGATAACATTGGTTTTCACACGGATTAGTAAAATTTAAAATGGCTGTTTAGAAACTTTTTAGAAACTATTCATCGGATATAAATGTGTGATATATAAAAAAGTTCAGAAAAATAATCTTGAGCCGCTGAAAGTTTTCCGAAAATAATAAAATAAAAAGTTATTTTTAATAAAAAAAATTAATTAAAATATAAATATGTGTAGTCCTCTTCCATATGAGTAATATCAAAAAAAAACAGAATTTGGTTATTTTTATTATCTCCCGAGATATTCAATTGGTATATCTTCGTGGGACTGTATAATACCTAATATTATTATAAATTATGAGAGAAGAAGGGTAATGGGAGGATATATCACCCCCATATCCAATTTGACCACATCCAGAAAATACCTTGTAAATAAGAATATAAAACCTACACAAAAACATATTTGTATTCGTTAAATTAATCCAGTTCAGATTTGTGAGTTGTAGCAAACCTGTTTAGTTTTTTTTTAACACCATGACGAGGTGGTACAAAGTTACTATTTTAGATTTGCTCAACCCATAAACCTGCCTATTCCTTTAATTTGTCAACTATGGTTTCTTTACTGATTTTTATCAATTTTAGCCGGAATAAATAAAAAATCCTACAAATCAAGTCTTGCCGAGGGAAGAGTTTTAATGCCGCGAATTTCTAGCTAACCCGGTGTAAATTATAAATTAACAGGTCCCGTTGATGGTGGTTTCCAATTCCCGATCAACAACAATGTTTCAAATCGGTTTGCGCTAGTGTTAGTTTTTAATCAATATTTTCGAAAAAATGATGTGCATAAGTTTAACAATACGATAATATTTCGTTAATAAAAATATTTATGATATATTTGTATCGTGTTTAAATACTTAAAAATATATAATATTATAATAATTATACGTTGATAAAACGTTCTATCTTACGAACCGATAAATGGATCTATAGGCTATAATAATATTATATGAGATAAGATGACTAAAATATTCATTAAAAAAACAATATTATTATTGAGTTGACTAATAATATTTGTCTATGTCTATTAAATTAGACAAAGTTTATAATCAGGAGTGTACACAACACGGTAGATATTTATTATACAGATTATTATAAGTATTAGTTAGGTACCTAACTCGATATTATTTTCTTCTGTGTTTAAAAGATAATAGGAAAATTGAATAAAAAAAAACAAAATGCATGTATTATCAAGGATGCCTCGTCTCGACAAATAAGTAAGTATAGTAAAAACAAATTGTATGTACCTGATATTGATAAAATAACGAATAATCCAACCTGGACGACAATTAATGATATTTTCATTATAATTAATTTGTATATTTACACCTTAAAATTTTAACAGTTACAAACTTATGAAATTATTAGTATGAATCAAAACATTCAAGACTGCAGCACAATTATAAAATGTGGTCGGAATATTAGGTATAACTATATAGCTATTAAATTTGAAGTTAGATAAAATAAATTGCTTGTATTATAATATTAATTGAATGCTTATCTAATTATAATATAATTGTATTTTCTTAATATAATATATTAGGAATATTAATATATAGGGGAGATTGGGGCTGGTTGTCACACGGGTTGGTGTCACAAAGCTCAGTTCGCAGGCGCTGTAATCACTTAGTGGCCGTGACGAATACTATTCATTATTTACATCAATGTGAGTGTTGTTATTAATTAATATAAACAATGGAAATTATTCGTCATGACCGCTAAGTTACAATAGCGCTTGTAAACTGAGCTTTGTAACAACCAGTCTCAGTCTCCTCTATATATAGTATATACAGGGTGTAAGTGGACTATTTGACATTTTTATATGTAACCTCAATATGGAAATGTCAAATAGTCCTGTAACACCCTATATTCACATATGCATATGCCTATTTTATATATTTATTAGGGTGCCACTTATTTTCGAAGTTGTAAATTTTAAGTAGTACCGGTTGGAAATTTGTTTTAATAAACCTAAAAATAAGTCTCTTACATTTTTAGCTCGATTAAACGTATTTAACGCATATCGACTCAAGCTCAAAGTTCTATGAAAAAGTGTAAAATTGTAATTATTGGCTTATACTTGGCCAATTTTTAAATTTATGAAAAAATTGTATAGAATTATTATTGTAGATCTAATAATTAAATACAAATAAGTATCTTTGTATTTTTTTCGTTATGTTAACTCTATCTTTTAAAATCAAGAAAAATATACAGAATATGCTCATTGCTTATATTTTTTAGAAGAATATTCTTGACTTTGTTTTTCTATGATTATCTTTTTAAATTATAAAGATACTAATACATAGTACATATCTATTATTGTAGTTCTGTGCGTTTCCTTAAATTATTTACTTTAATATTTTTTCAAAATATTAACCCTTTATTGTAAAATATAAAATTGCCTATGTTCTTCTTCTTTTGTTATTTTTTTATAAAATTCTTCCATTAGTTTTATTCCTCTTTCTGTTGCATCATTTACCACTTTTAATTTTTTTATTGTTTCCTGGCCATTATTAAAATTATAATTGAACTTTCCCAATAATTTTTTTTTCATTTTGTAAAGTAAGCCATTTATATATATCTGGACCATATATTTCATTGTTTAAAAAATTTAAAACTCAATGAAATACTTTAGATAAAACTAATTTTTCTACTAGAATATCTCATAAAAAGTCAAAAATATTTTATAAGACTATGTTTATGTGATTTTACGATTTTGTTCAATGTAATTAATTTATAACTACCCCGAGATGATTATAAAGAATTTCTAGTTTTAATAGTTGGGAAGAAGTCTTCCTTGAGGAATCAAATTTTAAAACCAGGAACTTACCATTTGACAAGATGAACGGCTAAAGGAATTTATGGACTCAACATATTCTTATTCTTATTCTTATTTTTTTTACTAAATTAATTTAAGTTATCTAAGAAAGAGGAAAAGTCACGCATAGAACTGAATTGCTTGTAATAAGATGTTATACAATAAATTGGTTCAATCAACCTAATTGGTTCAAATCAAACGTATAAACTGATAGAACAGGAATTATAAAAAAGTATGGTCAGGAATTTACAGGAATTGAGTACTTATTATTGGCGTAAAAAAATTGCAAAATTAAAATTGGTAGGGATAACGTACGTAATATAACTACTGCCAAAACGCTTCTATTTACCGATTAGGTATATTAAATTATTTATTCAAGTTAATTGTTTTCTGATTGTCTTCGTCTCATGCTGACTTTGATTTATTCTGTGTTTGAGTTAACAAGGTAACCTTTGTCTTAACATGGGAAGTACCACGTCATTTCCTTGACCAAAAACCGTTCTATTATCGTCCAGCAATACTTTCTTAATGGCTCCTAAATTAATGGTCTCGTTCTTGTTAAAGATTTAAGTGTGCATTTTATACCTAATTTATCATTTGAGCACCATTTAAATTTTATCATCGGCCGTGCTTTTGGATTTCTGGGTTTTATCAAACGGATTAATTAACAATATTACACCTCTGACTTTTACTCTCACTTCCGAGTACTCATCCCTCGGTCGGCATTCTTAAATACGGTTCGGTAGTTTGGTATTCCCATTTCCCACTTCACGCGCGACCAGCTTCGCCTTATGTACATGCAGAATTATAAGTTTCTCTCGTTTGCTGCCTATCGGCTAAAAATAGAGCATCCCCTGCACGATTATCTATGCTATTATCCGCTCTTTCTTTAACCTACCTTCCTTTCATTCTCACCGTTTTATGGCTGATGTCTCCTTTGTATTTTTTCTTCTTAACAGTGCCATCGACGTTCTTGATCTATTGTCAACCATTTCTTTCCGGATCCCTTCCTACTCCATTAGGACACACTCCCTGTTCCACTTGCCTAAACACCACACCTATAATGGGTTTGATAATCCCCTCCACCGTGCTTTACGTTTACTCAATGCTGCTTAATTCGGGAGCTTTCAATCATTTTCCTTAAATTTAAGTTACCCTGCTGCTCTCACCCGTGCCACATAGTTGTAGTTAACTTAAAGATCACGTTGTACGTATTGGCGTTTAAGTTAACAAACAAATAAATAAATAAACAAGTAGGTTATTTCAAAATTTAAAATGTGCAGTTCAATCATTGTAAAAGAGTAACGATAAAAAATTAAAATATTCATTAAAAAATGATGTAACACCGATTAACATGTTGAATAAATGATTATATTTGAGAAACCAATATTGTGTATAGATTAAGAACACAATATGGCTATATCTAATATAAATAATTATATTATAGTTATGTTACTTAATTGTACAGATATTGTAATCGTGTTTAAAATAATTTGAAGTGATTAAAGACATTTATTATTTATCAATGTATATATTTTTACAAGGCTAAGTATTAACACGTTAAAAATTAAAATTAAAGTCAAAACGACATTAATTAATGAATTACTTTTTATGTATTTAACGTTTAACCTTCTAAGATAATTTTTTATGTAGGTACTTAGTTTGTTAACTTCAAGTTAATCTTTTGTATTTTAAAGTATATTTTATTTTATTTATTTATTTTGAAGTTAAGTTGAATTTTGATGAAAGTCAAATAATAAATAAGATATAGTAACTAACAATTATATTAAATAACAATTAATCAGTAATTTCATAATTCGTTATACTATTTGATAACTGTCCAATTTTAGTACCTATTTCTAGTAATATTTTCTGGTTTTATAAATTCATAAGGCGATAAGATAATATGAGGTGTGATGTACAATATCCATGGATTTATTATTAAACTTGTTAAACCAACGAATTAAGACTTTTTATTTTGGTCTTCTTTGTCTTGCGATGCCGAAAAGTATCTAGCGCTGCAACAAAAAAGGTTGGAGATCATTGATCTAACTTCTATTAAGATATTTTAATTATCAAAAATGTTTTAAACTTAATTTTTAAGCTAATATTAACTAAATTAATTTTTTTAATAATTTATTTTTAACTTATCGGTGTTAAAATAAAATGAGCAAACTTAATTTTTTTTTCCTCCCCAATAGACTATATTGAACCAGGGGGAACCGCGTTAGCATTATTTCCCCCTGCTCGGTCTATATTTCAAAGCGAAGTCACTAGCCATGAGGCAAGGCAGCCCAATCAAGCAGCTACGATGTTTTGTTGCTAACGCCTAGTTGTCGGATATGTAGCTTGCCTCGCTCTCTCATCTTCCTCGTCATGATAACCTTCGTAGTCTTTTTTTGAAGTCAAGAGTAAGCTTTACAAATTTAAAAAGCCGTGGAAGTCTCGTCAATTTATTATTCTGTTTGCCGGGGGTGCATTATCCATCAATATATAGCTGGTTCTTTACAATTATTATGAAAACGACTTGAAAAATCAAAAAATGATTTCCACAAAACAATAACTAGTTCCGAAATGATACAAAAAAGTTCTCAATAAAGTTATTTTTTAATTAAATCAAGATTAATGTTATAAAAAAGTTATCATAAATCACTATTTCTTAGTATATTTATTCAAGAAAATTATCCAAAAGTTCCGTTAAAATGTATTTACCGCACGAAAGAAATCATTAATATAAAAGTTACATTTTATGTATTTAATTTTAATTTTTTAAATATTTTCTAACAATTTATATATTTATATACAATATAAATTATTTTATATGTTATATTTAAAAAAAAAATATATATATATATATATATATATATATATATATAATTATTATGACGCGGTAACTAGGTAGGTATATAGATGCAAAAAACCAAAATATTTTTTTGGAGGGAGTTTAACACCTAACAATATTGAATATGTTTACTTGGTATTTACTTTATTTTACAAGGGCTTGATTTGGGTGGATTGGATAAGTTTTATGAGCTCAGTACCCTCAAGACCTCCTTTATTTGCACCTACAGGTTAGGTTAGGTGAATTAATACGTGAACAACTGAACACAGAATCCGGAAACACTTGTTTGTACACACAATTTGTACTAACATATACTTGATACACGAGAATTTAAGTTCCGAGTTCATTTGTTTTAGTATTATTCGTGTATTCACGAATATTTGTTTTGGTTATAAGCTTATAACTTACTGCATATTATTGTGAATATTAAATTTATTGTGAATTTTGTATAATTATATTGTTAAATTAACATTTTTAACAATGTAATGAACTTAAAGTAAATATGAAAACACTAAAATACGCGCATAAGTGAATACACGAGTATGTAGGTATACTGATTTTTCAAGTACGTGGTTTTATAAATTTGAATGTGTAAGCTTGTTCACGCGAAATTAGGAGCACTATAGTACCTATTGACTTATGTGATATGTAATTTATTAACGCTTATGCATGATATTTAAGACCAGAACTTGTGACGCTAAATAAATGATATTTGAACTAACGGTGTTCGAAATAATTACCACTATTGATAAAATTAAATTTATTAAAATTAATTATATTTGTTTATAATAATGCATATGGAAGCGGTGGTAATTATATATCTGAAAATATAAAATTATATATGATATATCCAAAGTCCAAATGTAAACGCGAAAAGGGGCGCGAAAAATATAATGTTTTTCATATAACTGATTGGTGAAGGTGTTGGTAATAATATTTCTAGGCTGCACGGTATTGTTCCTTCTTCAGTAACGCCTAATTGTAGTGCCGCTTCCTCGGATAATTCCAAAGTGTCATTCGTCGTCGCAGGAAGGTCGCTGATTGTCACAACTACCTCTCTGTGTAAACTAGACACCAAGACTCTGGTGCGGGGTAGCAATACAGAGTGGGCTGCGTTTAGGTCGAATCGTTTAAACAAACTCTCTTTAATTAGGCTATTATTTTGTTTGTAAAAAAAACAGTGATCGGGGAAAACTGTAAAAAAAAAAAGAATACAAACAATAAAAACCGCACAGTAAATTATTGTTATTTGTATTGCTTTATGTTTAAAAGTAATTATTTGTGTATGGTTTAAATTAAATACTTCTAAGCATACTTCTAGGACCCATTGTAATATTCCCAATTGAAGCTAATGTCGTTTTGTCCAATTCGCAATAGCCACGAAAATTTTTTAGTGTTTGTTGACAATATTGAGAACAACATTCATTGCTTTCATAACAATCTTCGTTCAAATTTTTACAAACCTCAGGAGGTTTCGGGTTATCTTCAATTTGCGCAGTAACATTTTCGCTGTCACAGCTTACATCTAAAACTGATAATATTAAAAACCTTTTAGAAACTATACGTAAACGAACAATTACGATAGTTTAATACAACTATTTTACAGCACAACCTTACGGCCGTTGGTAATCAACAAAACACATGTGTTGTAATCACACGCGTCACACTTGAACACGTAGCCATCCAGTTTTTGACTTTAACAAAATATTTGAAGTTTTTTGGAGATCAACCAAAAGATAACCTTGTTACTGTATTTTATAAACAAGTAATTTTTGTAATAATAGTTATATGAATAATGAGTTTATTGAAATTCTTTAAAAATCAAAGACTTTGGCTGGGTATGATAATCAATCATTTAGAAATTTATTACGTTTACCATATTAGCGATTTACTGGTTTACATCCATAGACAGTATTACTTCCAAATTACATGACGTGAAAATGATGATAACTTGATAAAGTTAAATAAAATCGAAAAAATAAAAACTATAGTTAAAAAAAAAGTTATTGTACATGAACTTTTTTGTCTTAAATAATTTTTCTTTAATATAATCTGTCCCATTGATTTTTGTTCGGTTATTAAATTGTATATTTGTATCTTATTATTTAATACATATATTTGGTATCAAACAACCATTCAATAAACAAATGTTCAATTAAAAAAAAAAATGATTTTGTTCGAAAGTTATTGAACATATTTTAAGATATTTATAGTTGTATACATGTAATATACATTACTATTTTTTAAGTTATACATTGGGATCATAAAACGTGTAATAATAAATTATTTTAAAATAAAAAAAAAATACGTCAGTTTTTGGTTGGATAAAGATAAATGTAATAATATGAAATAGTTAGGTATAAACAATTCAATGTTAATTTCACCACTTGTGAATATTTGCATCTTGTTTCGGTTGATTTATTATTATTTTTTATTTTTTATAACTTGGAAGAATTTTTATACGGTACAGACATTTTTACGATACACAATTAAACATATTATTATTTTTATCTTTTTTATATTTAGTATAGGCATTAGTCTATATATAAGGTGCCAACGTTATTAGTTTGGATGACTCTTTTTTCTTTTTTTAAAGTCACTTCTATATTAGGTCTAATATAGACTATATTATATAATTTTTAGAATTAATTATATTTAATTCAGAATATTTTGTCTTGCGTAGAAAAAAAAAAAAAAAAAATCGCAAATTTATATTTTTATGAAAAAACGAGTTGGCCATCATTTTTAATCTCATATAATTTTTTATATGCTTTACAAAAAAGACTAGAATATTTTTACAATCCAGAAATGTACGTCGTACTTTTTTTTCTATATACCTACCTACTTATATATTTACACCAAAAATAATACCAACTTTTGTATTATACCGTTAAGAACTTGAAATTATATTTACCAGAAACTGTGATGATAACAAATAATACTATATAACTATTTGACGGTTTCTTCATCTTGATTGAAATATTCTATCACCTTTAAATAGCACAATATAGAGGATAATTAACGTAGCTTAATGCGTAAATAATACTTATGCCTCACACATAGAAATGACGAGTAAATAAAACAAAGAGTGCATAGACAAATTAATCACATTTCAGTTCTACATTACATTTAAACTCTGATAAATTGACTATAGTTACAACTAAACTGCATCTATATATAAGACAATTTGATAACTATTAGTTTCGGACAAATTAAACCGATTATTAATAATATGTTCTAAACGTTGATTAACTAAATTGGATTTATCGTTATCACAATTTCCCAGTCAACGAATATTTGTAACCCGCGTTGAAATTTCAATGCTATGAATGTATCGTATAAAATCGTATAATTTTAATCGAAATTGTGTTGGTTATGAAAAATGCAATAATAAAATTTAAAATAGAGTTTATGTTAAATTGCCAATCGCAGTAATGTAGTATTGCATGGATCAACCGTAGGGTGGTAGAGTAGAAGGGGGAGAATTAAAGTATTGCACAAGATAAATATTATTTATAATGAGGAAATTAAGACAATTTTAATAAACGAAAATAAATTATTACGTGACAGATACTTTTTTTCCGCCGTATATTAATACATTCAATTTGTGTACATTATTACTCGTTTAATTTATAATTAAGGTAGATAAATAATATAATTGAAATCGCATTCAAATATGTTTATACATAATTGTATAATATACATTATTCTATACTTATGGGCATTAATAAGTATAATTGTTTGTTCACGAGGTCGAAAATATTTTTCATAAATCAGGGAGGGGGCGTTTATTGTAGGATTTAATACCCCATACTATTAACTAATATTGATTATTTATAGTTGGTATTTACTTGACAATGACTCCATTTGGGGGGGTTAATACCCCGAAATCCTCCTTTATTAGCATCAATGGGTACTTACTAGAACTGTCGAGTGAATTGATATGTACGTGAATACAATGTTCGTGAATGCTTGAATCACAAATTTTTACATACTTACATATACTTAATACACGTGACTTTGTAATTCGAGTTCATTTGTTTTAGTGTTATTTTTGTATTAACGGATATTTATTTAGGTGAAAACGTACTGTAGTACGAATATTCAAATTATTGTAGTTTTTAATTTTAATTTATTTGTTTGTTAAACTAACATGTTTAACAATATAATGGACATAAATTAAACGAACTTTAAAATTGAAATTAATTTATTGAATTTAAATTAAATATTAAAACAATAAAATACTCGTATACGTGAATATAGGTACCCGTAGACAGAGCCGTGTCTATAAAGATGCGAGAGGTGCGCACACGGTGAGTGCAATGACCACCGGGGGAGGAGGGGGCAAACAGAGACCAGTGAGGAAATGCAAATTTGAAGATTTTTAAAATATTGCACGTACGAGTGACCATCGACGGAAGATTTAGCATCAAAGATTATAATGGCATTTTTTTTTTTTTTGCTTATTTGCTTAGCCGTCAATTTTTCTAACACCATGCACTAGTTGATTTTGTAGCAAAATGGCACTGTATCAAATGTGAAGGTACACTAGTTTTTCAAGTACGCAGCTTTAAAGATTCAAATGTTATGTTAATTTCCCTTGAATATGTAAAAGCGTCTTCACATGAATTAAGAAGCACTAGTGCCTACTGACTTATGTAATAGGTAGTTTATTAGCGATTTAAGCGTGATATTTAAGGCCTAAACTTGTGACGTAAAATGATTGATATTCGAACTAATGGGTTCGAAATAATTACATTCGCATTTTATTATTGATTAAATTAAATTTATTGAAATTATTTCTACCTATTTATAATAATGTATAGATAGAGACAATGATATTTGTATAGGTACCTAATAATATAAAATTATACGATATGAAAATAAAATCCGAGAATAAAAATGATAAAAGGTGAGTAAAACGCAAGGAATTTTACATAACCCAGTATTATATTTTCTGATACCAATACTTCTACGTCGCACGGTATAATTCCTTCTTGAGTAATGCCCAATTGTAGTGCCGCTTCATCGGATAATTCCAATGTATTGTTTGTCTTCGCAGGAAGGTCGTTGATTGTCACAACTACCTGTCTGTATTTAGTAGACACTAGGATTTTCGTGTTGGGCGGCAATATAGAGTGGGCCGCGCTTATGTAAAATTGTCTATGTATTCTATCCTTAATAGCGTTATCGTTTTGTTTATGATATGAACAGAAGTCGTGGATAACTGTAGTTAAACATAAAACAAATAATAAAACCGTACGATCGATTATTATTACTGAACGTTTAAAATGAATCTTTTGTACAGAATTTAAATTAATATATGTATACTTTGAGGCGGCACCATATACTTGGCTGACGATAATATCGTTTTATCCATATCACAATAGCCACGGAAAAAATAAAATGAACGTTTACAATTCAGTGAACAGCATTCTTTGTCTTCATAACAATTATCGTTCAAACGTTTACATATCATACGAAATTGTGGGTTTTCTTCAATAATAGTTGTCAAAATGTTACAGTCTACACCTAAAATGTTTAATATTAAAAACCATTTAGAAACTATACGCATACGAATAATTCTCGTATATTACGGTAGTTTGGTGTCACCAATTATTATTATGTAGGTTTTTTTTTGCGTTAATTGTTTGATTAAAACGAAATGTTTTTAATTATCAAATATCTGGTCAGAGAAGAATGTAGCTAGATTTTTTTTTTTATTTGTGAGCGGGAGATAGGGAAGCAACATGTTTTTTGGAAGTCAAAAGATAAATTAATTTTACATTTTGTTTTTCTTAAGACGCCGTTGTTCCCCGTAGCTAAATTTGTTTTTATTATGAAACGGGGAATGTTTTCCAAGTTAAGACATTAATTAATTTTGCATTTTTGTTTTCTTAGAGCACCATTACACTAGGACAGATACGCCGTTATTCATCGTCCCATTTGTTTCCAAACCGTGATCGACAACTATTTAACGGCGCAACCTTGTGGCCGTTGGTAATCATTAAAAAACACGTGTTGTAATCACACGCGTCACACTTGAGCACGGTGTAGCCGTCCATTTTTCAAATTAAGCAAAATGTGTGACATTTTTTGGTGATCAACTAAGTGTAACTGGGTTACTGTAATTTATAAAAAAATAGTCTTTGTGATAATAGTTATGCAAATGATGAGTTTATGTTTATTATGTAGTAATCAATGAACTTTTTTAGGTGTGCTCTAATTTTTTGATAAAATTCTTGAAACTGACCCTTTTGTTCACGGTTTTAATTATTGTATCCATGGATAAATTTAATATTTACATTCTTGTTAGGGGGAGGTTGGGACTTAATAAGCAAACATTTCTGAAATGGCTATTATATGAATAGAATTGTGTCATACATAAGTGCGTAATCCATACTGAATATAAACAAATTGAGTTTATCGTTGTTAAAATAATTTAATAGAACATACTTAAATTTGTTTCCATATTATATTATATAGAATATGCTTAACTAAAATAAAATATTCAAAACTATTTTGAGAAAATTAAAAAAATTAATATATATATATTAAATATTCCATACATCTTTATACTAACCTAAGTTATAAATAAATAAGTAAGGAGAGGGGATACTCTCTTGACCTTGTAAGTTATTAGTTTATGTTTAACTATTTTTAAGGTTACTAACCTACCTATTACTTCTATATTAAGTCTGTAGTACAAGTGGTAAAGATAATATTGGTAAATTTTCATGTTTAAGCGGGAACAAATTCGGAAAATACTTTGATCGGGTTTTATTCTATTATCGATTGTAAAATTAAATTTAAAAAAACTGGGCAACTTGGTATGTGGGTAGGCCGCTGTTGTTGATGAGAAGTTAAGAAGGCAGTAGAGAGGAAATTTAATGTATTTTTGTAAGCAACAATAGCCATTGTTAATGAAAATCCGATTCTGAGTGGAGTTTAGTTAATAGTGTTGCTTTGATACCTTCATTTCGTATTTTTCCCGTTTTCCGATTTATTGGGAAACTTCTGAGAAAATTGAAAAATGACCTTTTCAAAATACCTCTTCAGTCAGATTTCCTTTTAAAAAAAGTGCTATCATGGTAAGTCGGAACAAATTTGCTGGTTGTTCACAGTATTAAACAAAGCCGCAATATTTTTTCAACTAATACCTATATTTCTTAAATTTTACATATTTTTTTATTGGTTTTCATACTTTTTGAGAAAATCAAAATATAACCTCCTCAAAGTACCTCCCCAATCTGATATTCTTTTAAAAAAGGATATCACTACATGCGCTACACTTAAAAAACGGAACAAGATTTCTGAAAGAAAAGTTGTCTACAGAAAAAAAAAATAAAAATATATTTTGTAAAACCATAAGCTTCCTCAGAATCTAAAATTAGTGTTATGCTTATGGTAGATATCAGCGTCGAGAATGTTTTCAGTTTAAATGTTTTGTTTTTTTTTTTTACTAAAAATAAATTAGTATATACTACATAAGAAAAAAATAAAATATCTTTTAAACATTTTTAAAATGCAATTTCTGAAAAATAAAGTAGCGATATATGGGTACGTTAGGCCAGTGTTTCTCAACCTGTTGGTCATCAAAAAATTATTTAAGATCGCCAAAAATATAAAATTTTGGTCGCTATAATAAAATATATATTTAAGGGTCACTAAAAATTAAATATTCATTTAGGCGGTCACGACGGTAAAAAAGGTCCAGAAACACTGCAATAGATTATTATCCTAAATATTTATGAAGGTATTTGGGGAAGTTAGACGTTCATAGGTTAAAAAAAAAACAATTAAAAATTATATTTTTGATGGAAAACAAGTTGCCCGTTGTATTTAATTCTATATATTATCCCGTGTGATTCTTTTATCGTTAAACACTTATTATCTCGGAAAGTATATTCAATTTTTTTAAAATCTGTTCCATAAAAAATTTAAGAAACAAGCAGCTCTTAAATTTTATATTTATATTATAATTATCACCCTAATTTTTGGGAATGAAATAACTACTTACTTTTGATTTTCAAACAGCAACCTATGTACAAAATCGTATTAATAGATTGAGTATTAGTTAAAGTAAATTTTCAATTTTTATGAATCCGTTGATGAGATATTCCACTTATAAATATGAGTCGGGGGAAGGGGGGAGAGTATTGGAGCATTAATTGTGTGGCTGCACGCCGCGCGACGTATTGAAAATGCACCACTACTCTCCTCCAACCCAAACTTAAAAGTGGAATATCTCGTCAACGGATTAACGGACATCAAAAATTTCAACACCAAAATTTATTTTCACTAATACTCCATCTGTTTCAGGCATTTTCAATATAGGTTGAAGTTTGAAAATCAAAAATAGGTAGTCGTTTCACTCCTAAAATAAGAGTGACAAAAAACAAATTATAATGTAATATTTTAGAACTATTTGGTTTTTATATTTTCAAAAATAAAAAATAAAAAATAAAAAAATAGTCAACACTTTTCGAAATATTGAGTGTTTAACGATAAAGAATCACCCGGTATTATGCTTTATAATAAAGGCCAGGGTATTTTTACTATCTTAAAATGTTTTTTATACTTTATTCTTCTATTAATATTTACATCAAATAAAATACCAATAATAGTATTATGTCGTTAATGAAATTTTTAAACTATATTTACCCGAAACTATGACGATAACAATTAATAGTATGCAGTTATTTGACGGTTTCTTCATCTTGGTTGGAATATTCTATTGGCTTTAAATAGCACAATTTATATACATATACATATGTATATATATATATGTGTATAAATGATAATAATTAACGTAACGTAATGCGTATATAATACCTACGCATCACACATAAAAATGAACAGTAAATAAAACAACGAATGCATAGACAACCTAATCACACTTCAGTTCTACATTACATTTAAACTCTAATAAATCTACTAGTCATATAACTATACTGCATCAATACATAAGATAATTTTGTAACTATCAAACCAATTATTAATAATATATGTTTTAACGTTTATTAAATAAATTGTATTCGCCGTGATCATAATTTCTTCGTTAACGAGTATTTTTAACTCTCGTTAAAATTTTGTTGTCTTTAATGTACTAGGTACTTATATGAAATCGTATAATTTTAATCAAAATCGTGTTGATTATGAAAAATACAATAGTAAAATCTAAAATTGAATTTGTGTTATCAAATTTCAAATATTGGCATTTTTAGTAATGCAGTGTTGCATGGATCAACTGGTGTCGGGAAGGGGGTGGCATATGGTAGTAGTTTAATAATAGTTTAATTATTGCACAAAATAAACATTATTAAACAATAGAAAAATTAAAAAATCGTAATAAACGAAAATCAATTATTAAATGACAAATAATAGATGTAATGATATATATATAAAATCGTTTTTAAATTCCATCTTATATAAATACAAATAATTTGTGCGCATTATTACTCATCTAATTTATAAGTAATGTAAATAAATAAAATAATTAAAAAAGACGAACATGCTTCGCTTGTGGGTGAGCCACTGTTGTAAATGAGAAGTTGGGAAGGTAGAAAAAATTTAATGTATATCTGTACGCAACCATTAACCATTGCTAACGAAAAACGACTATGAGCGGAGTTAAGTTAAGAGTGTTGCTTTGTCAACAATATATGTGCCATATTATAGTAAAATAATTGCATTACAATAATATAATTATATATTTTCTTTAATATTGTACCTATTTTCCCGTTATTTTTAATTTGTTGGAGAATCTCCTGGAAATATCGAAAAAAAGGTAGGTTAAGTAAGTAGATTAGTTAGGTAAGTACTATGTGGATATAATTGTTTGACCAAACAGAAATGCATACAAATTTAACAAGAGGTTCACTATAAGTTGTACTTAATGATAAAATTATAAAAGTAGAGTGCAATGGAGTAATCTTTTTTTTACAACTGTTTTAAGATCAAATTTTGTAGAAAATCGTAAATATTATTTTTTACCTTATAAATCATTTATAAACGAACTTTGATCCGAACCGTTTTTCGTTAATGATGGTTTATCTTTGCAAACAGATATAAACTAAATAACTACCCTACCTTCTTAACTTCTCATCTAAAACAGTGGCGCTCTTAACAGCAGTATCAGTTCTTTTTATAGCTATTTTTTTTGATTTTTTTGATTTCTGGTTTCATTACTGCTCTCCTGAGAATCGTTTTATCATTTGCAATCATGTATCGTTTCATACAATATATAAACTTAATTATATTTATATAAATTACAATAACTTCCCAACTAACTATTTGTAACAGTGGCATAAGCAGTTACAACTTTTCTTAGCCTTCCGAAAATAAATCTTGTTTGCATTACTGTGTACATTACGAGTATCACAACCGCAATAATGAAGCGAGTAATACTTTCTGGGGTATTCATGATGTGTATATTTTAGCAACTTTTCGAACACAAACCTTACTTCAATCATCAATTTAGGTGAATTTTGAACTTTGTTAAAAAATATCTATGAGAATATTTTCAAAAATTTCCACAAAAAGACAATAGTTGATAATGTTAACAAAAAAAAAACAGCTATTGAAAAATAGCTTCATAGCATCATATGTAACAAAACTTACTAACAAATTAAATGCACGGAAAAAAAAAATTCACAGAAGTTTTTTTCTGTGTATTGTTTTATAGCAATTTAAAATTTTAGTTTTTATATTCGTAGCGTAACAAGGGATTTATTGGTTTATTTTGGGTCTATGAAAAAAATTGTTTTTTGATTTTTCCGCAATTTTCACGATGATTGGGAAAACTAGAAAATGATGATGATTAATGCCATGCTATGGTGACAGGTTTTCAGATGATTACCAAACATTATTTGTCAACAATTTTAAAAAAATTGTCAAGGTATTTAATTTATTTAAAATACATTTTATGCGAAGTGATATTTGTTTGATAAATATTAATTTATAAACAAATACTGCTTATTATAAATTTAAATTTAATTAAATAAAAAAAAAACCACGATATTGGGAATTTATAATGACTTTATAATTACGAGTTTAAAATTGGTGTTTTGGATTGGCACTACTTGACCCTCATTAAGAATTTGTTTTAATTTATTTGTCAGTGTAGCCACTATCTAATCTAAACAAAAACTTAAATTATATCTATTCAATTGTAACTTGGCGTTTTTTTTATAATCTTTGAATCGCGAATAATTTTGTTTGGTCATCCGGTCCCTCCAACATTTAAAAAATTGAAAAAAAGAATATTTTAGAAATGTAAACTTTCACTGCATGATTTTTAACTGATAACGTGACAATGCGAAATATAATTCAATTTATTGATTATACATCACATTAAAAAAAAAAATGAATTTTTACATAATATAATATACTATAAAAATAAAAATAATAACGTAGTCATACTTATATGGGAAAAATAAAATTAATTTTTAGTATCGTAATTGATACACATAAGAAGGGTATGTGAAGGGCATACTTTCCGCCGTTTAATTTTTATATTATTTTAAAAATGATCGTGTAAAATATTGTGCAAATATCTTGTGTCACATATACCTAAACGAAGGTTGAAAACTGCTGTACTTCACAGCTCTATTTTAGTAGTGGATATTCACGATATATATGTATATCACGAACGATATCAAAACTGATTACAAAAATTCAGAACGGACACAGGATCTGGTATTTTTTTACCACAGTGGCACAAAGTATTATTTTAATTTTACCTAACATACAAGATACATAACTTACTCTACACTTATTTTTTTACGAAAAATAATTGCAGTCTACACAATGTGAGGTGACTAATGAATAACTCATAAAAATCATCTTCAATGTCAAATTTATATATATCTCCAAATCAAATTAATTATTGATATTTTCAAATTCAGAATAAAAAAATAATTTTGGGCTACATTAGCTAAAACAAAAAAAGGAACGAGGAATGGGAATGAGTTTCTATATTGCAGTGGTACTTACAAACAGATGACGATTTTGTATTAAAGAATATATTTTAAATAAATAGGGAAATATATTATAATTTATTATAAAGTACGTAAATTGATAGCTATATTTTTATAATATAAATTATTATAGCTGTTTAACAATTCGTACTCAAACAATTTAAATAATAGTTATATAATATATCAAGTATTACCTACCAGAGTATTACCAATGATTATTATTGTGACTATAGTATTAAAATTTCTCACGGGCATCGAGATCAAAAATCATTAGGTACTTTCGTATAATAAAACTGAACTGAACTGAATTATTTGTTACCTAATCAATTAATTATTAGATTAATTGATGATTGTTGTTTTAAAAATAATTATATTTATTTCGTATATTGAAGACTGAAGCAAAATATCACAGTATCAAGTTATTGTCAGTACTTTTTAAACTACGGTATTATATCTCTATAATTAGGTAATTAAATACTTTTTAACTATAGTTATACAACTATAGCTATACAACTCAGTATCGTTATAGATTAAATATATTGAATTTATATTGTATACTTAATCTATAGTATCGTATAAATTATACAATATTGTGTGTTGTATTTTTTTAAATATTGGTCATACTAAAATAGAATAATATAAGTAGGTAGGTAATACAAATATTAGTTTTAATATAATATATTACATAAAAATAATCAATGAAACATTTACATTACCTATCTATACTTTACGACCAATCTTAATCTGTAATGTTTTAATTAATTATTAACTACCTATTTATGAAAAATAAAAAAACATTTTTGACAAAATCAAATTTTATATTTAATAAAAGAGAAGTTAATTAATTATATATACATATACACTCATATATATATATATATATATATATATATATATATAAAAAAACTAAACATAAGCAAACGGAAATAATTATCGAACTATCCCATAAGGAAATGGGATAATGGATGTCAATGGATTTATTAATATTAATATTTATTTTTGTATTAAAGCATATCAGTGCAATTAGTAGAACGCAATACCTACCTAAGCGGTACCTACCTAAAATAACTACATCTGTTTATATTTTATTCGATCGTTGATAATAAACCTATAGTTAAGTTAGGTCATTTATGTAGTTGCATCCTAGTTTTGTTCCAATGACCCTTTTTTTTTCATACCGGTTCCATCAAAAAAAAAAAAGCTATACCAATACTGTAGTTAATATTTCAGTATTTTCAAGTATGAACTTTAATAAAAATATTTATAATGTATTTTTTAAATACAAAAAAATAATTCTTGAATTTATTATAAATTTAATATTATTATGATTAATATTATTATATTGGCAATACCTATACATTAAACACAAATAATACATGCAATTTACATAATATTAATTTGAGGATATTATATTTTAGTATGTACCACCTTAATAGATTCATTTACATTGAAATATTTGTTTTCCAAATTTAACTTTAATATGAATTCACATGAATACATTATAAATTAAGTTTAAATCATTAGAAATAAAAATTAATTTTTATATACTTTTTAGGTAGGTATTCAATATGAAATAAATAATTTTTTTATTGTTTTTAAATCAAATGTCCAATTATTTGTAATCCACCAAATATTCCTCCTACAATTAAAAAGAAAGGATAATGGCGTATTAAACTATACAAGAAAGATTGATTTTCCACAATAATACGGCAGTCCAAATTTCCTCCATCATTAATTCCCAATGTTTTTGCCGCTATATCTGACAATTGCACAAGTGTTTGATTATCCGCTGGAACTCGGTTATTGATGGTGACAATTATATTATTATCCCCATATTGCACCAGGACTTTTGTGTAAGGATTTAATGTCCTATGTGCTGCACTTACTCCAAATTCTTCAAATAATTCATTGGATTCTGCTACACTAGTATTCTTGATGTATGCACATTTTCCATACATAACTATCCGTATAGGAAAACAAATTTAAATGAAATTTTCATAATTTTTATATTTAAAAGTAATTTATAATTTTTGAATGAAATTACCTTCTGTTGCAAATCGATTAGTTTTTACTAGGGATTTTGGATCACTGCAAATTCCACCAAACAAAAAGGATGATTTTGCACAAAACTGAGTACAGCAATCTGTGTCTTCAGAACATACTCCTTGTCTTTCTGTACATATTTGTGAGTCCCTGGGGATCGTTTGATATTGACAGTTTACACCTATAACTGATATGAACAAAGAATATTACAAAACACGAATTATAATAAAATGAAAATTACTGGAATTGATAAAACTTGTTTAAAACAATTAAAATTTATTGAGATTTGTACTAATAGCTCGTCTCCAGAGGTTTGTATGTACAATATTATATACATGTGTTCATGATTTTTGTGTAGCAAAATCTTACAACTTCAGTAAATTATGATGATTTTATCATTGAGAAGTTCAAAATATATTTTTATATATGATCATGTATGTTATTAATTACAGTGGTATTATAGAAAAATTTATGAAAATTTATTTTATATACTTAGCAGAAAAATTAAGGGGGTGGACTACATGGGTATTTTATCTATGGTTTTTTTTCTGGGTTCAAAAATTCGACTAACTTTAGAAAAAACCTTGAAATGAAATGAATATTTTGTTAAGTAAATATTGTATGAGTGATCTCATACCTTCCATATAGATTTATGTATTAAAATGTTAGTGTAGTGAAAGGACTGAAGTTTTACTAAGATGTGTTATTTTTTCTTATAAAATCACTATTTTGGTTAGTAAAAGTGCTCCTATTTTTTCATGCATTATATTTAAAGAAGTTCATTTTAAAATTAATGATACATTTTAAAAACATCTTTCAAAACGATTAATAAATTTTCCAAAAATTGCACTTTATGTTTTTTTAAAACACTCTTTTTGGTCAGTGAAATATTTCGATATCTTACACAGTATCTAAAAAAAGGTATAGAATTTTTACCCGGTGGTACAAAATATTACGAGTAACACGAATAATAATACTAAAATTGCTCCACTCAGAATTGATTTTTGATTGAAATAATTTCACCTAACGCATCAAATAAATATTACATAAAAAACTCGATAAAATTAAAATGTCTATAAATAACTCATGAATGACTCAAATGTTTTTAAAATTTTACTCCGTCCATAAAAGGCAAAAAACAAATTTAAAGTTTTTTTCCGAAATTCAAGTCTTTAAAAATATTTTTAACTAAATTACAAGAAAACACAAAATTAAAAACAATAAAAGCATTATTTATATATATTTTTCCAGATTTTTTGCAATTATTTTGAAAAATACTTAAAATTCAAAAAATGACCTTTTTAAAGTATCGTAAAAGAAAAATTAACTTTCGGAACTAGATTTTTGGTAGAATTTCTGTACACAGTATAAAAATAAAAAAAAATAAATTTAATTTTTTTAATTTGATAAAAACTGTAGGGAAACTAGAAATGTTTTTAATAAAGTACCATTAGGTGAAAATTTCAGATCTTTTAAAAGAACCTGTGAAAAAATCGGAGCATTACTACATAACATACTAACATACCAACATACCAACAAATATTATTCGAGAAAAAACCACATAATTTAGTAAAATTATAATAACTTCTTCACTACACACAGAATCTAATATGGTTTTAGTAAAATAGTTTTATAATTTGTGTATAAATAATAAAGGGAATTTATTTTATAGGTACTTTTCTTCAAAATGAAAAAAATCTAGATAATATTTTTTATTAGATTTATTTTTTGTTCGATGTAAAACAGTTATTTCTGCGCAATCAATTTTGCATTAAATATGTATGCAGATATGTTAAACTAGTCCAGGCACGTAACCAAGATTTAATTTCGAAGGGATGGTCCATTTTCATAAAATTGCATGTTATCATTATTAGATATATTAGTTTGATACGATATATGTACATCATTGAGCAAACTTTGATGTGGGATTCTGGACCTCATGGGTCCCCTCCTTAGCTACTCGCCTAAACGTGTTGTTATCGAGGGCTAAGGGGACTTATATTTAATAAAACAATAATTATTGCACTGCAGGGGCGTAATAGCATATAGTTTACTATCCCAGAAGACAAAAGGCTGCTTTCTGTAGTCAATTTTGGGTCAGTGATCTAAGGTTTATACTTGAAAATATATACTTTTATACTTGTATTAATAACACGTTTTCCTATGAGTTTTTGACCAGAATTTCATTTTATTGGTGTATTAAGATCATTTTTTCCTTCTACTTTTGATAATAAATGTAATAAATGTAATTTGGTGAAAAATAATTGTAGAGATCTGAAATTTCTACAAAATAATAGTATTTTTTAGAGGTGTTAAATTTAAAAAATATTTTTTAGTTATTTATACTTAATACTTAATACTTTATACTTAAACTTATTTGTTTTTATGTGGACTGTGGATACAGTTTTATTGGTTCATATAAAAGTTATATAATTTGAAACGAGGTTCATTATAAGATCTACTTAGTGGTAATTTACTCATATTTTTACGAATATGCGTTTTAATTTTAAATGTATGATAAAATTGTTGGAAAAGAACACAAGCAATTGTAATTTATTTTCTAGTTAGAAACTATTAAAGTTGACAGGAGTCAACCTAACCGGGGCCACTGTAATTTCTGTGACAGTGATAGGCTGAATCTAATCGAGCCCTCCTTATTAAACGTACGAAAAATTACTCAACTAAGTACAAATAATTACACTACACAATTATGTATTTGCAAAATTACCTCAAACAAAGGATTTTTATAATAAATGTAGCTATATTTTACTCAAAATATAATGCTTACAATTTACGATCTGCTACAATCTAGAACAATAAGTAAAAGAGATGAATGATTTTTTGGCTTGAAAAAAGAGATTTAAGTAGCCTTCCAGTAAAGATACTTCATAAAGTATATATAATTTTAATTTATTATATTTAGCTCCCATTGAAAAATCCCGAGTTATGTACGTCAAGAATAATAATATTTAAAAAACTATAAAATAATGTTGACATTTATTAAATAAATCGTAAAAATTATAATTAATGATTTGTATATTATATAAATATAGAGTTATAGCCAATTTATAAATTTTATTTTATTTAAAAAATAATTTAGATAAAAATTATGTAAAAAAATCAATAAATTAAATATGAATTAGAATCGTTTGATTTTACGATTACGAAATGATTTATGGATCCCAAAAAAAAATTCTTATAGATTGACAATATATAGAATTTTATAAATTTTTTAAAGTAGGTGAGTAAGAAAATACACATTTTCAAAAATATATTTGATGAGAGTAATATTTTTAGAGAGTTTTTACTGAGAGTTTTATTGAAAAAAAAAGAATACAATATACTATGATTACCTGAAATTGTGAAGATTATCGAAAGCGCAACTGAAGATCTCGTCATTTTTAAAAGTATAAATCGTATGGGCGGTGTAAACTGTCAAATTTGTATAGTAAGAGTGAAATCAGCACCACGTGTATCATACGTTTTATACAAACTGTATTATGACATTTAAACTCCGATTAAATAATTATTATAACTGAACCAATTATTATACATTTAATAATTTTTTAAATGTGCTTACATGATTGAACTTATGTGTGCGTATGTGTGTGTGTGCGTATGTGTATGTGTGCATATGTGTGTTTGTGTGTGTAGATTAGACTAGGTTAAAATATAATTGGATACATACAACAACATTCGTTCTTTTTATACGGTACCTACTAAATATTTAATAAAATAATTTTTTTTTTTTTTTGATATAATACGCGTTATGTTCAAACATTGTATTCATTCACTGAGTGAAAAAACGAGTATTGTGCGCTGAATTTAAACCACACGTCGATATTTGTTCTTTCTTCTTCTTTCGTTTTTTGGGGGGTCTCAAATCGCGTATAAATATATAATATTATCATATTGTTATCATATCATTTTGTTTATATACTTACCTAACCAAATTGCGTTTTGAATAAATTCGCGAATTCGATAACATATACAAAAAAAGTATACCAGACCCTTAACTTGATTTTAAGAAAAGGTAGCAAAATTAATTTAACTTTGAGTGGATACCTAAGTTTTGTTCACTGTATTTTTTAAACTATTTGTGCAATCTGACAAAGTTTTATACAAATTTGTATGAATTATGATAAAAAAACTGTGATGCTTACAAATTATTATAAATATGAAATTTTAATTTATAATAGTTTTTACATAGCCAGTATTTCATTGCAAAAATATTTAAAAGTAGTATAGAAAGTAGTTAGATATTTTAACTATATTTATATTGTTCAAAATGATAGATTGGTTTTCGTCCTTTTAGGCGTTTCGTATTCAATGTTATTAATAGTATTAAGGATTACGGCGTTATCGAAATTCGTAGGTATCAAATGTTTTATTTTAGATAATTTAAATCAAAGTAATTAACCATATAATTTTACTTTCCATTCATATAGGGCCATGTCTATAGGTTTTTGTATATTTTAGTGGAACGAGGAATGAATTAGTTTTACAATGATGTTTATTTTTTTTTTCCTATGAACAACTTTTTTACCGGTAATTTTGCTCTGATTTACAATAAAAGTACATTTTTCGCAAGGAAATCCAACTGGGGCGGTACATTGAGGAGGTCTTTTTTTGGTTTTCCCAACTGTTTTCATAATAAATTGAAAAAATCGGGAAACGACACGAGAAAACCGAAAAATAACGGGAAAATAGGTACAATATTAAACATATTTATTAGAACAACATATATAACATATTATTAAAGAAAATGTTTAATACATATATAATAATTATTTTACCATAATATAACATTATATGTATTGTTGACAAAGCAACACTATCAACTGAACTTCGCTCAGAACCGTTTTTTCGTTAGCAATGATTAATTATTGGGTACAGGTTACATTAAATTCCAGTTTATAACTTCCTAACTTCTACTTAAAACAGTGAATGCATGCGTCTTCATTATCTTAGGATATCATTTTTTAGACTTAATCTAGACTTAGTCAATATTTGAAATGTGGATAGACCACACATTTGTGTGAACCATCGGGCAGCCGCATTCTCAGTCAATAAATATTACTAGTAAATTTCTAAGGGTCAGTAGTATAAATCAAGTTTAAGCTTTAGTTCACGGTTAAACTTGACTCAGCGTAAAATTCAACTGGTACAAAGTTGGTTCAAAATTGAGATGTACTTTAAGCTTGGCTCAAGTTGAGCAGCACATTTCAGTGACTCAGGAATAGTTTAATCAAAAGGAAATGATAAATATTATCATAATATCAATAATTGTATTTTATCATATTTTTATATTTATTTTATTTTATGTTAAATATAATATGTACTTTTTACAATAATTATAATATTAATAATTGTATTATATTATATTTATATTTGATTGATTTCTTTTTTGTATGTGTATTTCAGCTATAGTTATAGGTATTTTTGATGATAAAATGGCCAAAGAGCAGCAAATTTTACCGAAAACGAAAAAGAATGGTTAATATTTTATATTTAAAAGAATAAGAATGTACTGGAATGTAAAAAATCAGCTGTAAATACAAATAGGTGACTTCTACATTTTATACTAAACTAAAGATCCAAAATGAAGAATGTAGTAGCTTTTGATAAATGAAATCAATAAATTCTTGGTCTAGCTCTTTCTCAAAATGATTCGTGCGAGGTCTGATAATTTTTGCAAGTCGTGGAAATGGAATGATTAATGCCACATCAAATATATTTTCGTCATGAACTACTGTAACTATCTTCAGAAAAATTCATGTTATTAAGGATTAGAACTAATAAAAGAAATTGTACAGCGAATTGTTTAGAAAACAATATAGTAAACAAATCAAGCTCTTGTAAATGCTACTATTTCCATGCGATAGTTAGCATGACAGCAAAGTAAGTACTAAACAACCACTATCAGTTATCATCACGATTAAAGATCTTTAATCATGTTTATTATGGAGTGTTATCGCGATAAAATATCAGATAATAGATAATATATAGTAGATAATAATCTATACACCTTGAGTTCTGCTAAACTCCCCATGATAGTGAATTGTATAACTGACTTATGGTTATACTTAAGTACAGTTTTTAAGTTGAGTTCAAATGATGTTAAGCTCAAACTAAGTGTTTGTATATTAACTTAAAACCTTTTCCGCGTCCATTTAAGAGCCATCAGTCACTAGTACTCCGTCGATGTATGGTCTTGAGTCGTACATTATAGTCCAGCTCACTACAATGCTGAACCCAAATTTGCTGTCACACGCTTGTAAATCAGAGAACAGGGGCATATACAAGGGGGAAGGCGATAGAGGCGATCCCCCCCCTGGGAATTTTTGAATTTGTTTTATGTATGAGTATATACATATTTTATTATTAATAAACAAAATATTTAAAAAAAAAGTTAATTTTTTTTGTGAGGAAATGGTTATCAAAAACTTCTTGAGAGATGGATAAGAGATTATAAATATTGTAGCTATCATCAATATAAACATCTACTGTTGATTTAAATAATTATATTGTGGTTATCTATACGATTATTGTCTGCACTCTACAACTGTGGTCCGTGTTATTAACTTATTCTGTTTTCAGGGAATGAGACTATAGAGCCGTAATAACTATCTATATCATAACAAAAATTGATACGTTTTAATGAAAAGACGATCATGGTAATACGAGTACAGCACTATAGGTCTGCAGTACCTAGTTTTCGGTATTTGTATAAGCAGTTTTCATTAATACTCAATACTGAAATTCGTAATACATTTATACACGAAATAATGACTATATATAATAACTAATAACGGTATTTGGAAAAAAAAGCCTTTGACCAAAAACCACATAAGGAAAAAAAAGCCCCTACAAAGCAAACAAATATTTATTTAATATTTACCTACTACAAAAACTACAATCAGATATTCTTACAATAATCGATATGGATAAATTGACTACAAATATACTAAACTTATTATTTAAAATCTCAAAATATACAATATAACATATATTTAGTAACTATACCTATAGCATATTATTTTATACTATTCTATAAAGGGTATTTCAAGCAATAAATTAGAAAAATAAGATAAATACATATAAATTAATAGATTTCGAACAAAAATAGGCAATAAGCAATAATAATGTACGTAAATCATTTTTTTGAAAATCTACCTAATTATTTTTGCAACTTTTTTTTTTTTTGAATGAATTCACAATGGAACTTTTTTTACAAGCCTTCTTTTCAATACCTATAAACAATTTTTTTTAAGATGCCAATAACTATATTTTTCCAAGGGGCTTCTTTTTCCTTCGTCGGGACTTATTTACCTACGTCGAGGCTTTTTTTTCTAGGGCTTTATTGTCCTTAGTTCCTAATAATAGTTATCAAAGTGGGTATAAATCAATTATACAAGTTCTAAACTATTAAAACGATTGGAAAAATTTGAACTGCCAATCTATTTATAATCTGTAACACTGCCATTTATAGAAATATACTTTTATAATTAATACTTTATAAGTGTGATTAAAGTTCGAATTTCGCGAAAGAAAGAATTAGAAAAAACGGGAAAATTTACGAAAATAATGCTTTTGTTATTTTGAATTTTGTTTTTTATTGTAATTCATTTAAAAATATTCGTAGAGACTGATAGAAAACTTATATTTAGTTTTTTGAGACATAACCAAATTTTTAAAACATTTGAGTAATTTTTATGCTCTTTATAGATATTTTAATTTTGCAAGTTTTTTCCTAATTTGCATTTGGTAGGTACTATGTGAACATTATTGTTTGATCTAAAAGAAATGCATATAAATTTAATAGGAAGTTCATTATAAGTCGTACCTGTTGTAAAAAAAAAAAAATGAGTATTGATTAAAAATGTAGTATTTTATTTTATAAGAATTTTAATATCTAATTTTGACAAAAATCGTAAATATCGTTAACAAAGGTATATTATCATTGATTATAGATATACATTCAATTTCCTTTTATATCCTACCTTATTAACTTTTTTAGTTTATTATTTATAAAAATAAAATTCAATCAATTTTTAGATTTTGAGTACTATAACGAAGCTTTTTAGTTCTCAAAATATATGCTTTATTCTATTATTTTTTTTTTTTGAAAATGTTTGACCAGACATTTTTTGCTTCAATCTTCTACCTTCTTACTTCTACTGCTAAAATTATCCTGTACGAGGAGCATAACGATAATGTACACAAATACCCGCAATGGGTTGACTTTTGTTTTCATATATGATAAAAATGCATGTTATGATTTTTTTTAAATGGATGTTTAAAGTTTATTATTGAATTTTGTTCATTTCTTGCTATATAATTATATTTGTAAAATTGTTAAAATGTGTATTGTTACCATAGTGCAAAAACCATTGCAATCAAATAATTAATAAGCGTAGTGGAATTTTCGGATTACTTTGATACTTGTTTTTATTGGCAATCAATTAGATCAAACTTCCATTCGTAATGGAAGCTTTTATAAAATGGTCATTCATTTCAATATAACATATATTTTTCGAAATAATGAAGCTTATTTAGATGGAAATATATTGTTTTGGTATACATCAGCTATTGTTTTATGTGGTTTAAGTATTCGTAATAATACACTTTTGAATATACTACAACCGGTATAATAGTATTATAAATAAATATAATTGTGTACCGAGACAATAATTATTATAAACTGATTACTTACGGTCAAATATAATTAATATAATTAGCTTATCATTTTTATATTAAAGAAGAATGATTAAATTACTCAAATAGAACTACCAAATATTATTTACTTTTATCGAAATATATGTAGTGTAAAGGCCGTTTAGAAACATTATAAACAAATGATGTGAGATAATTATACAAGATTTATATGTGTAGTTATATGAATTGATAATGTAGTGATGAAAGCTGCATATGTACAGAGTGATTTTATACAAGTTAGCATCTCAGAAAATATTTTCATTGTATCGAAATTTAAAATAAATTAATATGGTCATGGTGAAACCATTTCCGACTATTAATTTTTAACTTGACAACCTGAGCAAATTAAATTAATAAAAAAATTAATAAAGTCGTATAGTTCAATACATTTCAATATTAATATAGATAATAGACAACTTAACTTTAATTTATTATTGATTATTAATTTAGTTTATAATTTTGCAAGTTAGAAGAGAATAATTTCAAAACGAGTATAGGTCGCCATTTTAAAATTAAAAGTTTGTACCCCTAATCATAAACATAAAAAAGAGCAATGTAACATTTTCCAAAAAAAAAATTCCGAAAAATATATAATAAGTCTAAACATTTCGAGATAATATAACTTTTCTGCGTTAAATACATCAGACTGTATAGTGTTTAAATTAAATAAATAGTAAGCTTCCTCACTCCACTCAGAATCTTAAAATAAAAATATAAAAAAATAACGAGTATCTAGTAAGATAATCTATAATCTAATAGTATTAATCTGTTATATTTATTTCCAACATTTTTTTGACAATTCTTACTAATTTCAAGTCCAGGTTTCTAAATACAGTTATTCATGCTATTATTAATCCTGTACGAAAATTGCGTGTTTAATAACTCACAATTAAAAATGTTATCAAAAAAAATATAAAACACTTAAGGTAGGTAATAATAATTCTTTCATCATTATTCATTAATTAATTTTAAAATTTAAAATTATAATATGAAACTTTTATGAACATAATTTTTAGTTTTTCAATAATTTTCTCAAAAATTTAATTAAAGGTTCATCATAAGTTATTCTTAATGCACTAATAAAATATCGAAAATGCATAGGCATAATGTATTCGTTTTTCAATGATATTTATTTTTATTTTTTATCTGTGAACAACTTTTATACTGACAATTTCGCTCCTAATTTAATGATAACACTTTTTCTGAAACGTAATCTGACTGAGATAGTACTTTAGGAAGGTTACTTTTTTGATTTTTTAGGAGTTTTTACAACAAATATGAAGAACCTAGACAAAACATGGACAAATTGTGAAAAACGTAGAAAAACTGGGAAAATCGGTATGTTGTAAACAAATATTATTAAAGAAAATATAAAAAGCTTATTAAATATTATTTTACTTTAAAATGACATATATATTGTTTGCAAAGTATCCCTACCAACTGAACTCCGCTCAGAATCTTTTTTACGTAAGCAATCGTTTATTGTTGCTTACATGTTTACATTAAATTATCTACAACAGTGACTGTATCCGACCTCATTATCATAGGTCTTTTTCCAGCTTTTTTTCCTGTTGTTCTGACGAACTTCTTTTAGGACGCTTTTTGTCCTGGTTTTTAATAATATATCGATGCCAATTATTCCGTATTAATTCTAATTTTTTTTAATTACATATAAATATTTTATAGGTTTAACAAACATGTTTAAATTTTATTTTATTTTTGAATAAAATAAATTTGTTGACACACATATTCGTTATAGATGATGACAGTGATTGCCATTATATTCATGATTTATGAAATATAATAACCATAGAAATCGATACCAGTGATATAATACATCTTAGAAACACGGATATATTTAAAATAGTTAACAATGTAGGTATAATTATGAAAAATTAATAAAAAAAAAAAAATTAATAACAATAATAATTAATAAATATTACTTTAAATGTATAACTGAAATTATTTTGTTCTATTTTTATTTTTTAAAATATAGTCGCCCTATTGTAAAGGTAAGTGTTAGATACCTGATACAAATAAAAATTACATAATATATAATTAAACGTACCTAAAATGTAAGTGAAAACTTAATTAATTTAAAATTTTGACTGTGGGAAGATGTATTTGGGTTCATCTTCTTCTCCAGAAAAAAAAAATACACAACTACTCAGTCGCAGCATTTTTTGTTGACAAAACGTATAATTTCTAGTTTATATTATAGAGGCGTAAAAAATATTTTACCTCGAGTCGCTTTAATATGCAGCTATGTCACTGCTACACTCAGAATCTAAAATGACAAGTTATTTACTTTTTTACGTACCTAAACTTTAAAAAAATAATAATATTGATTATCATAGTGATAACAATATTTAATTGGTTTATCTATATTACCATTGTTTTAATTTAAAATTATTTATACCTACATGAATAATATCATTAGTGATATATCATCAGTGCCTGTTGATATCGTAATGTGGAAACAAAGCAGAAATAATCAAGATATTTACATTTCTATGTCTGAGTTTAAAATTTGTTTAAAAAACTTATTAAAAATACCTATTTTGGTTAGAAATATAATAAAATAAATATAGTAATTTATATTTCATGATTAGCAATAGCAAAAAGAAAATTATATAAACGAAGAACTAACATAAGGATAATAACTAGTTTATTATTTAAAACTAATATAATAGTAATTTAAATTTAAAAAAAAAATCAAATGCTTAAAATGTTCAAAATAATTATTCATCAGAAAAACAAAATCATGAACGGTTATTTGGAATTACGGTCATAAATCATAGAGTAACATTACTTTATGTTGTAAAACATGTTTACTGTAGACCATTCTTCTCTGCTTGATAATTTTGTGATACAATTTTAAATCTATTGGTGCTTTATTGATTAAATTCTGTCTATCACAAAACTTTACAAAAACTTATCGTTCGTTTTTTTTTTTTTTTTTAATCTAATATGCAGAAAAATTGTTTTCTGTATTTCTGTATAATAATTGATTAAATAATAAATGTTCAAATAATATATTTCGTAAATATTGTTCGTTAATTGGTGTTCGTGTTGGATAGATCCTAGACAAAGACTATTTTATTCATGTATTATTCCAAAAAAGAAATAAACTCCTTTTAAATAAACAATTTATTTCCTGAAGGAGCTAAGTTCAAGGCCATAACAGTCATATAGTTATTAGGTATTTAATTTTAGCTTTCCAAATAATTATAGTATTTTGTTTTCGAAGAAAAATTATTCATTGGTCCAAAGAATAGATTTCTAATGTTTTGAGAAAACGGAAAAAAACGGAAAAATAGGTACAACGTTAAAAAAATATTATTAAAAGAAATGTTTAATGTATAATATACAATAATTATTTTACCATAATGTGACATATACAAGCTGTCCCACGAAGATGGAAATTTTTTTTTAAAATAGCAACACTATATTTTTTTAAAGATTCGGGTACAACACACACCAAAAGTAAAATTTAATTATTTTACACTTATTTTATTATTTATAGTGGTTAAAGGTTTAAATTTCATTAAAAACAAATTAGGTATACATAAACCCAAATTTCAACTTATTCCAACTTTTGTCAATTTTTTTATTAGAATCTATTCGACTACGTAACATGTTACTATCGAAAAAGGCGGACTAAGCATATTTATCTGGGAGGTCCAGGTATATAAGTATGTATATTGGCCGCCGAGAACGCCTTTTCAGATGAGTCTTAACACTATAATCTACGAGTACCTTCATGTTAGATTAAATTATAAATTAATTAAAAAGTGTTTGAATATTTTCAAACAAAAATAAATGTACTTATAAAATTATTGTGTTCAATCTTTTGAATATTAACTGATTCTGAGTTGGAAAATACGCAACATATCTTATTACTTTACGCTTTTACATTTTTTTTTTATTTTTTTATTTTCCTCCTTTTCACTTTCATCTCAACTATTTGAGGTTGGCCACAATCTTTCTAAATTTCCACTCCGACCAAATTTCCTGCTTCGCATATATTAACTGTCCTCATATCGCGTCCAGCCATCTCTTTTCAGTCTTCTTCTCTACTTATTTCCTCTTGCGTTTATTTTAATTACAATTCTTACTGCTTTAGATTCTTCTCTATTTATGAAATGCTTAAACTATTCCAGTCTACTTTTAGTCTATTGTCGAAGCTACGTTTAAGTTACCCTTTATGTACCCTAATCCTATCTTCTAACATAACTCAAACCGTCTATCTAAGAATAATTGTCATCTCTGCTAAACTAATTCTCTGTTATACTTTTCTGTCTACCACCCAACACTCCAAACCATACTACATAATTAGTCTACCAAACTTCTGTAGAACTTGAATTTAAGTCATTAGAATACCCTCATATTCATTAGAATACCCTTATCACATGAAACACTAAATACCTAACACGTTTCGTCATATTACCCAACTACACGTAATTCTATGTTTCACATGACTGTGAATACTACCGTTCAACCGTTGAACAAAACGCCTAGGTACTTAAAACTTTCAACCTCGCCTGTAACTGATTATTTTCAAAAGTGACTTGTCCTACTCTTCTAAACTCGTAATCTATTTCAATTCTCTTTATCCTTAGTCTCTGTTCTTTAAGTGTTACTCTCCATTCCTCAAGCATTCTTCTATTAACTTAGCCCAGATTTTCTCCTACCAAAGATATATAATCTACAACTATCACGCACCATGGTTCCTCTTTTAAACTGTTGTCCTCACGCACATCCAAGATAGGACAATCCACCCAAATCTTGTTTAGAACTCCTCATTCTGTTTGACAGAATTTTACTTTGGTTGTCGACCAAATACAACCCTATTTGTTGCCTCTTAAAACGGTTAAAGGCACCGGTACCTTTGGAGTATTCTTACACCCTCCCACAGGGAGAATGGTGGAATATGTTGATCAGAATGCATTGTCCTCCTCTTCAGTATATAACTATTCGGTTATTCACAGTGGGAGTCCCTGGCTGACGGAGCGCTCCGATCCTGTGGAGAAATCGATTAAAACAGCCATGCTCTGTCATTCGTTGTATAAAATAATAGAACACCACATCACGAGTCCTGTTCACCGGCTTAGTAGTCCCGAGGGAATCAGCGCCCGGTTCCACTTGCGTTTGCTATCTGTGGGTGGCACCGTACCCCAAGCCTCAGAGTTCCCTCTGCCACCCACAACTCGAGTCTGCAATACATTGCGAAATGAAGCATTAATTTATTCTTTAGGTGACAAAATTAATGACTCAATTAAAAAACCTGTAAGGTTAAAAATATTCTATTATTAGTCTGTTTAAATAATATTGGTGAATGGCAACGGTATCTAAAGATATAAGGAATTAATATAAATGACAATTGTTGGATTCAATGAAAATAAAACATACAAATCAATGACATACATTTATCAACAAAGCCATTGATATTTTAATTAGGTTTCAGTATAATAATTGAACACTGATAAAAAAAAAATCACTACCAATTAATATGATATTTAATATCTATTTTTTGTTTTTTAAATAACTACGTGCAATTTCTACATTTGAAACATTGATAAGCTATAATACGCCATTTCATGTGAGTTGTGAGTTCAATATCACGTGACTACAAAAATATTAAATTATTATGCGAATTTAAACCTAATTGAAAACCCATGTAGTATAAAGTTATACCAACTAAATGTTTACACTATCGCTGCGTTTATATATGAATTGATTGTTAAATGTCGTATTAATTTCTAATTGTATGTGAGAATATAATTTTATAACTAAAAATAAAATTCGTTTTTAGGTGTTTTTAAAGTTACATAATTTTTTTTTGGGGGGGTATTTCTGACCCTTAAGACTATCCCGTACAACAAATTTTCCTCCGTCTTTCTCTGTCTTCTGCTACTTTCCTCCAGTTTGCTGTTGGAATCTACTGCTACGACATCTCTTTTCATGCAATCTTCCCATTTAAGGCGAGGTCTGTCTAGTAATCTTATTTTTACTAAATCCTCCTCAATTACTGATTTTATTATTGTGTCCACTTTTCTCCAGGCGTGGCCAATTCGCAATAACCTTCTTTTTGCGGCTTCCCTTGATATACACGGTTTTCGGAATATATTTTGAAGTTCCTCATTTTTTCGTATTCTCCATTCTCCTGTTAGTGGGTGTAGATATGGGCTAAAGATTCGTCTTGGAATTTTTTTTTTCAAAAATGTTTAATCTTACTTCCTATATTTTCCTTAGTGCCCATATTTCTGAGCCATACAAAACGATGGGGCGTATTATTATCACATATATTTTGGTTATATAATAGTTATTGAAATGATTGATGTGTAAATATTATTAACTAGGTACATGTGTGTATAAAATATGATTTTACAGAACATTATTCACAATAAGTCAAATAAAAATTATTATAGACACATAATCATACTGTATAATACAGTAGGTAGGTTTCTAAATAGCAAGGTTTATCGATACTTACTAAAAAATATTTAAAAACGTAATAGGTTTGTATGGAATCTGTAGGATATTGTCAACTGTCCCATATTTGTGTTATCCAAATTTCATATCGAGAAATATAGGTAAGTACTTCGTATTTAAACTATTGTAAAATTATGCAATATACAATATACATGTTATCATAATGTACAACTAGAGTTTAAATTCATAAAGTTTAATTTCAGTCAATAATAAATCGAAACTAATAAAGCTTATTAAATTTAATATTATTTAGCAGTGACTTAAACTAAGGTTTTATAAATTATAGATTACTGGTAGAGGTATAAGGAGTTTATTATCATGTATCACAATATGTTTCTGTACCCAGGATTGTATTTAGGATATAGCCCCTAGGCTTGCCTATGGTGCGGGTCCTGCCATGGGTGTAGGAATATATTTAATATATTGGCCGGTTGCTTTTTTTTGCATCCCCTTTCCATCCAGGGGTGGTTCTATAATTAAATTTTTTAAATTAAAAATATTAAATTATTAATAAAAGTATTCATAATCAAAAATGTATCACATTTAAGTTGCCTTAAAATATCGCTTTCTATACTCATCAGAACTAAAATATTTTCAGCTTTTCATCCAACATAGAAGTCCGAAGCTAATTTTTTATCAATTTTAACTATGAAAATAATCTTTCTCCACGGCTGTTGGTGACTATTAATGAGAGGTATATTTTCAAAGTGACCTCAATATTGAGAAAACTATCGCTGACGTTTTTGTCCAAAAGGATATAAAACATTTTTTTTTGGTGCGGGTCCTTCTGTGGTGCGGGCTTCTAGGCTGCAACCTATGAAGCTTGCGTTTAAATACGGCCCTGTCTATACCCTATGGCCAGTAGTTTTAAGAGTCTGCTCTATTGTCTATAATACCTAGTTGTTAACTTTATAACTAAATTAAATGTAAACAAAAAATCAAGAAAAACATTTTATTAAATTATCGCTGTAATAGTGCAATTTTATGAGTTGTTCTATTGGCCCAATTTTTATCTTTAAATAAAATATTTGGAAAAACCCTAGCAAATCATAAGTCATTACTACAATCTATATTTTATACACGATGCAGGTTATCAGCCTGTAAACGGAATTTGTTTTTTAGTTTTTAAATTATTTTTATTGGGCTACTACAGTTGTTACCTATTGTGTTATTCCATAGACCTTATACTAATAGACTGGCCTTGCATATAGAGGAACTAAACTAGTAACCGGTAAAACATACTGCGATGGTGTACAGTATAATTACATCAGTTTTGTCATTGTATGTGTAGTACAATGTACAATAATACCACTTAAAAGTTACAAGTTACATGTGAAGAGCGTCATCTTTCTATGACTGTTCTACGCGTGTACAAAAGGCTCGTCTATTAGTATAGGGTCTATGTATTATTTATGTATATAATATATTACTATGAGTACTATTAATACTACTATACTATTACAACTAATACTTTTACAAATTTACAATGGTCAATGGCCCATGGTAATAAACACTCTGATGCTAAACAGTAAGACAGACAATCAAATCGTAAGATATATTATGTTATATACGTATGTATAATATATTAATACATTATGATAATGATTTCCTCATCGTAATACCACTAATATAATGATTTACTTACTATTCATTATTAATAGATCGTATTTAGAATTATATTTAGAGGAAGGATGACTGCTGGAAAATCTTTTAAATTTTTACTAGAAGATATAATAGACGAGAAAGGTACTATATTGATTAGTGATTAGTGATTACCAATATATACTTTTTATATTGTCAATGTTGTCGGTTCATATTGTGTTATTAAAAAACAAATATAATATAAGTAAAATAATTAAACTGAACATCAGCAAGAATGTTTTATTTACATACATCCACTACTAAGATTCTGTTACGAATAGGTTTAATGAATTAAAAATCGTCTTTTACATCATAAGTAATGCAAATTCCGTGTCATAAATATATAATGATATATAATGATGATACAAAATTATGAACAATTTTAAAACCATAATTTTAATTAATATATTTATTCAATTTTAGATTCTAAGTGAAGTGATAAATTTATCAGTATAAATTTATTTAATTTTTTAAGTTTCAATATATAGTTTGCTTGTTTTTGTTTTATATTCCGAGTGAAGCGAGTTTTACAATGATGTTTATTTTTCAAACTGAAATGGTGCTTTAGGGAGATCCTTTTATGGTTTTCCCAGAAGTTGTCCCAATAAATGGGAAGAACCGGAAAAAAACGCAAGAATGTACGAAATGTAGGAATTAGTAAAAAAATATTACGGCTTTTTTTTTCCTGCGAACAACTTTTCTACAAGCAACTTTGCTCCAATTTACAATAATAGCACTTTTTCATAAAGGAAATCTGACTGGAGTGGTACTTAAAGGCCGTCATTTTTTGATTTATTCTGGAGTTTTCCCAATGAATGGAAAAAACTTAGGAAAAATGGTAAATTAGGTACAATATTAAAAAAATATTATTTCAGGAAATATATACTGCATATGTAATTATTTTTCTATAATATGACATATTATATATTGTTGACAGAGCAACACTATCAAACGAACTCCGGTCAACTTCGTTTTTTTGTTAGCAATGGTTAATCATTGCGTACAGATATGCATTAAATTTCCCCTCTACTACCTTCCCAACTTTTCTTCTACAATAGTGACTGCACTCGTCCCTAGTATTTTAGTACAGCTTTTTTTTTTGCTTACAACTTTTCTATCACCAATTGTTTTCGAAAGTACGCGTATATATGACTATTATAAAGAACGTCAGTTGTTTCTGCCAAAAAAACTTGATTTTCGTTCCCACTCATTTCCGCCAAACGAAAAGGGGACTAACATCGTTTGAAATTATTAAAATAATGAAACTAGGACGCCAAGTTTCCGCTTTACCTATAATTTTCTTTTCGGTTTTTCCCAATTATTTTTAAAACAGCTTCAAAGAAAACCAAAAAATGACCTTCTCAAAACATCAATTAGATAAAATTTCCTCTCAAAAAAGCTGTTACACTTGATAATCGAAGCAAGATATGAATCCCTCGGTATACTCCTAATCTAAAATAAAATTGAAAATAATTAACACAAACAATACACCAATATATAAGCAACATGACTACCTTATAATGTATATAATATTTATTTACTATTGTATCTATTATAACTAATAATATAATAGGCAGGGACGCAATTTATAAAATATAATAAGTGCTACTTACTCTCTTCTATTGTACTACATATATTAACTATTGGTTGAAAAAATAAATTAAAATATGTAGAACAGTTGCTCAGTCGTTGGTTTATAGAAAATCCAAAATGATCTCTGAATTAAGTACCATAGAATCTTTGTCATTTTGTGACAAATACTTAATTTACTTTACTCATCTGCATAATAATACCGAACATTTGAAATTGATTTATATTTATTTATAAAAAGCCCTTACTTAAATATTTCTTTGTAATATATATTTTCTATTATTCATATGCATATGCAATATTATATTTTAACGTAACTTATGTTGTATAATTAATTATAAAAAAACGAGACAGTTTGATGATATATTTCGAATTTATAATCTCTTAAAACATGCAAAGAGACTTGTTGTTTTCACAAAATACTCATATTTTAACTTTGTTAGTTTTTTACGTAATTTTTATTTGGTAAATAAAATTATTAAACTCAACAGAAATGCATGGAAATTTAACACAAGGTTAAAACATTAAACGTTGTGGTTAGTGTTCTAAAAAAAACAAATTTGAGTTTAATGCGTTATTTTTTTTTTTTCAATAGTGTTTTAAGATCAGATTTTGACGAAAATCATAATAATTACGTAATTATTACGGCATTTCAAAATATGTCACCTAACTTTTTTCCGAATCGGTTTTTATTAGTAATAGTCAATCGTTGAATATGGTATATATACTTCTTTGGTATATAGACTGTGGCTAACGAAATCCATAAAAGATAACAAAACATTGGAAAAACTATTTCATAAATAAACAAATTATATCATTATATTATTGCCTTACATATTTTGTTAAAATTGTATATAAAATATCTAATAATTCAACAGGAATACTCACAAAACGAATAGAAAATTAGAAACCAATAAACCATTATTATTATTTTAATTATTTTCCTTTCAATAAAAATAATTTTCTTTATAATAACATCGTAATTGTTTTGGGTTGCTAAGCATACACCCAAGTCCCCCCCCTAATTGTGTCTACGGTTATAAGGCAACTATATTAGTGTAAAAATGATGGAAAACATACATAATATGAAGATTTAGGGTAAAAAATAAATTAGATATTTGAAAAGAAGATAATTTTCACACAACGGTATGGTTATTTTGCAAGGTACTAGATTGTCTTGTGTGATTCTTAACACTTTCGCGGCTTCTTCGGACAGGTACAATAATTTTCGGTATTTGCGCACGGTTTGAAATTTCGACGAGTGCAGTTCTACGAGTATAGTCAATAGCCACTTCTGCCACAGCGGTTTGCGTGGGTCGCGTTTAATTCTCTAAGAACAACATGCGGCACATTCGGATTATAGTATACGCACTGCGCGTCATCAACTGTGTGACCGTCATGAAATAATATAAAAACATAAAGGGTATATAAATAAAATCGTGTTTGCATAATAAAATATAGGTACGATGGCTCTAATGACTATAACGAGCCATATACAACGAGGAGAGGAGACAATGAAAATGTTACTAATATTATAGCAGTGCTATAGATTGGAAACATCGTGGGTGGAGACTCTGGAAAAGTTTGACCTTAAGAATCTGGAAAGCAGAAGGCAAAAATGTAGTCCAAGACAAGGATAAATCTCTAGATTTTTTGGCGACAAAAATTATTTTTAAGGGGCCCACACACGATTAAGATTGAAGATTATCAATTTTTCGTGAATATCAATTTTGACATACATAGTAAGATACAAACAATTCTTCATTTCAAATTGTTTAAGAAATAAATGCCACCAAACCATGCCATAACTGGAAAATAATTTTGGAGGGGAAATTGTAAACTTAAAATGTGTGGTGTTCTAATTTTATTGACTAAAAATAATTATCTTCCCACAACATAATATATCACGAACAATTTTTAAGGACGGGTTGAACCCCAAAACCTCCTCTCAGGTATGGCCACCAAAGATATAGATAGATTAGGTTTAAATATGTACATATGTTTTTGTGTTTATGTTTACATTAAAATTTTTATAAATTCTAAATGACTATAAATAGAAGAAGCATTGTAATAATTGTAGTTTTGGCAACAGATAATTCAAATGAAGGGAAGAAATGAAACAAAAAAATCGGATATGGTTAAAAGAATGAATTTAAACACAATAAAGATTTGAAAATTTGATTTTGACTGATAACGCGTCTCAATTATTAATACACATGGTCAGCAGTCATGATTGTCAATTACTATGATTGTTTACAAACAATCAAACATGTTTGGAATTCATCATTTATCAAAAAAGATTATCACTTATGACTTATTTACATACATAAGCTAACAATTTTAAATGATAGTGTATGAGACCTTTAAGGAGTAGTCAAAACCATATAAGAAAACGAAGAATAAGAGTATACGACTATAAGTACGCATGTAATATATTTTATTATAGTAAAATATTAAATAGGTAATACCTGAGACCGTGCGTAATATTTTCATTAAAGGCGTCGGCAATATTTATTGAAATCGATCGAAAAACGGCAATTTCTAGAACAACAATAGTCATTGATTGAACACTGATTGTCATTATCTTTAGATACGCCACTGATGGGTTTTTCGTCATCATTACAGATAATTCCTATAAAACCGATACGATAAAACTAAATTAAAAAATATAGTAATAAATAATAATATATAGGATAATAATTGTAATCCATTAGGTGTCTCTGTAAGTGAGCTATTGCATTAAAAAAAATTATTGTTGTTATTAAGAGGAAGTCGGAAGTACATTTATTTTGTCACCTCTGTCTATCTAACGGACTATATACCAGAAAAACCCAGTGGCGTAACCCGGGGTGGGGAGAGGTTTTGGGTGTCTAGAAATCCCCCTTAATTTGTGTTTAAGTAATACACATTTATTAAAACGCGTTTTATATATATATATGGAGACGCGTGACAAAAAATCCCCTTTCAAATTGTGCCTACTATTGAAAGGGTTTGTTCCCAGTTTGCCAACTCCCAATTCGCTAATACCAGGTTATTCAACCAAAAAAATCAGTTTTTAATGATTTTTAAGTATATCCCAACTCGCCCACAACGATGATAATATTATCATTGCAATTTATACAAATATAAGGTTTATACACTATTTACTGTCTAACAAAACAAGTTTTTTTTATCATTATACCTATCACACGATTTATGCCATCAATCAATGTAGGTATTATATTATTATATAGCTAGGTATATAAATTACTGAAAAGTCTACTGGCCGCTGTGATTATTAGATAAAAATTATGATTTTAGTTTGTTGATTGATTTTAAAATTGTATATTTACATATATTTTACAGGTTAAGAAAAAACGAAATAACAATAATTAGGTATGTTGATACTATAAAATACCACATCCATACATAATTTGTATATTTTATTATTATTGTTATTATTATTATTATTATTATTAGTATTGAAGGTATACAAAATTATATATATATATATAAATATTTTTTTTTTTTTGATAAATTTATTTCATTATTAATTTACAAAATATGGCTCATATTGATTGATATAACTAGTGATGTAAATTTGAATGACATTTTATTTTATTAAAACGGCGTGAATCTGATTTTCGGCGAATTTGGAGTCAGCAACTGGGAGTCGGCAAATTGAGAAATCACCATTTAAAGTATAAAAACACATTTTTAGATTTCTTGACTGTTGAATAAGAAAAGATTTACATTTAACGTCCTCTTAAGTACCTACAAAACTGCTTTTCGAACAATAAATAATTTTGTAGAAGGTAATACGAGTTTTAATGTTCTTAACTATTCGGTGTCTATATAACAAATACAAAATATTCAATAAGGTAAGTACCTACCGACTATTGTATATTAAATAAATTACATAAAAAAAAATGCCTAAATAAGATTATGCTTAGAAAATTATAGTATAAACCATTGGGTACAATAAGAAAAAAAATGTAAAATAAAATACCTAAATGTGTACGATTTTCAAATAAAATGTTCTTTCTTAAAAATGTTACATTTACATATTTAGGTTACGTGTAGGTACACTAGGTATAGTATACAGGTACACTGTGTATATTATTGTTCATCATTTGTAGCAAAGGTTTTCTAAAAATGTAGGTATAGGTAGGTATTATGAATAATTATGATTTATTACTTGTATTGTGTTAACTCATTACTTGATCAATTTCAACTATTGGAATATTTCATAACTAATTTTTGACGAGTTCTATACAAGACAGTTATATTATATTATTTTTTAGAGCCACTACATTTTTGTTTTGTAAAATATATTATTTTGTACATTTTATTTACCTGAAATATTGAGGATTAATAAATATAACACCAAAGAAATAAAATATATAAAGTTTGTCATTTTTTTAAAATACATTACAAGAGTACTTACCTAAGTATATAAGAGCTACATTATTATTATCATTACATTATTACTTATGAATTATTACTAGTTTAGCGTACAATCTATTAATGACAAATAAACTACGGAACATAATATAGAATATACCAAATATTATGCTTTGAAAAATATCATTCCGTTATCACATTAAACTCTGATAAAATAAAATTACCATACTTATTATATTAATAACGAAATTATTTTTTAATTGAGACATCGATTATTACATTAGAAATGATAATTACAATAGTGTACTAATACTTAATTGTCTTTATAAATTAAATTTATAATTTATGTAGACGTAGTTTACACCGGTTTCTCCAAGGCTTTCGATCGTGTTGATCATAACTATCTTAAGTCATCATGAGACATTAGGCATCGGTGAATCCTTATTCGTTTATATCTATTAAACAGGACCCAATGGGTAAATATCTTCTTTGCCTCTTCAGACTTCTTTACATCCTACTCAAAAATACTACTCTATCTCCTATCCTATTTGCCCTATTTATATACTCAGTCGTTTCCGGCCTTCACCGTACGATTTCCGTAGATATGAATATCTTCTTTCGAATCAAATTCTTCTCCAACTGTCATGTTCTTCAAAATAACCTTTAACGAATAGTGCCATGGGAGGATTCTTTGGGAATTATTCTCAATATCCAAAAATGCTGTGTAATGACATTTTGTCGTAAGCTAATGTTTTAAATTCTTAATTATGTATTCTTACTCCATCAATAATACCTCCTTGAAAATTTAAAAAATTCAGTAAAAGACTTAGGATTTACTCTTATGCAGAATTTATGCCCTAATATGTATGTCCAGATAATCTGCTGTTATACTCTATAATTTCTATGTTTCAGTAAATTTTCACCTAAGTTTTGTTTTGACGTCATCTAACTTTGTTCTAAAAAAATAAAAATAAATGAGTCCTATTTGATTATGCTAGGACAATTCGTAAGTCCCTCCTCTGTACCGAGGTAAAGTTTTTCATTTAAAATACATTTTTCTTTTCGTTTATGTTAAATTATATTTATTTAAGGCATACAGAGTTGAAAATTAATTTATATTGTATGGAAATGATCGAGGTTAAGGTACTCTTTAAATGGGGGGAAAAATGAAAATAGGTATATCGGGCATTCTATGTCACTTACTTACCGATAATTATTTTTTTTTCTTCCTAAAATATTATCAATATATCTAGAAAATCGATGATTTTTGCGTGTCACATCTTTGAAAATCGTATAAACATCGAATATGGGTCACACTGTATCAACTAATAAAATCAATCGAAATGTGTTCCCAAAATAGGCCATGTGTATTGAAATTATGCACAGATAAGTAGATACAGCCTATGCATTTAAAAATATATTTTTATAAAATATGCTTATTAGTTAATTACAGAGTAACCCATATTCAATGTTCATAATATGATTTTCAAAGATGCAACACTCTAAAAATCATGAAGTTTCTGGATATATTGATAGCATTTTAAGAAACGAAGACAAAATTAATAATTACCAGTAAAAAAGTGACATGAAATGCCCAATATATTTTAACTATTTTTCCCCTTTAAAGCATACCTTAACATCGATAATGTCTATACAAAATACATTTTTTTCGTTAACTCTATATGCTTTATATAAACAAAATTAATAATTAACGAAAAACTCATGTATTTTAAATGTGAAACTTTACTTTGTTACAAAAAGACTTAAGAATTGTTCTATAAGAAGCTCAAATAGGGTTCAATATTTATTTTTATTTTTTTGGAATTAAGCTAGGGGACGTAAAACAAAAGTTCCGTCATCACTCAAATAAGAACCACAATTGCATAATAGTACTTGTGTAGTAAGTACAATAAAATAACTGAATTTATACATTATATTCAATTAAAAAAAATAAATACTACATTGATACATTATTATATAAATACAATTTTCGTTTGTTTAATTTATTTTATTTATTAATTATATTTGTATATATTTTTTTTACGCTATCGCGTATATAACCATTCCAAATATGACAACCACAATGGGCGCTGTAAATAAAATACGTCTTATTATCAAATTAGCCGTAATTCTTTGTATTCTACATGACAGAAATCCTTCTTGGGCGACACCTAACTGTTCCGCTGCTTCATTCGATAAATCCAACAATGTTCCGTTTGATCTTGGAAGACGATCGTTTATCATGACGATGACCGAATATTTATTGTGCCATACTTCGACCCGTGTATAGGGTGGTAAACTCAGATGAGCTGCATTTAGAACGTTGAATTCGGTGTTCAAATATTGTATTTCTTTTGGATCGGTTTCCTTGTAAAATTCACATATTCCAGCATGAGCTATTACAAGTTTTAACACAAATACACATTTTGAATTTGAATATAAAAAAGTTATTGTTTTGATTTTATATTTTAAGTATAATTGATAGAACCGTTAATATATGTTTCATCATTGATCGTTGGGGCTGGGGTATAACAAATCCCTTTAGTCCATATTATGCTTAAGAACGGTTTCAAACAGTATCGAGAACAACAGCTTTGGTCGTCTTCACATATTTGATCCAAAGCCTTACATTCACCTAATGGTTTCGATGCATAGCCCTCGCCTGCTTTACCTAAAACTAATAAAAAAAAATATATATATATTATTACAAAATGTAATGTCTTTAAAATTAATTTTACCAACTCGTATACAGATTAAATTATCACACATTTTAGTATTCACTAACAAATTTTCACCACATAGACATTTTCAATGTTAAAGGTACCAAACCTATCATATAAATCATAAATTCAACACAAGGACTTTAAACAAACCAAAAAATATTGGTTACCGGACCCTAACAGGAATCTATATTTTTAAATGAGTAATGTCATGCTTTTTAATGATTAATTAATATATTTTTATATTTTTATTTTATTTGACTAAAATCAAACCAAAAGAACACGATCTAGAACCCAAAAAACCTTAAAATATTGGGAACCGCTAATTAAAATATTTCAAAAAATGGAACTAAAATCTAATGTGTTTTATAAAAAAAATATATCTTTTGGTGAAAATTATACTTATATACCTACGTTTAAAAATAATCCTTTGCTCGCTCACAAAATAAAATTAAAATAATTACGAATAACGTTTGTATAGAAATTTATCATCTTGAGCTATTATATAAGTATACATCTGACCATTTTTTGTATTATTTTTCCAGTGAGAATTCAAAAAATGGTGAAACACTCTATAGTATTTTAAGTATTAATATATTTTTAATATTTCACGTGATAATTAGTTTTAATTTCAAAAATATTTTAAACGTTATTATAGTAATATTATGGTATTATTTTGTGTTCAAAAGGTTCCAGTGTTTGGAACGATCACTAGAATAGTGAACGCATTTACGTTCACGTTTATTGTCCAATAAAATGAACACGTCAGTTTTTTAATAAACAACACATTCACGTTCACTTTCGTTGAAAAATGAACTCTTTCAGAGGCGCTAAAAAATCCCTAGATATCAAAAATTATTATTATGAATCTTATCTTCTAAGATTCTAAGACCGGGTTCCGGAGTGATAAGAAAAAAAATGCTAACTAATTTTCATTACATATTATTATTATTAAATAGTAAATATCATGTATTACTATTGTTATTTTAATGTTTTGAAAAGAAGTTTTCACGGGGGGGGGAATACAGAGATTAAATAAACAGAGATAAATTATATCACAAAACTCACAGCATTCATTCGCACAGCGACACATTTTAATTATACAGTGCAACAGTGCAATATGAATATAAACGAGAATATTTTTAATATAGTTTTTTTATTTATTTCTAATAATTTTATATAATGTTTAAAATGTAAATGTATACTATTATTTATTAATATTATAATTCACTCTGACACCCATTATCACAACCATATCTCTAATAAAAATTATTATTTATAAATACATTTTTTTCACTTATTTTATTAAAGTTTTTAGGTCATATTTTAAGTTCATTGTTTGAAGTTTTTAGGGCATTTTTGTGTGTTTTTTAGGTCATCAATATCCTAACTCTAGTTATAATATTATTATTATGTGTCATTTTTTTTTTTTATTACTAAACATACCTAAGTTGTTAATTTAGTTTCAGAATAATTAGCTGATTATGAAAATTATTTCTTGTAAATTGGAGATTATTTCGTAGATATATACAAATAAATAAAAAAGATATGAAAATGTTGATTAGCATGGAGGAAATTAATTTTCCTGTCCTGAATTTGTTTCTCACTCCACTCTGTAAAGAATTTTCATTTGAAAATCTATAGTATAGGTATACTCAATCAATATATAAGGAATAAGGGTAAAAATTTAAAACATTGTTAAAATAAAACGTAAATAATTCTGTAATTATTGAAAAACAAAAAACATAAATTAAATTAATTATGTTCCTTCGAGAAACTCGTAGATTCATGATAAATTGATCATTCTGTAGAATATTGCGGGCAGTATTCGTAATTATCGATAATTTTTTAACATTTTAAACCACCGGTCGAGTTTTCTTAGTTACCGTCTTCACTAGAGGCCACGTTAGCGGTATAGTCAATTATACCTACAATATAGATGTATTTCCTTGTGGAAATTGGTGGTCATAGTTTTATGTTGCAAGTTATCTGTTTACATTTAAAAGTGCAATGTATTGACAAGTTGATATAATCTATCTCAGTTGATCGTCTCAAACAAACAAAATAAACATTTTCTTTTTTTTCAAATACTAAGTTACACGCATACAAAGGATATGTATCCTAACTAAAATACGTATTCTATAAAATAAAATCGAATTTTCGAAAATTTTGTTTTTCCGGTTTTTATTTTATTATATTGATAATAATTGTACTAGGTAACGATAAAAACGTGAATTTATATTAACTAGGTAATAAATAATAACTAATCGTATCTTAACGTGTTCTAAACATTCATTTAAATTTGACATTTAATGGATTGATTGTTTTTCAATACAATTTTTACCTATTTATGAAATACTTTATTGCTAGTACTTATAAACTTTGTTTTTATTTGGGTAATTTGTCTATTGTTTATTAGCTTTAACAAATATTTTACTATTAATTATTATATAATATTCATAATTAATTTACCTATAATACCTATTAATTTAGAATATTACTCACATTTGTATACATTGAGTTTTTATAAAAAATTATATTCAAACAAGATATTCGTACAAAATTCAATTCAGTTTAGCATTTTATTTTTAAATAATCGAAATAGAATTACCTTTGGTTCTTTTCGGATAAAATAAAATAGGATTTACCTACCTGAAATTGTGACCGTTAAAATACGTAATGCAACTGTTAAAATCGACTTTTCCTTCATTTTTAAATTTTTTAAAAACTTTCAAATTATGCCTATATTTTAGTATACTAGATGTACATTGGTATTGAAGTGTACCCATAAATATATATATATCGACTTTTAAATACGAATTAAAATCAACGGACCATGTTGAATATTATTTAGTACGTTTTAATCATATTTTTTTTTTATCAGGTATCTCATATTAAATTATTCATACGCAGATAACATAACAAATTATTAATAATTGTTTAATAATTGTACATTACATTTAATTTTAATACTTAATGTGTAAACTACATAATTATGTTGACGTTTTGTATTTAATGTTCATATACAGAGTGATTTTTTTAACATGAACCAGCAATCATCTCAGAGGATTTTAAGTGAATTTAATTTCTGTTTTTTCTATTCATTATGGAATCGTTTAAGCTTTATTTTAAAACCATTTTTAATTTTTTACCCTTACTCCATATACGTTAAATAGGTGCATACTTTTGATTTTCAAATAGGAAACCCCCTTATTGAACACATATTTGAATAGGGAATATTTTTCTAGAAATTTATAAGTAATGCATTATAAGTGATACAAGTAATAGTATGTACCTAGTGTATTATAAATGTCCTTTGACATACTTTTCAACGTATATCGATTATCTATAGTTCTTAATAGTAGATACGCGTGTTCAAAATTAGGTATTATTATTATTTTTTTAACTGTAAGTATCTATAAAGGGAAATATACGTATCGTACAAATTTCAAATTAAAGGAAAGTCCTTTTATTTTATTAATTGTGTTTTTTTATTAAAATACTAAAGATAATACCTAATATACCTATATATATATAACACTAATAATAACTAATAATACAAAAGTAAAAAGGGGGAAGGGGTTTGAGGATTTAACCTTTCCCATTGACTTTTTTGGATCTAGGTTATTGATAGTTATTGATTTTATCGAATACATTTTCTAGAATAATAAGTTTAATTCTGCAAGACTTTTGAAGAATAATGCATGGTCAAAAAAGACGGACATTCTTCGTACGTGAGTGCAGCCACTGTTGTGGGTGAAAAGTTGGGAAGGTAGTGAAGGGGAAATTTAATGTATATCTGTAAGCAACGATAAACCATTGCTATCGAAAAAACGATTCTGAGGGGAGTTCAGTTGATAATGTTGCTTTGTCATCAATATATATATGCCATATTAACCCAAATATTCTTTTTCCCCAGCAACATGGTTTCCGAGCAGGGAGGAGTATTATAATATCCAAAATCGCAGAACACAAAAAAGTGGAAAAGTAGTTGTTATTTTTGGAGGTCCTTCTTGTCAAAGATTTAGTGGTATGAATCACTACAATTCTAGTTAAGTGTTTCTGAATGCACTGAGTGCTCTGTTTTTATCATAAATTGACTACTATTGACTAAAATGTTGTATCATGTAAAAGGAGAGAGGCAATTTTCTCACATTAACCGTCGGATGTTTTAAACTCATGGGTCATCAATGCACATTTGGCATACTATTTTATCCCAAAACCACTCGTGTTTAGTAAAATATATTCAAGTTTATATACAAACATCGGGGAACAGATTTATAAAACATATAGAAAGTATGAAGAATCTGCTTCTATTCGAACTGTGACAGTTTATGATGGTTTGTGTGATTTATCCGAAAGATTAAAAGGAGCAAATAAAAAAGTAATCAAACACCAAAAAAAAAAAAAAAACCGCAACGCACTTTCAAAGGTAACTAAGGTTTCCGAATAAACAATATCCAAATTCTAACCCTTTGATCATATATGTAAGTTGTTGCCACCTATAAACAGTGCAATTAAGAATAAAACTAATTCCTGAAGGAAAAGCTTGAAAGGACTTCCTCAATAAAGTACTAAGGTTGTTAGATGGCAGTGTGACCAAAAGTCTTATATATACACATCATGACCCAAAGAATGGAGAAGGTCCAAATAGTGCCTTTGTGGTGTCTGCGCGATTGTGTTAGCAGTGGAATAAAAATATTAAAGGAAAAAAATATGCAGTATGACACACTGTTAGTCTGGTATGTATATTATACAGCAAATTATAATTACTGGACAGGAGTATAGGAAAAATTGCAGGCAACAGGATATTTTTCAACCATATTAAGGAATCCTGAACCAATGGAAAATCAAAGAACTATTAAACAATTTCTTATTGAAAAATTATGCATTTGTTCCCACTTGAAAGTTTAATGGCATCTCTGGAAGTTGGTGAAACACCTCATCCAATAACTATTCAAACAAATAAGAGACATGAACTTCTTCAGGTAAATAGTTTGTTGTATTTTATACCTTATATCCAGGTTTTTATGTTATTGAATTTATATAAAATATATACATATATAAACATAAGACATTATAATAATAACACTGTATAATAATTTAAATTCTTACAACAGTATTATATTTTAATCTTTACATTGTAATTAGGAAAACAAACTTACTAATTTCAGTATTGAGCACATATATTATTATTAAATATATTATGCTTTTATTTTATCACCAATTATTACATCACTTTTTAATAAATCCCTATGTTGTGGATATTATTCTGTTAATTGAAAGATTTCTTCTATTATTGGTGTATCTAAAAAAGGGTAATAAAAATGATGTGAATATGAGATCCACCTTAAATATTTAAATCATTCCTTAAATATTGTCAAAAATATTAAACAAGTATATTACACAGATTAGTAACCAATTTTTAGTAAATGAACAACACAACTTTCTTGAAGGCCGTTTAACTATAACGCATATGCATTTACACATAACACATATGCACTTAAGTGCATTTTTAAACAAAACATAGATTTCTTTAATAATGATGCTCAAACTGGTATTATATACATGAATATGAAAAAAGCTTTTAATAAAATTGAACACAATATGTAAATTATAAACCATAAAGACATAGTATTCAATTAATTGGTATCCAGTGGTTAAAGAGGTAAAATCTTCAAGGGGGCTATATTTACAAATAAATAAAAACTGAACTTTCAGGAAACCCATCACGGAAGCAAGACTTTCAAAATGTTTTTCTCTCACACTTTTATACATAAAAGTATTATGCTAATTGGGTTTAGAAATAAATTACACCCCCTATCCCCAAAACCAAAGTGTATAAACCTTTACTCATGTCTGTACAGTACCTTAAAATAAAGTCCGTGATAATTTGAAAGATACCTCAGTGACAATAAATAAAGCGTTCCTTCAAACTTCAAAGACTTAAACTAAAGTGGACAGATTATGTTGCCTTAAATAAAAAGAGGGAATTTGTCCAAGAGTAGTTAAAGCGGGGGCACTTTAAATTCTGATTATACTTATGATACAAAAATAAAGACATATTTTAAGTACGGGACGGCGCGTGACATTTAAATAGTGTTTCACTCTACTCTGTACTCTAATTCAACACCAAAATGTATTGAAAATAATCCATCTATGGAATTTCAAATAAAGGTTGACATTTGAATTTCAAAAGTTAACCCTCTAAAAGGGCGTTTAATAATTTCAAATACACGATAAATTTATAAATAAACTCCGATAACCACTATTGATATATGTTAAATTCTTTTTGTTTTTGTAGGTTGTTGCAGACCATGGACCCTAGGTTGAGAACCACTTTCTTAGCTGAATGATTTTAGAAAATCTACATTTATTATGGCAAGGTGACAAATTTTATTGTTTATACGTCAAAGGGATTGTTTCAAGATTGGTACCACTGTGGTCGAGCCCAGCTGTTATTTAGAAATTCATTTTCACGGGGATTCAGAAAAGTTCATCTTCAAATCTCATTCTATCCTTGTACATTTGATTGTAAAACAACCAAGTTTGTCAACCATATGAAAAATGATTGCTACCAAAGGACTTCAGCTAATGAGAAGTTTTTCAACAACTGCAGCTAGGAATAGTCATGGATATGGCGGACCAGGAAGAAATCTTCCCTTTGATATATACAGTAAATATAAATTTACAGCACTACTTGCATTATATTTTAGTTCCGGATTTGGTCTTCCATTTTTGATGGTCAGATATGTTAAGCATAGGTCATTATAAAACAGCAAGTTCTAAAAAATAATTTACCAAGTAGAATATGTTAACACAACTAAAATAAATTGAACTAGTCGTTAGTTTTAATCAATGAATGTTTTTTTTTTTTTATTTTGTAACCATTATTAAATTATGTGAATAAAAATAAATATAATTGTATTCTATTATTTTCTTAATAATAATGTGAATAAATAAGATTTATATTATTTTTTTAAATGTGTCTAATTCCTTTAAAGAAAAAAAAAGGGTAATTTCTATGTTACAAAACTTCAATCAGAAAAAATGTATTATTATTATTTCTTTATAAATGGAAAAAACTCTATTTACAAAACAATTAATTAAAAATATGTAGTATATAAACATTAAATTAAAAATTAAAATTAGTACCTAACTGATGATAAAATTCACTTCATGGCATTTTTATTCTCATTAGATTATTTATTGTATTATTTGAATATATATAAAGTAATGTATAACTTTATTTCTATTACTTATTTGAAATGTGTATAACTAGTTGTGAAAATATTTCAAGTGACTTATTGTATTTTAAAAATAATTTGTGAGTAATAAAATAGTGCAGAAATCTTATATTATGTGAATAATCAGTTATAGAATGGATTGTATGTAATCCAATGAGCTCGAGTTTGTGTTTTGTCATCCTCATGACTTGTAAATAATGACTTATATACATTAGTTGCTGTTTGATCTTTTGCAATACTATGAGTAAGTTTTGCTTTTTTATAGACAGGGTCTTCTAGTTTGCGACAGTTAGTAGATGAGGTAGAAGATATGGAAGAACTTGATCCTGCAGCACTTGTAATTGGTCCTAAAATAAAAAATAATATAATTAATGCAAATAAAAATTGAAGAGTACATAAAAAGTTTTAAATTTACATACTTTTTGTTTTTGTCATGATATCTACAGTTTTATCATCTTCTTCTTTTTTACATTCTGTGATTATTTTACTATCAATTTTAATATTTAATGGAGAATATTCAAAGTCATCCACTGGTTCTTCTTTAACTACTTTTTTAGCATTTTTCTTACTGATAAGCACTTCCCTACGTTTGGCGATATTAGTTTTCATTATAGGTATTTCATGTTCAGTTGGATTTAATACAACAACATCAATTGGTTCATATTGCATAATACAATTGACACACTTATAATCTGCACCGAGCTGAAATCCTCTCTCGGATACAACACATCCACATTTCCAGGAGAAACAGAATCTATTACGGTCATTCATTTCAAGACCAATAATAGGGCAAATGTATGGTGAACATTTATCATCAATATATCCTCCAACATTTTGAGCCTGGCCTTTGAACGCTGGGTTTTTAGTAAACTTCAATGTTTTTACATCCTTTAAAAAGATCATTCAAATTGTAGGAATTTATTAATAAATATATTTTATAAGTTATAATAGATAAACAGACATACTTTTAAAGTTCGGATGTGCGCTGAGGCTTCAGGAAATGGAGTTTTATTCACTAAGTACTGTAAAACTGATTCTTTATTATACAAAATACCTAAGCCACAAGCGACTATTGGTGTCTGAAGTGCTTCTTGAGTCAAGTGACAGTTACGCCAGCGGAATAACTGCATAGATGATTTGTCTTTCTGAAAATACAATTGTAAAATTATACAAAATTTAAATTGTACACTTATGATATTTTAAACTATTTTGGTATTTGTTTAGTATGTGACCAACTGAATATATAATTAATTTAAAAGTAGTAAAATTAGGTTATTTTATTATTACAGGTTACATTAAAAATTGCACACTAAACAAATACTATTATTTTTCTTAGATTTATCATTTAGAATAACAGAAAAAAAATGTAGTGATAATATAATAGCCTACTTATATAAATAGGTAAGTACTAGGTAGGTATGAGACTATAAATTCATTCCCTAATAAATCCTTTTTTAATTGATTTTTTTTGTAATCCGGTAATAATTATAGAAGATTGAAATTTTCACTGAATAATTATTTATAGCAATATGTTTAAGTAGTTATAAATACGATAATAATTTGTATATTTTTATTTCTATTTGTTCCTCATAAATTATGATATTTTGTAGGTTAAGTACAACACAAATGTGTAAGAAAATAAAATAGTCTCTTTTATAGTACATAGGTATGTAATTACACAAAAACATACAAATTGCATTTAAAATACAATTGAAATTACACCAGAAGATAAAAGTGTATCAAGTGATTACCATTATATCCTCAAATGTTAGTATAAAATATTTCAAGAAGTCGCAATCTATTATGTACTTGAGAGTACACTAGGTCCACATAAAGGATTAACAATGATATCATTTGGGAAAAGGTCAGATTTCATTTTTTAAGGAAAAAAAGTCAGACTACAAAATTATTAAACAGAAGTCAGATTTTTTTTTTTAATAATGTAAATAATGAAGGATATTAAAAATTAGTAATAATTTGTTTACAAGTATAAATTAAACATGTATTGTGATTTGTGAATGCTAAAGGGAACTTATGTTCTAGAGTGGCTGATAATGAAAAATCAGTAGAATTTTTAATTAACATTGGCCATTGTATTTGTAAATGAAATAGATATTAACAAATTATTAGTTTAAAAAAATTATATCACATTCTTATATCATTCATTTTTAATTATATTCCTTTATTTACTTATTCATATTATTATATTATTTTATTATTCATTATTTATATTATTAGGAAATTAACTTTTTTTTTCTATTTAATAATTTTGTGGTCAGACTTTCTTTTTCCGGGATTTGATATCATTGGGAGTGTTAGTTTTAAGAAACTCTGCTGCTTTTCAGAAGAAATTGTTTTAATAATAATAGAAACCATTATCTTGTTCAAAACTGTAATAATATTTAAAGACACTTTATTTGTACACATACCTCTTCAGGTTTCTTTTTGGTCCGTACAAGCTCATCCCTCTTGGGTATAGTTCCGCCATCACATCCCATTTCGAATGATTATAAATAATTCTGAACCCGAAAACTAGAAACTAAAAATCCAAACGAGACATAAGAACTAAGAAGTAAACAAAAATAACAAAAATAATTAATATTACTTACACGGAACGATCGTATTGATTCCCACCACAAATACCAAATTACTAATTAGTTATTACTGTGACTCAACAAACTCGCTCAGGGAGTGGGCAACGCATACGAGTAGTATTGTAATAATGTTGGGAAATCTCCGGGTGCTTACGTCACGTAAGTACACCAATTGAAGTTGCCTAAGAGACTATTGAGTATTGATAATCTTTATAACTTTAGGAAAGACGAGCTGTTGTTTTTTAAGACGCGCAGGAAAAATCCAAAAACGACGTTTTGCGAACACACCTTAAGCAGTGAATGGTGATTATGAAGGTATATATTTTCATTCAATTTCAGTATTTGATTATTTACAAAATTTGGATATTATGATAAGCGTACGCACAGTGCAGCCAATACCGCTCGGTGACGACGTTATCCTACGGTCGCGATTTAAGATCGCGCCGCCGGCATATTATAACCTTTGCGATCCGCACAGTACGGCAACGTGGTCCGAGAATTCCATCTATTTGTCTGTGATCGTGTGTGTGTGTGTGTCTGTTGACGCCCGAAATTTTTTGTTATTCCGTCACACTGCTCATACACTATACCTATAGGCTATAATATTATAGTTTTGTATTAGCGAAATCCGCTCGTTTACCGCCGTGTATTTAGTGATTTTTCTACGTAGTTTTTCTGCGCGCAGTATAGATTGATTTTTTTTATACACCGTCGAAATAAAGTTGTGATAAACGCTATTTTTTTTATTAGTTTTTTTTTCTATTCAAATTATTCTATCCTTGTGAACGGAAACGAGTTCCGCCATTTTTACGACAACAATCTATACAGCGGGTCCATCGGGTGCACTTTGTACTAACCCGGGTTGGGGACCACTAGTGCGATCCATCGAGGCCGAGACGAGAAGACGACGACGGTGACACGGAGTGTTTACGGACGTATAGGTAGATAGGTATGTACGATAACAAATATCTAATCATAATACGGAAATCAAAATTATGCTGTTGTCGATAACTTTTGAATACACTCAAATATGAGATTGGCTGTATAATGTAATCTGTATCTGACATAACTATCAAATTCATTTCAGCTTATAAGTGGCAAAATGCAAACTATCAAGTGTGTGGTCGTCGGTGATGGTGCTGTCGGTAAGACTTGTTTGCTCATATCGTACACAACAAACAAGTTTCCTTCGGAATATGTACCGACTGTAAGTGTGAAATACCTATAATATTATGTTATTGTCCTTATCGCATGTATTTTATTATTAAGACTTGGGCATGCAGCTGCATATTTTTCCTTTTAATGCTTAAATTATTTGTGTTATCTTACCTATTATCTATAGGTGTAGTTGATTATGTATCTATAATCATAGGTAAAAAAAAAAAAAAAAATGAATAGGCCATCCCTTGATAGATATCCTGCATATATTTTTGTTCTAGTAATATGGTAGACTTTGGTGATTTGTTTACACTATTTTATTTGATAGGACTAAGTAGTAACAATAAATAATGTGAATAATGCAACATTTTGTCGTGAGAAAATGCTGGTTCCTGCTCTTGATAAATGCCCTTATGTTTATTAAAATTGTATTAGCAGACTCGAGTTGATAATAAGTATTATGTTTTACTAAAGTATAGTATAAATTACAGTTGAAAGTAATTATTTATAGTATTTAAAACATAACTTATTTCTTATAATATAAGTAAATAAATCTAATTGTGGTAATGATTAAGATTTGTTATGGCCACTCTGCTAATTGTCAATAATTCTCCCGAGCAGTAGACATAGATAATAGTAGCATTCAAACACACACCACCTAAACATTCTTTATCTATTATTATAATAAGTGAATACTAATTTCTCAACAAATATTATCACAAAATACACGGGGATAAATAATTGAGTATCTACCACTATATTAAAATATAGATTGATTTTTATTGTTTTTCCCATTTATTATGAAAACCCTTAAAATAATTAAAAAGTTACAGTTCTAAAGCACTACCCCAATCAGATTTACTTTCAGAAAAGGTGTTATACTTGAAAATCAAAGCAGAATTTCTGGTAGAAAAGTTGTTTATAGATAAAAAAAAAATCACTGTTAAACCAATACATTTCTCGCTCCACTCAGAATCTAAAATTAAGATTTACATTAGGTATACCTATATACAAAAGATAATGGAACATACAAATAAATAATGCCAGTGAGTCCACTATAGGAAAAGATACAAAAATAGGAAGACCAACCTTAAAAAATATGTGCAAGGAGATAGAAGGGAATGAGATTAGAGACAAATGGCGTAAGATAGTTGAAGCAGTGAAAGATCTAAATAAGAGAAAACAGGTTATATATTAAAGAAACCTGTAAATATATCACTGATATGAAAATACAGATTTGTAATAAGCAAATTATTACTACCATAAATTTAATTTAGTTTTTACTTAGTAAGTTGTTAAATTTGTTTTTAGTAAATATGTCAAAATTTTAGCGACAATATCAAAACTTAAATATTCAGCCCTCGTAGAATAAAAATTTTTTATATAATATTACCTGCATAACAAGCATAAAGATAATAAAAAATAAAGATAAGATAACAGATATGGTTTATATTAAAAATTTTGCTTATCATGTAAGAAGTAGAAGTATTGGAATGTGAAAAACTACTTATATTCATAGTGTATTTTATATGAGATTTTTAAATTTCATGATTTTTTTAGAAAAATTTAATTATATATCAGGTAAATTAGGTTGTGATAATATAGTGGAGACGTCAGAAATAATAGAATAAGCTTTTTAAAAAAGGTTGAAACTCATCATGGATCAATATTATCAAGTTTTATTTAGATATTCAGAAATAATATTGTGGTCAGGTACAGTATCTATATTGAAATATTATGGTTTCTGCTTATGAATATGAGTGATGAAATTATCAATTTTGAATCTGTACTAATTGCAATAGCAGCTCTTAGCTTGAATCACTAAACGATCTCACACCCAACTAATTTTAAAGAAAAAGAAAAAGAATTAAATTTCATTATAATTAGTACATTAAATTATTTAATATTAAAAATACTAAAATAGTAGTTGTAAAACTATCAAAATAATAATTTTTATTTAAAAAATGTATTTTATAATGTGCTATCTAAAAATTGTTTTATTCGCCAAAACTATGTGGTATGTATCACTGCTGATTACAGCTTTTGAATAAAATGCTTTGTCGTCTGAGCTATTCTGAATATGTATACATCAAACCTATGCACAGTGATTTTATATATTTGGGTATAATTGAGCTGCGTTCTTACAAGGACGTTTAGATAATGTGTCATATCGTCTTAAAATATAGATATCACACACACATATATATATTATGTATGGAATATTTCCCATTATTTATTGAGAAATTATTGTCGATTGGTATCTTATTTAAAACTTGAAATTCTGTGACAAATTACAATAAATCTTACGATCCTAATATATATTATATTCAATGTCACTTTGATTGAAACTCTTCCAAAAGCAGGTTGTCAATTGAGTTAATTGTTTTGTCAAATTGGAAGTAGTATTTAATATTTCAAGGTGCATTTTCACCTCTACCTAAATTTAAAAGTGGAATGTCTTATCAACAAGTTGACAAAAATCAAGTTTCAACAACATAATGAAACTATGTAAAAGGATATAGATAAATTTATATTTAAAATAACATGTCCTAACTGAATGACTGACTGATTCATCATTGCCTAGCCCAAACCACTAGGCGGATCGGGCTAAAATTTGGCACACAGATAGCTTTTATGACGTAGACCAGAGCTAAGAAAGGATTTTCGAAAATTCAAAGGGGTTTTTTTTTATACATATATATATATATATATATATATATTTATTTATTTTTGTTTATTCAAGGGTTACTTTGGTATTATGGAAAAGAAAACTATTATAAATATTATTAATTACTATTGTTTACACTATTAAAATTTCACAATAGAATGCATTTAGTTCGCAGCAGGTGGACACCCACTTTCTACAATTTGTTTTCATTTAATTCTGACATCGCCAAAACTGAAAATGAATATAGATAAAATAATAGTAATAAAAATCGACACAGGCAATGTTGGGCGTGGGACAGCTAGTAGATAAAATAAAGACAAATACAAATAGTAATAATTAAATTTATTATTATACACCTTAACTTAAGGTGTTGGATATTTTAGCCAATACAATTTACCAAATTTATGAGTTTATATTGAACACTAAATAGCAGTATTTGATTAATGTTTATGTAAGAACTTTTTAATTAAAAAAATAGAATAAACAATACATTTTATTTATTAAATGTTAATGTATTTATTTTATTTTTTGCTTAGGTTTTTGACAATTATGCAGTGACAGTCATGATTGGTGGAGAACCATACACATTAGGTTTATTTGACACTGCAGGTAAAATATTACTACAGTTTTGAATAGTATAATCACAAATAGTTTTATATAGAATTTTTGAATAGATTATGTTATAAACATGTACTTATTTAATACATTTTAGGTCAGGAAGATTATGATCGTCTCAGACCTTTGAGTTATCCACAGACTGATGTATTTCTTGTTTGTTTTTCTGTGGTATCACCATCTTCATTTGAAAATGTCAAAGAAAAGGTAAAATAATACTATAACAACAAGTAATATATCAATAATATTTAATGATTTTGTATGTTTCTAGTGGGTTCCTGAGATTACACATCACTGTCAGAAAACACCATTCCTGCTGGTTGGCACACAAATAGACCTTAGAGAAGATGCAACAACTGTGGAAAAACTAGCCAAAAATAAACAGAAGTCAATATCATATGAACAGGGCGAGAAGCTAGCTAAAGAACTTAAAGCTGTGAAATATGTTGAATGTTCAGCACTGACACAGGTTAGTACTTCTATTTTTGTTATTATTGATAATTATTACAAATTATAAATAATTTTAAATTAGAATAAGATCTTTTTGAACAATTGTATTTATTATTAAAATATGCATTATTATTTTTTAATCCTAAATTAATATTTAACATATTTTAGTTTCGAAAATTGATTTAGCGTTTACTGTTTTATTTTATGTATTTGGATAAAATTAGATTTTATAAGTATTCATCTGACCCCTTAAAAGAAATATAAACACTTCAAATCTTTGTTGCTGAAACTAGAACAAATAGCGCTCTTGGTAATAAACTAAATTTTATGAATAAAATGGATTAATAAGCAAACGTATAGTGTCTTCAAATTGGTCTGGAATATTGTTTACTGGTCAATAATAAAAATAGTTTTTTAATAGTTTGAGTTTTATTGTCTCTCCCTTAGTTCAGTTTCTGGATATCTATTTGAATTTTAGATAATAAATGCACATAAATTGTACTGCAATTTGTTGAGCTTTTGAAATAAAAATATGCTATTTAGTTTCCAATAAAATATATTAATTTCTTTAATGTGAAAACAGTCAATAAATTATAAAAATTATTCAATTCATTTTTCATAATTAACATTTTGATATTATTTATTTATTTAACAAAATAAAATGTGTCAAAACTACTAAATTATCATTTTAGCATTTCTATGGTTCCATATATGTTTTTGACACATATTAAATTACAATGTGTAAGAATTACTAATTTTTACAATATGAATTTTTTTTTTTTTTATCAAATCAAACCTATTAAACAAATATATATAATGTATATTATATTTCATTACAACAGTTCTGAAAAAAATTTAATTATGTGTTAATATTTTGAATAATAAACAGAGTTTTTAGATCCCTATTTTAAGTGTTATATTTTAACAGTTTATGCCCTATATATGTAAACAAAATCTACTAAAATATATTAATTTGTTATTTAAACCAGCTTGAATAAAAAGCAGTCTGTTATTGTACAAAACAAATAATAATAATTACTGTAATTTAAGGGATAATTTACAAAGCTGTTAGTACTATTAAGTTATCCAATTTACAATTGACAATTTTATTTATAGATCTATACTGCTTATGATTCTATAAGTTGATAATGAATATTTATGCAAGCCACCCTAATTCTACTGTAATAGATTATTTTATTTTACTGCATTGGCAATCATATTTCGTGACACGTTTTATTAAAATTTATATTCATATTTAAAAATAAAAACATGAACATATTACACATATTATACAAAACAATATTCTATTATTATTAAACAAAGTATCAAATATTACATTATTTTTATTAAGAATATATAATATCAAACTACTATTACTGCATTATCTACTTTAAAATATTTTGCTGCGTCGTTAATACATATGTTTTGTAATTGTTATTCATGTTTATGTGATTATGTTAACCACCAAGATTTATATGTAGGTTGAAAACAGCTAGCTTCATTAATATGAGGTGTTAGGTCAAAAAATGGTTTAAAACTTTTGACAGTGGATTCGACCATAGGGACAATATTGCACTAGTGATATAAATGTTTTTCTTTTGATGCTTCTAACCTTGATTTTAGCGAGAAAATAGTGAAAATTGCTCATAATAACATTTAAGTTCAGATTGTAAAAAATAAAAAGCACAAGCTATAGGTTTTAAAACCATTATAAATTCATCTTAACATTCAAATCGGATTCTTTAAATATATATATAAGTTAAATTGAGTCATTTCAATAAACTATTCAATCAGACTTTATATGTTTACAGTCGAGTTACTGCATCGTAAAGTGAGTTCCATCGATTAGGTACTGAACACTGAAATAAACCAGATTAACTCTATTTGACTAAATTTGTTGAAAAAAATATTGCTGTATAAGTTGGTAACAAATTAAGACAGTACTTGGATGAACGGCAAAAATTAATTGAAGTCTAAAATAACTATCTATATTAAAAGTGTACATTATAATTTAGAGATTCAGATAACCAAAACAATAAAATTATGTACCTATTGGCTCTTTCCTATGTAATAGATGTACATCAGTACATGCACCTGTGATAGGTAGATACACCATTATCTGCGTTCAATGATATAATTTTTTTTTTGTGATTTGATAAATGATGTCGAGAATATTGAGTTGTTTATTATTATAGATTTGTAGACTGTGTGGATTTTCCGTATGTGTGGTAGGTACTCAAGCTATTTTATCGCCATTGCCATATACCCACAAAAATGTAATCATTGTAATGTTATTGTAAATACTATCATTTTTTCTAAAATAATTGGAGGTTGTAACCTAATAATTGTAAATTGAGGTACCTAAAATAAACATATATATATATATATATATATATGTTAAGGTATAAGTACAAATACCGGTAAATCCTATGTTTTACCAAATGTGGTTGGTAAAGATACACACATTTATGTTATCTTATTATATATTGTGACAACAAATTTAAATTATTATACATTATTTATTTATGCAGACTTGGCTACTGTGACAATACATTTTTGGATCGGCACTTACATCTATTTGTGATACATTTTCTCAAACAGTCGCACCTTATAAAACCTTGTCTACTAGTCAAAGAAAGCTGCAATACTGTTTTATGAATACCAATTTCATTGTCTGGAATTATTGCCGATTCTAAAAAAATTTCTTTGTATAAAGTGAACTGATTCCAAGTGAAAAGTTGAGAGTGTTCTTGCTTTTGCACCCAAAAGGCATTACAAATCTCTATCCACAATTCGTAACACCACAGGAATATGCAAACATCAACTTTACTTAAATTGACTTCCATAATTTTAACCTTAACGGTTTGTCCAATTGGCATTTGCTTGTTTGACATTTCCTTCATTTTTCTGGCTTATTTTTGTAGTCAAATATATCATTCTTTTCAATGTTGATTAATTGTCTTGTGCCCGTGCTAGCATTATATTTTCTATATATTCTCAACTGGTGGATAAGGCTAGATAAGGTGTGACTGTTTGAAAAATGTATCACAAATCGATGTAAGTTTCAATCCAAAAATGTATTGTCACAGTAGCGAAGTCTGCAAAAATATATAATAATAATAATATGAATTTGTTATCACAAGATTTTAATTTATGATGACATGAATATGTGTATCTATCTATCTATCTATCTATCTAATGTACTTAAATAATGATATATGTGCAAACTACAAATATAAAGCAAGGGAAAAAATAATTAGTTAACAATTTTGGACTTTTACCAATGTTGGTTGTTTATCCTAAGATTTACCATTCTGATTTGTAAAAGTCTGAACTACAAAACTCATTCGGGGTTTGACCAATCTATTTTGTGTATCCTAGATTTTACCGAAATCAATCAGTACATTTCCAAAAATTTGGACATTTACCAATCACAGTTGGTAAAACCTGGGATTTACCAGTATTCATACTTTTACCTTTTTATATATATAACAGTTATTATTTTTATCTGTTTTTATCTGTCTTAGTAATAATTATAATTTAACTTTAATAAACATTTGTTTAACTAAATAATAATTTTCATCTTGTTTACAGAAAGGACTAAAAAATGTATTTGATGAAGCTATTCTTGCAGCTTTAGAGCCTCCAGAACCAATAAAAAAGAGAAAGTGTGTTATATTGTAGAGCTGCGGACAAATAAACAGGTGCGACAATTATGTCATAAAAATATTTATAAAAAAAAAATAAATCATGATTTAGTATGGATACAACAATGAAATAATTATTTTGTTTTTACTAATCTATAAATATATATATATATATATATATATATGAATAATTTATTTTATATTTTACATGAAATATGTGCATCCAGTGTATATTAATATTGAATAATAAATATGTAGGTTTTTTATACGCCATAAATAATTGTGGTTATTATTATTATTATTATTATTTTTTTTTTTTTTTTTTTTATGACTTGATTTATTTTATTTTTTTGTTCTTTTGTCAATCCTATATATGTATCATTATTTTATGTTAATTTGATTTTTTTTTTTTTCTTGAACATGATATTCACTTGTATAACATCAGTAACTTTATTATTATTTCATAATTAATAATATGATTAAGATAGGTTAGATACCTATTAATTATTATTAAAATTGAAATTAAATCCAGCCATATTATGAAAATACTATTTACCACAGAAATCATGTGTAGATGACTAATGTATGGCTAATAAACCAAAAATTAATAATTGTATCCATTTATGAAAGTAGGTAAATTGTTTGCCGAATTTAATTTTAAAAGTAGATTAACAAATATTTTTTTAAATTAACTTTTTTTTACGCTTAATTGTATTTCTATTTTTTATAATAACTGACTTGTAGACCAATTAATTTTAATACAGTGTAAAATGAATAACAACTCAAAAATGCCTTTTGGCCTTTTTTTATGTCTCCGGATTTACAAAAGTACAAAACCATTGTATAGTTAATGTTGTACTTTTAAATGCTTATGAACATTAAACTCTTATCTCTACTTGAAAGTGATAAAGAATATGACATACAGATAATAATTATTAATACAATCAAAATGATATATTTAGAATAAAAGACTTAACTATATTATATAATATTGTCAATCCCCTTTATTAAATTGTTGTTATACTGCAGGTGCAATGTTTAAAATTGTAAAGGCCTCAAAAGGTTGTACAATTTACTTAATAAAGTAGGAAAGTATATAATACTTTTATAATAATATATTCTAGAAGTTATGAATAATCTTGATGTCACATTGGTTAATAAAAATTTTATTTTTAATTGGTATTTTTTCTTTATGTGACCTGAACCGAACTCTTTAACAATAATAGTTTTAAAGTCAAGTGATACAATTATCATATTTTAAGCGCTTTCACTAATGATTGATTGAATAAAATTTATAAAAAAAATGAGGTCTCAATATTTGCGATATATATATATATTCACTTCCAGATGATATGTACGCCGACATGATTTTTGTGGTCAGTATGCGATAAGCGTACACATTTCGCAAACAGGAAGTAATGTATGCAAATTAAATAAATCGTTATTTTATTATTGGATAGTTAGCGTCACTGTATTATCACTCCATGATAGTTAACGTTGAGTAAAAAAAAAAACGACAATTTTTATTTACAATAGTTTATGAATAGTACGAATATATTATCTGTTTTATTTCAACATTAAAGTGAGAATTATATCATTCGGATATTTTTCGCGTTGCTATAGTTTAGATTCTGAGCGGAACTAGGAATGACGTAAGTATTGGTCTTGCAATTATATTTTTTTAGTTAAATAACTTTCAACTTATCAGAAACCTTGCTCCGATTTTTAAGTGTAGCATCTTGTCTGAAAAGAAATCTATTATGGTACTAAAGAGAGCTTTATTTTTAATTTTTCTAATGGGATTTCATAATAAATAGGAAAAACCAAGAAAATTATGAAATTTATTATTTTTAATTTTTTTTTTTATCGTGATTCAGTTAAAAATATTCGTAGGGACTTGAAATTTGAACAGAACACTTATATTTGAACCTAAATTTCGTATTCGTTTTTCAATTGACCATTAAATTTAGAAATTTTATAGAACTGAAGTAAGTAGGTAAAATTGATATAAAATTTCCCAACTAATAAAATTAGATATTGATAATAAAATTATATATTAAACTGTTTTATATTTAAATATTTTTCAGTTACTAACAAGGGCGTTTTTTTGGTGGGAGCAGGATGTGCGATTACACCCTTTACTTTTAAAATAGTCCCAACTGGCCTGCTTAAATAATGTACCATTTTTTATATAGTTAAAATAAAATAATATTTTTATATTAAAAATATTGGTATTTTACTATCAATAAATAAATATCGTGAATAATGTGTATTATATTTACACAATTTCATGGGCGATGATTAAATGCTAAATGGTCTTATGGTGCTAAATATTGAAAAATAAGAAGTAAATAATTTCGATTTAGAAAAAATTGTAGATGTATTTGTTGGACTTAAAAATCGCCAATACCTATAATCTCTTATACGAATATAAATAATTTGTTTTTTTTTTTTTTTTACTAGAGCTTTTACTTGTGCGAAAGTTATACTTAACAATGTACACATATTGTGTGCTTTTTTTTTATGTAACATTTCTCATCTTCAATATTTTATATTTGTATGCATTAATCATTGGTTTTTACAGGTACAAATGACTGAACGTAAAAGTCTGAATAAAGCGCGCTATAAGCAATTTGTCAACATTTCTGTGAACTTATCGTAGTTTTATTGATTTGATAAAATAAAAAAAGGGTCTCATATTATGAAATATTGATTAATTAGGTAATCGATTATAATTATTATATATTTGATATCAAATATTAAATTTATTGCATTTTTAAAAAATAGGTTTTCACCTGATAATTTTCGATTCAGAACAGTGTGCAGATCAACGTTAACAGATTGTCTCAAAATTTTCTATAGTTCATTAAATATTCATGTACACAAATTTAAAAGGTGAGACTGTAAAATATTAGATTGGAAAATAAGGGAAACTGTAGGTATACATATATACACACACATAACAATATTGTATATATCTATATTGTACACCTTGTGTAATTCTTATAAGTAACTACACAATAAATTATTTTTTATTACATTATATTAAATTTTAATTTTTAATAAACTTAGGGTACTTTTATGTATCAATAAAGACAATAATGTTGTGTGTTATGTTCATGCTCTGTATTATTCGAGAGTGATATCAAATTACATTTTCGATAGTTACGTATTTCCACATCCGACATTAAACGTATATTTTCTTATCGGATACCAATGTATATTTCTCCCAAGTTATTCAACAAATAACAAGTAGAAAATGCTTGTCTTTTGGGTAGAACGGAATGCATTTCATGATAAGCGGGATTATTATTATAAAATGAAACCTAAAATAAACTGTTTACTACAAATGTGCTCAATTACAGATAATTAATGAAATAGAAATGTCAACAGTCCGGGACGTCGGTAATTTCGGAAAAATTAAAAATGAAATTAATAAAATCAAATATAAATTTTATTACGTTTGTGTGTAGTATAAATTTTGCATATTGAAAATTCTGATTTCTGGAATTAGTAAAACCCGATATTTTTGAATACTTAGATTTTTCACAACATTTAAGGAGTGGTGATACCAAAATTGATTTTTTTAAATTAATGGAACATGAGTATCGTTAATTGTATGACGGTACGGCGCGCATCGTTTTATTAGTGCTTTACTACCATCATCGTACCTGAACTTAAAAATTGAATATTTCGTTAACGGGAAGACAGAAATCAATAATTTTGACACCGACATTTATTTACAGTAATACTCCGTCTATTTATGGAATTTTTAAAATAGGTTCTATTATGAAAAACAGAAGTTATTGTCACCAGAGAGATACTCCTTAAATGTTGAGAGATATTTAAGTATTCGAAAATATCGGCTTCGACCACACTTATTAAAAATTCCAAAATTTTAATAAAATATTCAAAATTTAACTAAAAAAAAAAAAAAACAGATTGAATACGTTTAATACCCTGTATTGTTATTGTAATTGATATTTACACAGCTTATTCAATACGTTATAACGATGATGTATATTAATTAGATCATCCTTGAAATATTCAGCCGACAACATTACCGTAATAATTTCTTATCGGGGATTTTTTCGGTTGGATATATTATTGGAACCTTAGTAGACATTGTTCAAGTCCGGTCGTCATTGTAGCGTCACCACTCACTGTCGGTGCCGTCATCCGACTCGTGCATTCGTCACTCGGAGAGTTCTTATTATTTTGACCGTTATATAAAACGGACAAGTGAAATCTAACAATATTCCGTACAAATCACCGACGTCCGATGTAAGTATAGTATTCAAGTATGAGTTTATTCACTTATTTACTTATTGTTAACATTATAATAATACGTTTTGTATTTACGTAACATGACAAAAAAAAAAGCCAATGTAATAACGTGCTTTTTAAGCTATTATATATAGTTAAAATAAAATGTATAATCAATGTTGTAAAATAATTCTAATAGTTTATAGCCATTAAGTATTAGATTAAGTTTTTAGTATTAACCACATTAAGATAACACATTTACACACGCACACACACATAGTTCTCCAGTTATAAGGAGGCCGGCCACTTCTAATCACCCGCAGAGCGTGGTATTGTTCCCGTTCCTTTTGGACAGATGATCACAAGCGAGTATAAAGACTACGCAGAGATTCTTACAAAAGTACGGGAACCTAGAACAGTGTTGTATGATTAAAATTTTAAAAAAAAAAAACAGTTGTTACATTAAAATCTTTTTATTTATTTCGGTCACCTTTATCAGATTTAACAGATGATTTGCCGCCTGAAGGAGAAAGGTAATTAAATTTATAATTAACTTACACATGTGAATCAATTTTATATAATTAGGCTGACCCATATTTCTGATTACAACACCAAGGGTACGGATCTATCACTATCACTGTCCCCACGGGAGCGGATGCAGAACAAAAAAATGGGGAGAGACAATTTTGAAAATGCATGTAAGGCACACATTTATTATGAAAATCGCAGAGTATATTGAAGATAAAAGTATATTTTGAAGTGATCAGGGGCGAGGCGATTACCTATCCTCTCTACCGTGAATCTGTACCCCGCCCTCTTAAATATCAATACGACATTGTTTTATTGACATTTTTTGTATACCTAGGTAATTTATTAAGATATTTTTATTCTGTTGATTATGATTTTTTTGTTTTACTTTTTGGCTGGTTGAATATAACAATTAATAGGTATAATAATATTTTATTAATATTATATTATTCGTGGTACATATTGTTTATTTTTCGAAATTAATTATTATATATATACTCGAGTTAACACTATTAGTACTAAAATAGTAATAACACATTTGGTTTTTTTATGATGCGTGCTTTTTTTTATTATTTTTGTAGCCCTCATAGCCCCCATGCATACGCCCATAGCTGTATATAGTATAACCGTATAATAATACCTAAATTATTATTTGGATAGTATAATTTCATTTAATTTAATTAAAAAATATCTATTTAATTTAATGTTACACATTACACATTGTTATAATTATTATTGTAAATCTTTATTCATTACAAGTACAATTTTTAAATTCTGGACCATTATATCGATAGTATTACAATGGTTTGAACTTTTCTTTATAAGATTCTGAACGCAGCGAGGAATGTGTTGGTTTTGCTTTAATACCTACAATTTACATATTAAAAAAAAAAAGAAAAGTTTTTGTTTTTGTTTCTATCAACAACTTTTTTATCGGAATTTCAAATCAAAATTTGGAGTACTTTAAAAATATTGCCCCAATTAAAAACCGACAAGAGCCTTTTATTGTAACAAATATATTGGTGCATTTTTTTCAGTTTTTCTTAATAATTTAAACACAAATTTATGAAAATGGGGTCATATATGCAGATTTCCGTTATTTTCGATTTTATTTTTTTGTTTAGTTGTTTTAAAATTGTCGTTGTAACATGAGATTTCAATAGAATACTAATATAAGCTTTTTTTAGAAATGGTAAAATTTTCGAAAAAATTATAGCCATTTTTTAACTATTTATAAATATTTAAAATTTTATAATTTTTATTAGCTTTTATTTGGTTTTATGTGGACATAAAACGTATTTTAATTAAAAACATCTATACGTTTAACATATATGTATTAATTTAATTTCGGAATAAATAATATTATTATACTACATAATTATTAATCGGTGTTCTAAATATGCTAATGTTAAATGGTTTTTGTTTCGTTTCTTTTTTTCATTGCTATAAATATAGAGCTGTAATTAAGCTGTCGTTATTACTTAATAAGTTATCTAAAAATAATCAATTAATATGTTTATATATTATTTCAGATATACTCTATTATTCACGTTATGAAACTGAACTCTGTTTTGAATTTTTTACAATCATTTATGTTTCATACGGTAACAAACCAAATTACCATATACCTATTCATATTACTAAATCTCTACTATAAATAATTAATCTCCGTTCTCAACATACTTACTTACTTACCATAATATGACATATATTATATTTATATTTATTTTTTAAATATTACCAAAGCAATAATATCAACCAAAATCACCTCAGAATCGTTTTTTCGTTAGCAATAGTTAATCGTACTAAATAATTATACATAGAATTTATTTTGATTTTTAAATTATGATATTAATTAGTATTAATTATTATTATAGTATTTTTCTATTTTTGTTTTTTAAATTCAAGGTATCCCTCAAGTAAAACTTAGGCATTTATAATGTATATGTGTGAAGTGGCGTATTTTCAATTATTTTGTGAGGGGAGAGGGTTAAAATTTTTCTAAAAAAAGAGTGATTTTTTTTTAACATGAACATGAATTATCCCTGAAGATTTTATGTGAATTTTATTTAAAATTTTTTTAATCTTTGTACAATTATTTAAGATTTATTTTAAAATCATTTTTTTTACCTCTACTCCATAAATTGTATATCTACTTTTAAATGATATTTGATAATTCTTTCCTACGCCTCCGGTCTAAACTTTAAACAGTTATAAGTCATAAACGGTAAATCTGATATTAGTGTTTTATATATCAAAATTACTAGAAAAATATACACATTAAACTACGTATTATTGGCACATTTATGACTAAACTAAATGTTAACTAAGGTATGTCGATCGAAGTTGTATGTGACGTATTTCGATAACTGACTGACACAGCAAGAGTGATTAAGATAATAGAAATTATAAATAAAAATTTAGGTCGTAATTTACTGGTTATTATATTTTTGTTTAGTGCTTACAAGATTTATTTTTGATTTTTATATATGACAAAATATTAATTTATACCTTTTTTAATTTCGCTTCAATATACAATACATTTTGAATTTCGTAAAAACACGGACAAATATGCAATAACCATTAAATATGCAGAAAAAAAAGTTACCCAATTATTTCAAACTATTATAATTCATAAGAATTAATGACAAAAATCTAAAAATGTGTAAAGGAAAAAAAATTAAATTGAATAAAAAATCGCGCTCTACTTATGATCTATCGTTACAGCATATTATATATTATATTTGTATAAACAAATCTATCCTAGTCCTAATCCTACTTGTTCTTACATAACGGTTTAACTGTAAATACAATAAAATTAAAATGATTGTTTGATTTGTAATTTTTTTTATAATTTTAAAAACTAATACACTTGTAAAAAATAATATTAATTATAGATTATAACATTAAATTATTCTTATTTGATCAGGTAATTTTTTTGTAAACGGTATTTAATGCATAGGTAGGCACAATATATCGTATTGTATTTCGATACTATGAATAGGAAACATAACATTTTATTTTCAAAAAAATATGGCAAAAAATATATAAATAAAAAATGTACATTTAAAAATAAAAAATTAATAAATGTGTCACCTGGAGTATTATGTTAAGTGTATTATACGACCGGTTTTGAATTAAAAATGTACCATCAGGTATATCACAAAAGGTGCCTACACAGGAGGGGCCAGTAGGGGCCATGGCCTCTCCCTCTTTTTCGGTCAATTATGGTATATTTTTAAAACGTATCTTTTTTCTTCAATTAAGGAAATCATTGTTTACTAAATTTCATATCTGTTGTGTCCGTAATAATAATGAATAGACGAGTCTCGAGGAATATACGTGTGCAAAATTAACCATGGGTCTATATCACGATGTTTAATCTATATTGTGGTCTATTTAGTTTATTCTTTGGTATCACATTCATATAATTATCTTGAGCGCGCGAAGTAGTTGTTTTTGATAGATATATAGATAATTGATTAATCATTAACTGAAAAGTATATCGTGCCATCGTTGTCTGAAATCTGACTTGTCGATTAATTTTTTATTTGGATTTGAATGATTTTTAGACTTATTGACTTATTAATTATAATCTTAACGTCCTAAATTTGAAAATTAAAATGAATCCACTAAAACGAAAAACTTTAAGTTAAAAAAAGATTGCAACAAAAGTACTGATGTTGAATGTTTACTCCAATTTTAACAAGTTAAGACACATGTCCAAAACGTGAACCTAATTGCTTTAATGGCTTGACATAAATGAATATTTACAAAACTTGTGTACAAAGCCAAAAATCACACATAACAAATGAAACCTAGATTCGTGAAATTTTTATTTAATGACTAATAATCTTCATAATTAATACGATTTAAATTAAATAATTATAATTTAGATACAAAATAAGTAAGACTTTGATGAGTTATAAGATTTTTTTTTTCGGTGCTCTTGGGATTCCATACATAATATTATGAAAATATACAGTTAATCATATGATATTATTGGTATTTTTGACCAAGTTTGTGATACGTTATACACTCAGAAATGTATTACAGTAAAAAATACTATAATATGTTATAGATTTGTATCTATATAATAAAAATTATATATAGCTTGCCCCCTTGGTGAAAATTTCTACTGGCGCACTTGTATATCACAGCCAAAATGTAAAACGCAACTATTACATTTAGACTGAGTTTATAATAAAGTCAAATGTAAAATCTATTACTTTTTTAGGTACATTGTATTATAATTGCTTAAGGGAAAACGGAACATCGGTAAAATATTAAACAAATATTATTAAAGAAAATATATAATGCCTATTTAATTATTTTACTATAATATGACATAAATATTGTTGACAGAGCATCACTATTTACTAAACTGCGCTCAGAATCGTTTATTCGTTAGCAATGGTTTATCGTTGCTTACAGGTATACCTTAGATTACTTATAACAGTGGCTGTACCCGTTTTTTTAAACTTAGTTTTAACTAGATTTATGGACAGACCGTTGGTATCATACCTTACATTTCTGTGAACCGTGGGCTGCTGAGTCTCAGTTAATAAAGTACTTTTGTAAATTGTTTATAAGTGTTTCTTCAAGCCCTGTGTATCGGTGGTCTCGCCAACAATAATATAAATTAACTTTTATCCAATTTTTTATTATCAAAGTACTGTTTTTCCATCAGTAGTGAAAACCTTAGTGTCTTTGTTCGCTAAGGAAATCCATTCTCAAATTTTATTGCAAATCGAACTACGTATTTTCGGCACATTCACGATTTACGGACTAAACTAAATGCACTAAACGATGTGTCAATCGGAATGGTATGTGGCGTATGTCGAAAACTGTCCGACACAGCAAGAGCGATTAAGATTTTAGAAATAAAAGTTTAGGTCATAATGGGTTAATTATCTTATCTTTATTTGGTGCCTACAAAATGTATTCTTCAGTATACAATAGATTTTGAATTTCATAATAATATGAAAAATATATATTTAGATTGGACAGGTATATGTTACTCAATTATAATTATTTGCAATATTTTTATCGTTTATAATACAGTCAAATGTAAAATCTATTAGTGTTTAAGGTACAATGTATTATAATTGCTTCACGTTTTTAATTTTCAGATATTCATAGCGCCGCTCACTGGAAAATTTCTGCACCATTATGGATTCATTAATACAAACGATAAATAAATTACAAGATGTATTTTCTGTGATCGGTGAACATAAAATTGATTTACCTCAAATCGTTGTAGTTGGATCTCAAAGTTCTGGAAAAAGTTCAGTTCTCGAGAGCCTGGTTGGTGGCGCGTTCTTACCACGGGGTACAGGCATTGTAACGCGAGCTCCAGTTATCTTGCAAATTATTAAATACAATGACGAACAGAAGAAAGAGATGCTTAAAATTACAAACAACACACTAATTCATGAATGGGCTACTTTTTTACATAAACCTAACCAAGTATTTCATAATTTAGATGAAGTACGTAAAGAAATAGAGACAAAAACCAATGATCTTGCTGGTTCTAAAAATAACATTACCCACGATGCTATAACTTTAAAGATCTATACTCGACATTACAACCTTACATTTGTCGATTTACCTGGTATAACCAAAATTCCAATTGATGATCAACCGGAAGATATAGACGAACAGATACAAAAATTAATATTCAAGTATGTCGAAATGTCTAATTCAATTATCTTAGCAGTAGTCACAGCCAATACAGATCCGTCTACTTCTGAAAGTTTAAAAATTGCTAGAAAAGTAGATCCACACGGGAATAGGACAATTGCTGTAGTCACAAAATTAGATCTTATTGATAAGGGTACAATAGATGATACAAAAGATTTGCTTTGTGGTCGTAAAATTCCTGTGAAACTTGGCATAATTGGAGTTGTTAATAGGTCCCAAAAAGATATAAATGATAAAAAAACCATGGAGCAAGCCCGGCAAAGTGAACAAGATTTCCTAAAAATAAATTATCCAGATATTTACAAAAATCATGGAAACAAAGAATTAGCTAATACATTACAAAAGATATTAATTAATCATATTAAAAAAACGTATCCAGTTTTGCATAAAAATCTTCAAGATACAAAGATAAAACTAGAAGAAGAATTGCAAACACTAAAAGCACCCGAACATAAGTTACCATTTATATTAAATTTATTAAAAGGTATAGCAAAATCTTATATCGACACGATCAACGGAAACCAAAATGACATATCAGATCACATAATTATGGGTGGTGCACACATAACCAAAATCATAAATGATGAATATATTGAAAAATTAAATAAAATAGATCCACTTGTTGATTTGACAAGTGACCAAATCAAAATAATTATATTAAATACTGCAGGTACAAGCAGAAGTTCGTTTATAAATGAAAAAGCATTACAAATTATAGTTAGCAGACAATTAAGTCATCTTATTCAACCATCATTATCCTGTGTAGATTTAGTACGTGTGGAAATGTCAAAAATATTTGATTGCATTGATGGAAATATTTTGGAAACTCTCAAGCGGTTTTCTAAGATAAATTCTGATGTAAGTTCAAAAATTATTTTACCTACTCTGTTGCTAATATTTAAACTTAATTTGAAAACATAATGTATTAAGTTTATTTAATTTTAAACTTAGTAATATCAATTGTTGCATAGATCATTTTTAAAAGTTTTTTATTTGTTTAATTATTCAGTATTCATAATATCTTTTGAAACAAATTAAATACGATTTAATAATATTAACGTAAATATATAGCTTAAAAAATCTAGAGTAGATAAAGTTATCAATTGTATTTTATGATTTGATCATTTTATTTACAACTTCCGTTGAGTATACAATTTAATGCTATCATTGCTATCATAAATAATTATCGGATTTTAATTTTTAAATTAAAATTAATTTATTATATCAAAAAATTGAAAAACCATGTAAATAACATTTTTGGTATTTAAAATATAATGGTATATTTGTATTTGTATATATGTTATACCAAATTAGTGAATTTGCCGATTTCACGATTTGTTAGATGTATATTTATTTTATAAATATTATCACTTAATCATATTAAATCAATCATAATCAAATAATTTTAAACTTTTTAACCTAATATATTAATTCAATTTTTTTTAATGATTCATTTTCTTAATTTATTGTATCAATTTTGTTTAAATTTCAGCATATATTTTGTTATGTAGAAAATCGGTCTATTTTTGTACTTTTTTTCGTATTGGTAATATATATTTTTTCACTTTGCCAATTTCATATATTCGTCAACAGCGTTGCTTATTTTATGAAACGGGCAATTTTCCCGTCGATTTCGTGAAATTCGGCAATTTCGGCAAATTTAAGACTTCGACACAACAAATATATTGAAAAATTTAAATTCAAGTGACAATTAAATAATAATAATAAAAAACAACAACTTATATAGGTAAATACTGATTTTAATTTTTTATTCTAATAATAATTGATGATTTTTTATGAATAAAAAATTGCATAGATTAGTCCACATTCTTTTTTTTCTAGTCTGGAATATAATATTTCTAAGTCAATTAACTTAGGTATTAATTTTAAATCAAGTAAAAAATAATTTTGTTAAATAGTATACTATTATCCTTAATTTGTGTATAGAACCAATAGAATGGTTTACCGTTGCTAACAAAAACGGTTTGGAGCAAAGTTCTTAAATTTAAAATTAAAATTCTGATTGGAAAAATTAGCAATGGTTTATCGTTGCGTACATGTATACAACTTTATGTAACTATTTTACCTTCCCATTTTCCCGCTTATAACAATGGCTGCACCCGTACTCAGCTCTTTATTATGGTTGTAACAGTTTGTTTTTTATTATTATGAATAATATAAAATATGATTTCAGGTTAGAGGTTTGTTGAACGAAATGTTAGATAACAATTTGACAAGTATTAAAGACTTTATTAATACTTACATGAAGGCACAACAGACATGTCTTAATACATCCAACCCGAATTTCATATTGGACATGTTAAAATCATCGCCTAATATACAGAACACTTTAGTGACCAATTGTGTAAAATATTCTACTAATGCAATCAATAATAAAAATTATTTGAACGAAGAAACAGTAAAGGAATTACTTAAACAAACCCTTACTGGTTTAAACGATTGGGATAAAACTACGAAAATATCAGAGCAAGTACAAGTGCATACGAATTTAACAAAATGTTACTTTGAGTTCATAAAGAAGCAAGTACAAGATTTCGTACCTAAACTGATTCAAGACAAAATGGTAAATGCGGTTTTGAATGAATTCGAAAATTATTTACATAAATATGTTTTTACACCATATATCGAAAATAATTCTATTACTGATGTGCTTGCTGAAAAAGAATCCACAATAAAAGACCGTCAGCGAGTAAAGCAGTTATTAGACGCTGTAAATAAAGCGTTATGCAATATGTTAGATTTACAATATACCTAACTGAATAATAATTGAAAACCATCCCATCTATATTCAAAATGCTTAGAAAGAATAATTTTGTACTTTTTATTGGGAAATTAAAAAATTATTTATATTACAATATTACATAGTTTATATGTTTGAATTTCATAAAGTTTTTGAATTATGTTGTTATTTTTCATTAGAAGTAACATATTATTTTGGTGTTTTTTTTTTTTATATGATTAAGAAACAAAATATGTTGTTTATTTATAATTTATACAATATTTTTGATTTTAATTCAAGTTTATATTTTTTTTGTTACATTATGTTGATCAGGGGAGGACTGGTTATTTTTGACCCAGCGATCAAAATTAATTACGTGACCGTCATTACGCGCCACCCATGTATATTTTTTGAAAATCTATTAAACTTAAGCATGGGTTCGGATGATAAGTAAATACAAAAAACCCAATCAATAATAACTTGTTAATTTGTTATTTATTTATTTTATAACTTTACGTTGAAATAACAAGTAATTACTTATTACAACTGTAGAAGAAATGACATCTACTTAGTTACATGGTTCAATTTTAAACAAAGCTTATTATCATATAATATAAAATTAATAAATATAATACAATAATTACATAACCTATGCAATGGGTTTCCTTTTAAAGTTAACACGAAATATTTTTGTCCAGCGAATTCGGATAAAAATAGGGTTTTAAGAGCCATAGAATACTGATAGTTAATAAATTTTCTACAAAAAAATCTTATTTAAATCAAAAAGTACCAAAAATTATTTTTTGTTGAAATTTAGATCTAGTTGGTGTATTAAGCATGCCATTTTTTGATTTTACAAGCTGGTTTTATTATAATTGGGAAAAACCGGGAGAAAACGTGTTCTTTAATTTTTATTTTGTTTATACCAACAATCAAATTCAACCAAGGATATAATTTTATCATTTTAACATAATTTTATCTTATTCATTTATTTAAAAGCGAATTTGAATATTTTTGAATTGATATTGTAATTTTATTTTTTCAAATATTTCGTGCAAATTGTACTATTTCCTTTTACGGCTAAATATTTTTTTAAAAGTGTACCTCAAATACCTATTTGAACAGAAAGGGATATAGCAGTATCGCCATATCTATAGTACTTATAATTGCAATGGCATAAATGTTCGAATGGAAATAATAATTATTACAACATCGTGAAAATTATGTTATTATACCTGTCGGGGGTGAATTAAAGGTCAAAAGTATTACGAATGATTGGCGACCGTTGAAATGCCACCAAAGAAACTAAATATTGAATTGGCTCCTAATACAATTTTGACCAAGTGGTTCTCAAAATATATAGTGGTTCTATAAATATTGAAGTGGACAAATTACGAGACTTTAATATGTTTAGTGACACAGTGCCAAATAACTGCTGGGAATCGTCTAATTCCCAGAAGTTACAATTTAATTTCACTAATTTCACTGATATCGTTAAACGCAGTACTCGTAGTACATCTCAATTCGTCATAATTTGTCGCAATTCGTACCTTTATAGTTGTATATAAAATTAATGCGATTGAAAAAATGAGTTTTAGTGAAAAGGGAGAATTAATTTTAATAGTAAATAATTTTAAATTTACCCCTTTGAAATACATTAAAAAGAATCAAATGTACTAAATTTTAACAATTTCGATGATATTAAAATATAATATTTGTATTATAAATTATTTTAATATATTTAAATAAATTGTTATGTTGAACAATTTTTATAACCAATGGGCTTAAAAAATTAATGCTGAGGGAGCCGACTCAATACCTATATAAATCTCGAGAGCCAATTCCGACGTAAAAACGCCGATTTCTTGAATTTGGGAACCAATTCAATAGCTCCGGAACGAGTTAAAAATGAATCTTTCCAAGCGTCGGCGATGTTCATTGTATGTATAGTATTCATCGACGACACCGCGAAGTTGCGTTTACCGCCGTCACTCGCAGCTCTCGGCGAACGATTATCGCGACGTCACGGCCTACCGGTTTATCGCAAAGAAAACCGAATAAAAAAAAAAAAAAAAAAACCGAATTTTGAAACATTAAAAAAAAAAAAAAATAAATAAATTTCAAGGGGAAGCGATCCATCTATCGCTCCCCCCGCTCCCTTGTTACCGCCACTGGCTTGTCAGTATAACTGCGGTCCGCCATTTTGGTAACAAAGACGTATCGATGTTCGCAAACAACCGGTTCAACAGATATATTACGCCGTGGTTGTGGGCCCCGATAGGCCTGTGACCGGTATGACCGAGTACGGGCGGCGTCGGGGATTTTTCTCCGGCTGTTTTACACAGGCGGTCAACCGGTGCATACAGTTACGCCGAACCCGCGATGGGACGTGGGGAGGGGGCCCGCGCGAAGTCCGATACACACTCGGGCACGCCGTTCGGCCCGCGTTAGTCCCGTCGTTTCGCTTCTTCTTCCAGGAATCCACCGACGAATCTCGTTACGAAACATCGGTTGGTCGACGTTTCCCCCTTTACCCGTCACTCGCATCACTCACGGCAGTAGGCCACCTGAGTGTTCGACAGGACGCGTTCGCAAAGTCGTCGTTGTTTTTTTTTTTCCGTGTGTGCGTAATAATTTTGCGTTGTGTTTATTATTTTCCAAATTTCTCTGGGGTTCGATTTGTTTGTTAATTACGCGTAGAGATACCGCGTAGACAAAATTATTATAAACACGGTACCTACCGTTGCGACAGTCGTTCGTGAAGAACCAGTGGCGGCAGCGTCCGATTAATACGTTTTCGCTGAGTGAGTACCCAACAGCAGAATTATATTAGTATAGGCTTCTAGAACACAAGGGATATAAGTGAACTTTTTAAAAAATCTCAGTTAAGCCGCACAACTGAACTAAACTTTTTCATTTTATTTTGTGACTATAATTGTGTATATACGTGAAATATGCGCCATGTGCTGCGATCTAGTATCAAAAACTAGATCGTACTAAAATAGTCTTCAAATGAAAATATGAGCGTACACAACAGCCATTTACGCAATATGTAATTACGTCTCTTTGCTGACAATAAGTGTCTATAACTTTATTTTTATCGTTTTATGATTATATACTATAATAATTATATTAAATATCAATAGCTTTAAACTTGATTTTCTCAAACTAATAATCAATAAAATGTCACTTATACCCCCGTTTGTGTTCTGCAGGCGCCTTTATTATCATTCATAAATCGTAACAGTAAATCAATCGAACTGACCGACGTTTTATTTAATAGTTATTACAGTCAACTCTGCTTTATTGGGACACATCGGTTGCGTGTTATTTTGTCTCAATAAAGCGGTTGTCCCAAAATGTTCGAAATACAAAAACGATCATATAAATTTGTTGAAAAATTTATTTTCTTTTTATACATTTTTATTATTACAAATTACATACAATTATAGAAATTATTTATAAATACAAAAAGAAAAACATTATATTATATCCTAATTATTTATAAAAATACATACATATAAAGTACATGCGCGTATTTTTTTATTTTATTATTATGTATTTTATATTATCTAAACAAACTATAAATATTACTTTGTTCCTTGCATATTATTGATTCTTGATGAATGTAGTCCGAACAAGCATCCAAAGCACTTATGGGGCTTCTCTCATTTTCTTGTTGAAGAAAAAATAATCTCAATGTTTCCGAAGATTTCTTTACCTTCTTAAGTCGAATTGGTGGATCTGGTTCCTCGTTTATGTCTTCATCTAAATATTGTTTATCTTGTTTAGATTAAATGATTGTCTTATCAATATTTTCGTTTTGGTCGTAGGATTGCAAACATGAATCCAGATGTTCAAACTCTACGTTGTTCAGTACTCTTACGATATCATGTTCTTTGGAATTTGGTTCTAATTGTTGATGGATGGCATGACTTTCTTCCGAAAAACCACACTTTCGAAAACAATTTTTTATCGTCTGATTACTTACATCACGCCAGGTGTTTGAAATTAATTGAATTGCTTGCTTAATTTTTTTGGTAATACCTATTGCCGTTGATTTTGGTTGAAGTAAATTGTCCTCAATCTTTTCTAAAATGTATTTGACTCTATACTTAACCTTTACATTTTGGATAACATCCATATCTAAAGGCTGAATTAATGACGTTGTATTAGGACGTAAAAATTCAAGTTTGATGTTTTTCAAAGATACATTAGGATGGGCAGTACAGTTGTCTAAGATGAGGCATATAGCCTTTTTAATTTTGTCCAATTCTATATATCCCAACGTTGCAACCATTCGATAAAAATGGCCAAAGTCATCTATGCATTTTTATTTGCGTGATACTCAACCGGTCATTTTTGTAAAGAAATTTGTTGAAAACAACGAGGTTTTTTACTTTTTCCGATCACTAAGAGATTTTTTTTGGTCAGTCCCACGATTGTCGAACTACTGATCTACTCGATAAAAATGTCCCAATTATCCGAATTCGTGGCCCAGAAAACGTTTACCCTACTAGCATACATTTGTTTTCGTAATTGAAGAATTGTCCGATTAAGCGGTTGTCTTTATTAACCTGTGTCTCTATTAAGCGGAGTCAACTGTATTATACGATAAATATTTTGTACCGTATTCGCTCGCGATAGTTTTTTTTTTTTTTGTTTTTTCGACGTTGGCGGTTTACAAATCGGCCGACAGCGGTATACGCGGCATTATCGCAACCGGGAGTTTTTCCATTTTAAGGGGGGGGGGGGGTTACGACTGGTGACGCGTCTCTATCCGAGTCCGTCGGTTCGTCCGCGAGCCCGTGACCGAGTACCGTGTATTTTATACCATAATCGGTTATAAACAGTGCAAGTTGATCGCCGGTTGGTTTTTCGACAGTGGGAAACACAATAATTGTTACCGGTAGATGATAATGACGATAAAATATCCAATTTCAAATTGGATTCAAACCGGGATTTTATTGTGGCAGCCACACACTATAATAATAATAATAATAATAATAATAATAATAATAATTATTATTATTATTATTATTATACTCATCTAGCTTATGCGCGTCATTATCCGATACATCACGATATTTGTTACAATAATACGGTTTTTATGAGAACTATACGGTGTGAATAGATGTGGTTAATAATAGTATTTTGAAATATTCGGTAATAATTAACTTTGTCAACTAATAATAATTAGAATATAGCTAATTAAAATAAATTATACTATAATAATATTTAAATTGCTAACCGTATACCTATAGTGCGATATTATTCATAATATATAATAATACCTATTGGAGTGCGCAGCAGTAGTGAAATTGTGTCTACACTTCAATGGCACAATTATGCAGAGTGATTGATCGCTATCCCGGAAAGTATTAACTTTTGTCGGCATTTTCGTTTGACTACGTTTTAAGCAACAAGCGACTCTAAAACTGTTACGTTCATAATTCATTGTATTTATAAAATGTATTATAATACATTCATGAGTAAATTAATATACCTGGTCCGGTACAGTACGTTTTCATCCATTTCCGCTGTACTTATTATGAAGCGTTCGCGGTTATTACAGTTAAAACTAAATAGTAGGTTTTCTATTTTAAATTCTTATCATAGCGGTTTTATACGACTCGAGTGGTTATTTTTTCTGATTGTTAACAACTTTTCTGGCAGAAATCTGGTTTCAATCATCGACGTTAAGGGTAGTTTCTGGCAGCGAATTTCGTCTAATTGGAGCGAAATTTAGATTTCGAGCGTAGCTATTGGTTTTAGTAAGATGTTTATTTCTTTGTTTTTCTTTGTTCTAGTCTGTGGACACGGTTTTTCTTAGTAAACTCGCTCCGATTTTTACGTGTAGTATTTTTTATGAAAGCTCAAGTTGCCTGGATATTACTTTAAAAAGGTTATTTATTGATTTTTGACGCCATTTTTTAAATCAAAGCGCTTAAGTGGGAAAAAAAAAAATGTAAAAAAACATACAATTTCACGATTTTATTTTTTTATAAAAACACGGACGATGTTTTATACCAGAAAAAATGATTAAATCGAAAAGTCACAAAATACTTTTTTTGTTGCCTTTTTGATTTAATTTTTAAGGGTATCATTGCCAAAACTTTTGAGCCACTTTTGAGCTTTTAAGGAATTTTAATTTTTGGGAGTTTTTTTGTTGTAATTAGGTTATAAATACACGTAAAGACTTGAAAGTTGGTAATAATATTTATTTTAGACTCAATTAGATGTGAACATTTTCAGAATCATTGGACGACATTTTTTCCTTAAATTTTTTTACAACGGTACTTTATTTTTTTTTTTTTATACTGTAGACCACTTATATCCTAGAAAACTTACTCCGATGTATAAGCGTAGCAATTTTTCTGAAAGTCAATTTTATCTACTTAGTAAATACATGGGTTATTCTTTGATTTTCTAAACGGTATTTAAAACCAGGGAAACAATAACGATTTTTTCACGATTTCGTTATTTTAAACCTACCACGTTTTCTATCACAACTATGGCTCCAATTGAAAAGCGACAAGAGACAGTTTTTGTTGCATTATTAATCTTGTTTTCAATAATGTGGGTAGTTTTTTGATTTTTGAATTAGTTTTCATAATAATCGGCGAAAAATGTAGGAGATTAGGTAAAACAAAATTACGGCACTTCAAATTATGTATTACCGAACTGCGCTCGGAATCGTCTTTCGTCAGCAATGGTTTATCGTTGCTTATAGATGTAAATGAAATATTGTTCCTCATTACCCACTTACAACAGGACAGCACTCTACCCCAGTATTAGCTCTTTTTTTTTGTAATTTTCTTAATATCTTGGGAAAAACGTAGTAATACCGGAAAATTAAGTTACTCAATAACGATTTCTGTGTTTTTGTTTTTGTGTTAGATTCTGAGCTTTATTTCGATCATAATATATGATTTTCTTTGCTTGTAAATATATTTTATTTCAAAAATCTTGCTACAATCAAAAAACCGACTAGACATCTTTTTTATTGAACTCCGGTTCTAGTTGATGATTAGCAAAGTCGTTTTTTTCCGATTTTTCGTGTAGTTTTCTTAATAATTGAAAAACGCATTTTTTTAGTTTTTATTTGGTAGGTAGTTATTGTAGTGTGCTCGAGTTAAAAGAAATAAAAGATGTGGGTCTATTGAGACATAAAAAGAGTAGCGTACTTTGCAATGATTGACTTCTACATAACCCGTGGGGGCCGTTAAATCAATAACGTAGCTATATTCAGTCATATTTTTCTTCTCCTCTGCCTTTATCACAACTATTTGGGATTTGGCCTTTTCGTTCTAAACTTCCACTTGACACGATACTCCACGTATATACCGGCCGTCCTTATATTATTTTCAGTCGCATCCAATTACCTTTTTTTCGGCCTTTCTCCTCTTCACCTCTTTTTTCCTACGTTTATTTTCATTATAATTCATATAGATTCAGATTGCTCTCTCTTCACGACATGTCCAAACCTGCATATCAGTCTACTTTCTCTCATTTCGTCAACTATCAAAACCATGCCTAAACTATCACTTACGTACTCATTCTTTATCTTGTTTTTTCTCGTCACTCCACTCATCCACCTAAGTATTCTTATCTCTGCTACATTTATTTTCTGTTATATTTTTCTGTCTAATTTCTAACCATCATGTAACATAGTTAATCCCACTATATTTTTGTAAAACTTAACTTTAAGTCTCATTGGAATGCTCTTTTCAGTAAAACACCTAACGCCTCTCTTTACTTTACTTTGTTTGACAGAGTATTATTTGGGACAGTAAACTCGTTCGAAAAGTTTTTAAGTTCGTGAAATCATGATCTAGTAATTTGGGAGCGATTAACTTTAGCTTTTTCAATTAAATTACAAAAATATGGTTGTTGGTAATTATCCCTGTAATTATCGTCATGAAAAAGCTTATTTCCGTATTTTCTATGATATTATATGATCATATTATACTTCAGTGCACCTCTCTGGACTGACGACTGGGTATTGGGTAAGCTGCATCTTGAATTTTTAGAAAATATATTTATCCGCTATCGGCTTGATTTTAGCACTTTAAAATTCTTGGCGCATGACCGATTTCAGTATAGTCTATATAGCTCACCCGCTGTGCATGCTCAGTCTATTCAAGCCTTATACAGTTATATCTTAAATGACTTGGACTAAGTTTTTCCTTTTATATAGCTCATTACTCTCTTTAAATCTTGTTTCCCATTATATAGAATTATTTTATCGAGGGGGGGGGGGATCCCGCTCATATTTACGTAGTCTACCGACAAAAATTTCAAATCGAACACGGGCCGTGGTCATTTCCAAACTTCCTTCCATAGATACGCCATTGTATGGGATATATTTACTGAATACATTCAAATATTCTAGAATGAAAGAAAAATCATATAGGTACCAGGTAATAGTAATATAATAATAGTTACAAATAATATTATTTCATCTGTTTTTTGTTTTTAAAATGATCAAAATGTAGACATAAAGTTGCATGGTGAATAATAATTTTAACTGGATAAATAAATGTTTTTTTTTGGTAATATTGCTTTGTTGTAGATTTAATTTATTGAAATGTAACATTTTGATGTACTTTAGTGTAATGTGAAATGTAATAGGTAATAATAAATAAAATTAAAATGCACCAACTGTTAGTGTAAATAAATACAAGTGTTATTTTAATTGAAAAAAGAAACCGCTTAGATAACTCCATTAAATCAATTAAATTAATTTAGCATAATAACGCTAATATCTTATAACTCTTATGAAATCCATTAATCTTGCGTGGATATTTTGTTCGATTTTAAAATGTTTTGTATCAGACTTCGATTGTTTTAAACTAAGTGTGCATCGAAATGTAGTGGCTATTGGGTTATAATTAAAACAAAATATTTAATTTATTTATTTTCAAATAACCAGACGCATAACTAAATAATATTAAAAGGTTATGATTTTCGAAACATTCTGGACATTTTTTGAATAATCTATTTATAATCTTTTCAGATAATGGTGCTTTTTTTATTTGATTCATGAGAATAAAATTATTCAAATTTCTATCTACCTGATAAATAATTCAAGAGTAGTACTTTTTCTGAAAGGAAATCTAACTGGGGTAATATTTTATGGGGTCATTAGATTTTCCCAAGAATTTTTATTGTAAATGGGAAATAACGCAGGAAAAACGGAAAATATACAGTGTGTATTAATTTTAAATCGTAAATATCGTTTTATGTTAACAATGATTAATCGTCGCATACAGATAATAGATATACATTCAATTTCCCTTCTACCATTCCAACTTCTCACCTACAACAGTGGCCTACCCATTGTGCGGAGTATGTCCGTTTGTTTTTATTCATAGTATTTCTTAAATGTAAAATGCTGGGCAAATTCACAACAGAATTAAATTTACATAATGACATAGGTAACAATTTCGAAAACATTCCTTATTATTGATAAAATATAATAGGTATATATTAATAGGTATAAGGTGCATTTAAAATGCCATATTTTCATATATTATCGCTATTTTGGTAATTATCAAATAAATATCTATATCTATAAATATAATCGTAATATTCCGTTTTATAACTAATAAAATGGTTAAATGTGCACAATATAATAGTATAATACTTTCCAATTTCTGGTGGAATTATCATTTATGTAGACCATAGTATTATAATGAATATTTTAAAATTTTAAAACTTCCTATTTGTTTTATATTTAAACATTAAGAGATACAAATTTACACTTCTTAAAAGTCACCACTAACTAAACAAAATGTTCTATTATGTTATTAATACAATTTTTCCACAACCCGCTAATTCGCAATATAATTAACGCAATTAAAATCTAAATTCGTTTTTTTGAGACGAGAAAACTCATAGGAAACGTTCCTATCGTCTTTATTCAAGCTGCTATTGACGGATCCATTATGGTATTAGAATGTACCGATTCTATCTATCGCGAGTTCCAGTAGTGATCGGTAGGTACTGCATGTTTAACATACGTAACTGTACGGGACTTAGATCTGTTGGAATTTTAGCAGTCCGTGTTTAGAACGAAACTCTTTCCTAACCAGTAGTCCGCAGACTTGCCGTCTATTAAAATTTGGGAGTGAAATTTCATTTATGAGAGAGAGAGAGAGAGAGAGAGAGAGAGAAAAGGTTTTAGTCTAAAATTAAAAAGAGGTGGGTCCTCTGCTATTATTGATGGTGAAACAATGCAGGTACTTTTATTATGCGGTGGTGGTTGAAAATTAACAAAATCGATTAGCAGAATTAGTAGAGATTGTAGAATGTAAACTGAGGGCAAAATGAATGACCGAGAAATAGTAGTGTCGGTTAAAACCGGACGTATAGTTGGACGGTCGATAGCAATATTATTATGACGAAAGTCGGTGTACGCGTAGGTGATGTAGCGGATGTTCGTCGTGAAAACTGGGGTGGCAGACCACTGAAAATAGCTGCTTCCAGTGGAAGTATAGACAAATATTATAACGATAAATTGTACAACTAGAAGATACGGCGGCGCAACGCAGGACTTTATCATCGCCTGTAGGCGCCCTTCATGGCGTCCATCAGGTTTTTGGAGTAGTCCCTGTAGGCGTTGTTCTGCATTTGGGACGAGCCGGCCGACTGTTGGACGTACGAGGAATAGTCGCCCGATATGTCGGCGGTGAGCGGCGCGAACGCGGCCGCTTGACCGACCGGACCCACTGGGCCAGCGGCCACCAGGTTCCCGAAGCCGAAGTCTCCTCTCCGGCAGAACCGCAACATTGTCAATACGGCCGGCAGCGCCATCACGCCGAGCACCAGTATCTTCTTGATGATCAGGACGGCTATGAGTATGGGCACCAGTAGCGCTTTGATTATCAGGAACTTGAACGTGGCTAGCAGCGGGAACAGCAGCGCGAACTTCTTGGTCGGGTGCTTGCGGGCTCTACCTGCAATTATGTAAAACACTGTAAAAATAAAACAAACAGATAATCCTAAATCGTTCTTATAGGGTAATACGGTTCATGTAATAATATTAAAAACATGGTCGCGGTTAATACCACTGCCAAGACCGTCCAACAATTCCCCAGAACATTATAATATGGTATTATCATATTTTTCGTTATGCGTTTGCTTGTTTATTTGTTCCATTTCTACCCATGGGAAATTATTATTGCGTATATTGGTACGAGAGTATGTAAGAGGGAGATAGGGATGGATGGAGAGAGAGAGAGAAAGAGATTAAAAGAGCATTATCGTATAAAAAAAAAATATTCAAATTTTAAACAAAAAACGAATACTAATGCCCATCGGTTTTATTCCACTTTAAAAATGATACCTGTGCATTTTTAATCGTAATAAACAATATCCACTTTAAAAAATATTTCAAAATCGATATGCGCACAAATGATAATAATAATACTAATAATAATAATAGTGTGAAATTAATAAAATGAAGGTAACTAATAAGTAGGGAAATAATTTACATGTAAACTCATATTTTTATTAGAATAAGACATTTAAAGTTTGATGTGAAATGATCTCGATTTAATTTATGCCTATTCAACTGACCGGAAATTGTATTTTTCACATTGTGGTACCTATAATTACATATTTCGCTATATTGAAATTGTACGTAACGTCCAAAATGTCATGACAGGTCGTCGTATCAATCCAGCTCTTGGCTCTTTTTTTTTTGTTTCAATAACTCATAAATTCCTAAATTAGTTTCCTGTAATTATTATCTTTTTTATTGATATTCGGAGAAAATATTCAGTACAAATCCATTACTCATTTACAAACTATTCTACTTTATTAGAAATGACATAATATTATGTTGTATTATTTGTAATAACTAGACTTGCCATTTGTCCTTGTTTGGTCGGGGCAGTCCCGGTTTTAAAAGCATGTCCCTGCCGGTCATTTAGTATGTCCCGGTTAATAGAGGCCGAGAGTAAACTTATAAATCACGCTTTGTCGGATAAAAATCGTCGAAAATCGAAAAATGAAAGTACGAGTCTTAAAAGTATATGTTAAATGAATTATGGTTCAACTTGCAACACATTTTACAGAAAAATTAAAAGTGTTACAATTTAATGTTAAAGAAAATTCATTCAGATGAAAACTATAATAACCGATAGATAATGAGAAATAATATTTAATGCATAAAAAATGTAAACATTTGAATAAAGGTCATTCAATATTATGTCCTGGTTTGGGATTTCAAAATATGTTAACCCTAGTCTTAATAGGTGTATTGTTTGGTACCTACCAAGTATTGTAACAATTTTTACCTGAAAATATGTTTAATGGTTTTGTACTAATAACTAGTTATTTTTAGATTTCTCTCCCCCAATATCCTATCTCATATTAAAATGCTGATCACGCTACTGATCATCATTTCAATACGCCTGTAAAAAAAAACTATAATTCCCAAGTTTAAGATTTTTTTGTTTAGAGGAGCCGCTAAAAATGTCAAAATGTACCGGGTTGAAGAAATATACTTATATAAACCAGGATTCTGATATTATAGCACTGTAAATAAATTAAATATGCACTATAATATGACTTAATAAATCTTAAAATAAGCTATAACATGCCACAAGAACATGAAAAATGGCAAAAAAGAAAGTGTGTTTTTTTTTTAAAAATATAAATACAACTTATGAGAAGTCATACATGTAGACTGTTCGTTGGGTCACAAGTTTCGCCAGGCTAATTAAAAATAGATTTTAATATGAATCAAATAAGTATTTTTTTTTTAGGATTCGCAAACATGACAGATTTGTTCTATTATTCATAAAAAATAAAAATAAATCATTACTATGCATATTAGAAAAATAAAATAGCACCTAAATTAAAAAATAGCACTACAAATCTAAAATACTTAAAATATGCGATAAATGGCATTATAAAATGTCTTATTTAAAACCCCTGATGCATAAAACAAACGCAAAGTTCATTTTGCTATTTTTATTTGTGTCCTATAATAATCAGCAAGTGTTATGAAATCCGAGCCCTATTATTATAACGGACACAATAAAATGCAATATGAGTTTTTACTGTCACAATTATCCGGGAGAATTCGGTAAAGACGATCATTATGGATTATAATTGTAAATTTGATAATATTTAAATATTTAAATGACTGTGGGTATATTCGTAAACACTAGTGACTCGACATCATCTCATGGCACGTATAAACAACAGTATTAAAACGTATAAAAAATATTCCCATTGTGGAGTCATGCATATTATACACATATAAACACAAAGTCACGAACAATTAAAACGTTTGATGTTCTTTTCAACGCGAATTGCAATCCGCTTTGATAATGGTATACGGGCGTATGAATCGAACGTATTAACCGTTTTTTTTTTCTTTAAAAGGAAATAGTAGGGAAAAAAAGTACGTACATAAAAAATAGTTATAATTGATCTTGTCGTATAAAAGCGAATGAATTTAGAGTGCTCACGATGAATGCGTTTGTCTGCAGAAACAATGATGACGAGGGAAAATTATACGCGTTAGTTAATGTGTGTACTTACGATGAAAATACAGGGTGATTATATATATATATATTTTTTTTATCACGGATCGGTGATTTTCTACGTATTATATGACGGGAAGATTTTGAGTAAATTTTTATTTTGGTTTTTTCATTCGTTGTTTACAGTAATTTCAACATTCGTATGTGCCTACACTATAAACATATCATAAAATTATTACCTATCAATTTTTTATTTTAAAATAGTAACTGACCAGTTGTTTTGTTAGACTTTAATTGTAAAAAAATATCACGTAGTTTTCTGTAAACATTTTAATATTATGATGCACACCGTGAAACCTAATCTAATATATTTTAGAACCCGAATTTTTAAAAAGGTAGGTTTGAAAATCAAAAACTGATACCGTCGGCTTAGTGCTCAATTGAACTTGACTCCAAAATGTCAACTGTTCAGGAAAAGTAAACCAAAATTATCGCTATAAAAGTCTCAACTCTGATATAACTACATTTTATATAGAGATGATAGGTATAGGGTGATTTTTTTCATTGGTAGAAGGCGGGTATAGTTCTAATAAAATTGTTTATTATGTACAGACATATAAATATTCGTGATTTTCGTTGCCCCACAACTCTCTTCAATGCATTAGGCTATTTAGAGGTGAACGCAGGAGGGGGTTTTGGAAATCCAATAATTTCTCTCGAAATATAAAGGAGATAATTTATAATTTGTACAATTAAAAAAAAAAAGTAGCATACTAATAGTTTACGGCGATACAAAGATAATATTTTGTTTAATAACCTTCCGATTTTTCTTTTGCCTGGCCATTCATATTAAATTTATATTAATATCATATACTTAAATATAAATTCAAATATCATGTCATAATATTTGGAGTATAAAAATAGAGGTATTCGAAGAATGACGAATTACAAAAACAACACAAGTATCTGTCGATTTATTTGTAGTGAATTAATACAATCGTCTATTCTGTTATCTTAATACGTGACCACTGTGTGGTGGGCAGAGGGATGTCTCATAAGGAAGGTTATGGTGCTGAATCCGATTGGAAGGAGACCACTAGGGAGACTGCGTCAGAGGTGATTTGATATGGTGAAGAGAGATCTGTATAAAATAAATAACATTTTCAGCTTCGACGTTTCAACGAATAGGGATCAGTATAGAGAAGGATTTTAAACGCCAAAGGACCTTAATGGTCCGTATTAATCGGTCATAAGAAAAAAAATGTATCATTTAATGTTTTATATTATTATCTTGTATTTTTTTAATAGTTCACGAAACTCGTTAAAAATATGATTCTCACAACATTAAATATGTCATTTGTATGACCTACAGAATAAGTTTTAGTCTATTTTGTATGTTTAACTAAAAAAATAAAAATAAAAATAGTAACGAGAAAACCTATTCTTTATATGGTCATTTTTCAGGAAGCTAGGGGATATTTTTGATGGGCTATAGCTCATTTAGTTACTCCTCCCTCATTCTACTTCTCTGCATTGTAGAAATACTTTTTCTTCAACGCGATCATTTTGTTGTGTTTTTATCAACGTGTTTTTAAACGATGCGTTATAAACAAAATATTATGTTAATAAATAATAAAAAAAAAGTTGTCCTAGGATAGTGAGGATGGGTGCAGCCACTGTTGTTGGTAAGAAGTTGGGAAGGTAGGATATAGAAGGAAAATTAATAATTTGTATTTGTAAGCAGCGATAAATCATTGCTTACTAAAAACGATTCCGAGCGGAGTTCAGTTGATAGCTTCGCTCTATTCAGAATCTAAAATAAATATTTTAATTGAAAATATCGTGTATACAAAATTTCATTTTCGGAGTTACGACAATTGGACTATATTATTGTTATTACGCGGTACATACTGAATAAGGGTGAAACGTTGAAAATATTATAAACCAAAATCGCTCCGGTTCACGATAGAAAAAATCACCCAGTATACTCGGACGCATCAACGGCTCAGTATATCTGCAAGTAAATTATAACGTTTTTATTTTTCTGTCGTACTTACGCGCGGTGCGGCATTATTCCCATTGTGTTTTATAATTATTTTTCGTTTATATATCATCGTATATACGGATTGCGTATAATACTTCCCGCACGCGAAAAAAAATAAATACATTTTCTCCTCTTCTCTCACCGTGAGTGAAAAAAAAAGTAATATAACGTTTTTAGAAATACAATTTGAAACCGTCGTCATCCGAATCAGAATTAAAACGCATCCGTTCGATTACACCTATCTATGTGTGTTTACCACGAACGTTGTTTGCTGATTTCCTTTTTCCGCCATATTGATAAGTAACGTGTTTTTACGGTTTCGCGATTTCGCCTAGATAGACGGATACCTATTATAAGTTTAGAGACCACAATTATAATACGCACATTAAACCCGTCAAAGTATGCGCTTATACGCATTGAACAATTTATATTAGAATAAAAAAAAAAAAAAAATTAAAACTTAAAGTAAATACCGGACGAATTATACAAATTAAAGGACTAACATCCTTGTCGATACTACGATACATACTACGATGGGTTTTACGCATAACGGTATTCATATAAATATAATTCTATCTATACATTGTTAAACTGTTTGAGATTTAAATTTTGGATAGTCCGCTTTCAGTGTTACAGTGACAAAGATAAAGAAAAAAAAAAGCTGTTCTAGGATAATGGGGACGGGTGCAGCCAGTATTGTAGGTGAGAAATTAGGAAAGTAGAATTTAGAGGAAAATTTAATTGTACCTATATCTGTACGCAACGATTAATCTTTGCCAACGAAAAACGAATCTGAGCGGAGTTCGATTATGTTTAAAAGGCCGTAATATTTACCATTTTCGTCAAAATCTGATATTGAAATTCTTACAAAAAAGAAAAAAAAAAATTTTAAATTATATTAAACTCAAATTTTTCTTGTTGATCATTATGTATAACTTATTATGAACCCCTGTTAAATTGTCAGTCATTCTTATTTGGTCTATAAAATTTATCCAATATTTATCTATCTACCGAATAAATATTACGTAAAAAATTCGCAAAATTAAAATGTCTATAAATAGCTTAAAAAGAGCTCAGATATTTTGAAAACTTTATCACATCTATGAAAAACAAATATAAGGTTTCTGTCAAAATGTCAAGTCTCTACGAATATTTTTCACTGAATTTCAATAAAAAAAACAATATTGAAAATAATAAAATCATTATTTTCATGAATTGTCCCATATTTTCTACGAGTTTTCCTCGTATTTGCATAGATATTATGAAAATCTCTAGGAAAATCAAAAATTTACCTTCTCAAAATATCACTTAAGGAAAATTTCCTTTCAGAAAAGATGTCACACTTAGAAATTGGAGCAAAATTGCCGGAAGAATAATTGTCTACAGAGAAAAAAAAATAAACATCATTGTAAAATCAATACATCCCTTGCTCTATTCAGAATTTAAATTATACAATATACAAGTGTCATATCTGCAGTTAACAAACATTTATAACTGCTTACAACACAAACATGGTCTTTCTTGAACTCAACTAGATTAATTTTCCTATTAGAATTATAGTAGAAGTTGTAAATTAAATCATTTTTTCTAATATAAATTTATTGTAAACTGTGTACAATAAACACAATAAATAAATATTACAATAATACAATAAACCACACACACACAAATATTATTGTAAAATCGCTCCGCTCAGAATCTAAAATCATACGTACATGTAATTATAAAAAAACTTAATTAAAAATATATATTTTTTTGACGGGCGTCAATGCTATAGTAATCTGTAAGTATTATACCAGTCGTGTCTACCAAAAGTACTTTCATTGAGGCAATGTGAGTGCTCGTTTAACACTCTTCTAGATTTAGGTACTAATAGTATTTGAGATTTGGGAGGGGGGACTGAAGTCTGGGATCTCAGAATTTTTTAAAGTAATAACCACTAAAAAACTGTCCTCACTTTGCTCTTTTTAAAATGTAAACACATTTACATGTAACATGTAATATTTGGTTGCTTATTTAAAAATCGTTAGAAAGTTTAAATCATATTTTATATTTGTAACTATACGTTACACTACTTGACGGCGTTGTGTCGCTTAAAATTTAGAATCCGGAAATATGCGGTTCGCAACAAACGGTTTGTGTGGTTATTTTTACCGGATTTCTACAGTACGGGACTATTCAGTGGACGTATATATTTCTTCCAGTAGAATAGGGCCCGTGACTATACGGTTAGATATTTTCTGGATTTTTACAGTCCACGAACATACCTATATATGATTCCAGAATTATACAATCCGTGAGATTACTTTCCGGGATTACACATGCGTCCAGTCATCATAAGCTGAAGTATAATAACCGCGTGATTAGTTCTTTGCAAACATCATGTTAAACACATGCTATTATGCATCCTAAATTAAGAAATACTATTTTCGCTTATCAAACTTTTTCCATGATAATTTTAAACTAATTATTAATCAAAATATCTAATAAGGAGTCTGGAAATTCCTAAATACAGATATAATATATCGTATAAAAACTAGATATCTATTCAAAATAATATAATAGAAGCCTGTGAAATACGTACAAATTATGTTTTTTCGAGAGCAGGACCGGCCTTTAGAAAAATACGTATATGTTAATATTATTCAAATATTATCAAATAGAAACCCATAAATTGTATGATTCGTGATAAAAGAATCACTCTGTGTATGTATAACGGTCGAATTACTTTACGTCATTCAAGTCGTAAATCTATAGCATCGATTTCTGCATACATACAATATTGGAGAATACGTAACAAAATGCAAACTCGGTTTGGTATACATTCTATCGTTTTAAATATTATCATTTCAATAATGTTACATTTATTATGATGTATACATATATATTATATATTATATGCGTTCATTTCCCGCAGTACGATATATGTATTATACGAACGCGTTTCGAAATAAATTCGATTTTCAATAAATCTGTCCGATTGCCGAGGAAAATAAGAATAAACGTCGTTGCATCACAGTTCAGCGATTTGTGTATTAAAATATGCGACAGGACCAAATGGACGATTTTCCTAGACTATTATATTTGTCATTATTTATTACAATATACCTAGGTATGCGTGATAACATATTGAATTCGTTGTTAAGACATCGGATACTGTACAGTAATTTAGATTCTGAGTGAAGTGAGGAAAATATTGGTTTTAAAATGATGTTTATTTTTTTGTCTGTGGCTAACTTTTCTACCAGCAATTTTGCTCAGATTTAAAATGATAGTACTTTTTCTTAGAGAAAATTTGATTGGAGTGATACTTTGGGGAGGTCATTTTTTGATTTTCCCAATAAATGGGAAAAACCAGAAAAAAAATGTAAAAACCAGAAAAATACGTAGGAAAAACGAATATGACAAAGCGTCCAAAATATCTGGAACGTGATATATTTCCGTAAAAATAATTTTCAAGTTATTCTATACATCAGGACCTAAAATACAACCGATTTCAGGGTACAAACCAATAAATTAATTCATTTGATAGTGTTGATAGATTTCCATAGCCAAACAAAAAAAAACTCGTTGGGATCATAATTATACACTGCTATCCTTATATGGCATTTATATTATTTATAAAAAAAAATGTTTACCAAAAATTATCAACACAATAACATTTATTGGTTAGAGTAGGAATATTGAAATCATTATTCGATTATTGTTGAATCTTGTTATCAGCTTTTGCTTGAGAAAAACACCTTGATACCATTCGCGGATGGTGGCTTTCTAGTGTACCTTAACATGATGTGGTTTTTCATTAAACTATTATAACTAACTATATTAACTATTAGGGCTCGGAAGTTATAAGAGTTGCATATTTTTCTGCATATTATTTATAGCAGACCAAGCTAGAAATAGTTTTTATACGACGAAGAGTTTAAAAATGTAATATTAAAAATTAATATTTTGTTAATTTTAGAGAAAAAGGTAGGATATAGACGGAAATTTAATGTTTATCTGTAAGCAATGATAAACCATTTCTAACGAAAAAATAATTCTGAGCGAAGTTCAATTGATAGTGAGTGATGTTTTGTCAACAATCTGTAAGTCATATTGTAGTAAAATATCAAACTGGCATTATATATTTTCATTAATAATATTTGTTTGATATTGTGTCAATTTTCCAGTTTTTCCTGTGTTTTTCCCGTTTTTTCCTATTTGTTGAGAAAACTCCCGGGGAAATCAAAAAATTACCTCCTTAAATTACCTTCTCAGTCAAATTTTCTTTCAGAAAAAGTGCTATCATTGTAAATCGAAGCTAAATTTCCGGTAGAAAAATTATTCACTGGAAAAAAAAAGGCCGTAATATTTTTAAACTAATTCCTACATTTTGTACATTTTCCCGATATTCCTCAGTTTTTTTTTCGGATTTTTGTATTTGTTAAGAAAACTCCTGAGAAAATCGAAAAATTACCTCTATAAAGTATCTCCCCAATCCGATTTACTTTCAAAAAATGTACTATATTTAAAAAATGGAGCAAGATATCTGGTAGAAAAGTTGTTCATAGATAAAAAAAAAAAAAAACATCTTTGTACAACCATAAAGTTTTTTTGTTCTATTTAGAATTTAAAATTATAAAATACTCGTGTTGGAATTCCAAATTACTGTTATTTCTATAGTTACAATTAATAAACACTATACAATTCGTTACATATATTCGTAATTCAGGGGACACATTATTTTAGTTCCTGCTATATACAATTCATACTTTTTATTTTTGTTCAGGATTTAAATATTTTATTGTTTTTTACTGGACGATACGAGCATTTAGTAAAATTTTAATTAAATGCAATCCGATTAATAAAAATACAACCATTAAGATATCTTTAAGTTAAGACTTTATTTAGAAAAAGTAGAATATATACATATATTATAATTATTTGTAAAACGTACAGCTGTAGGTACTGATGAGTTCTTCTCTTATTTTTTTTATGTGATCGAGTTTACAAGCTTTTGAACGGAATAAAACGAAAACAAAATTGGTATTCGGACTTAAACGTTGACGATGAGTTCAGACGAGATTATACGTAATGGGACATTTGCGATTACCGACGGTTTACGATAGCTGTTCGCCGGGAGGTATTTTATTTAAACGATTTTTTTTTAGATTACAAAAAACTGACGCAACGAACGACAATACATCGTTTTTATATTTGCCGATTTCTGGGTTACTATCGTCGTAAGACAAATAAACACGACTTAATGGAAGTCCACACTATACCGCGGTATATAAAATAATCTTCTCTGATTGGCTGAACCACGCGGTTTCATTAATGTGTGTGGTATATAGTTATTTTATAACACGTTACCACAGTAACCAAACGTAACCACAGAGTTGAATACATAAAACTTTTGACCGTGTAGTTACATTTATTTTGCTTATTATATTTAACAGCTCCACTATTGAAATATATTAAACTAAAATTACGAATATATATATAGACTGGTAAATAATCACGACTGAAACATATTAGTGAATACTGAATACAGTCATAAGAATATGATAATTTAAGATTTTTAATTTGTTATAATATTTCAAATGTTATCAATTACAATATTCATATAATTGATAAGAATTTGGTATCATATAATTATCGAATTTTGTATGTTAACATGAAAAACTCACGGCACAAGCGAACTTGATCATACAAATACGATACGACACAACACGATGAAGTGTAAAATATTTTGTGTACCCCTATACTGTAAGTTATAACCATATACCAGTTTGCCGAGCTCTGTCCAGACTAGGTTTTTGATCACACGAACTTATCTTTGATTTCTGTATATAAACTATAAATTACCACAGGGTAAGGTAACACCTTCTCAATTTCTCACCTACAGCAGTAGCTTAACCGTAATGTGAAGGAATATTCACCTTTTTAATTTGTATATTGTATTAATGTTTCAGTTAATGAATAAATTATGTTTCATGATTTTAAACGTTTCGCCACAGATTATCTATAGAAATTCGAATTATATTTTAATGACCCTACTAAATAATCGATTTTTATTTGGTATGACGGGTAAATAACATTCAATCCATTAATGTCTAGAAGTACCTTATTAATATATGAATTTGAAACCAAAAATGTTTTAACTCGTATTCTAAAATTGTCTGTAAAATTCCGTTTCAGATATAGATTATTATTTTCGTAATATACTTGTGTGTATGCGTCAATAATTCTCGAGTGTTTTTTTTTTCATTATTTTCCGATCAATAAATTGGCAAACTGTAGTAGGCGATCTATATAAGCGTATATATATATGGTGCTATCCGTTGAAGTAGAATAAAATACATTTATGTGAAAAATACATATTTAAGATATATATCGTTTAGAGCTATAAATTTATAACACATAGATCGAATTTTTTGTATTATTATTATTATTATTATTGTGTTTTTTTTTATAAATCAAAACTTTCTAATGAATCACCGTGTATTATGCCATTTATATACGTACGTCTCGTACAAGTATATAGGTACTGATAATAAAACGAAAATTGAATACAATATAGACACTTATTAATATTATTGAAACTTTAAAACTTTAAATTTAAAAAATGAACTTTAAGTTGTGTTTACATTAATAAAATATTCAGTTTAGAATCACGAAATACATGGTGATGGGATGTCCATAATTTAATAACTTCGACAATGAAAAAAAAAAACCCACGATTCTGATAATATATATATAAGAAAATATAGTTTATGATCGATGTGTCGTTATATGCATGTGATATATAAATAATGACAATATTATGTTTACTTACTTTCGTTAACCACTTGAAATACTTGGTCTTCTTCGATTACCGAAATGGGCGGAAACGATTTCGAGCCCTGTTGTGGAAGCGTCACCAGAATTCCGTGATCAGTACCGTAATTGGTCAGTTTTTTGAAACCGTTCACCAATTGATCCCAAAAGCTGTTGGACGATCGACTTTCGTCTATTTTGTACCGTTGATCGATTTGCACAGTGCTGTTGTCGAATTTTAACTCGATCAATCGCATCGTTCCGCCGCCTTCGTTATCCAATCCCTATATTATAAATTGCCAATGTTTCAATGGGTAAGGTCAAATTGTATCAAATTAAAAAGTCTCATTTTGACTAAAAAAAATTGCGCTCTGGTTAAGTAAGGCGTTTCAACAAAAATGTTCAAAAAAATAAACTTAATTTAAAAATTATCAATGCTCTTGTAGAATTAACACAATTATCAATTGACGACACGAATACGAAAACATATAAACCACGAATATCGAAAAACTATGAGATTTTATCAAAATCTCTTAACACCTGTGATACTATTAAAAAAATATAAATTAAAACAAAATTTCTATGATGATTTTTTACTGTATAACGATTCCGCAGACAACATCACAATTATTTTTAAGCTTGTAAGTGAGAAGGTAAATTAGTGTTTTCAAATTTTGATTGATTGAACTTTAAAGTTCGACAATTACCTGTTTTATACCCAAGTGTAGATCGTCTGTTTATTTAGATTAGCTGTGCAATAAGATCGTCCTGATTTTAATATCCATTTAAACGGTTTTTTTTTTTTTTTTTTTGATAGTATATTTGAACCACAAAACGAGAAAAATAAATCGAATTTCATTTTGTGAAAATATAAAAATATAGTTACTTGTGTGAATGAACAGAACTTATAAAATATAATAATGAAGCCATCTTGAGCTAAAGAATAAAGGGACTTTTATTGAACTTAATATTTGTTTTAACAATAATCTTATACATAAAAAAAGACGTTCTAGAATAATGGAAATTGTGTATGGATTATTTTTTTAAACAAACTACAAACATTTTTTTTTGTGGTTTTGAGTGTACACAGTGTACCTACCTTTACCTACCTATATATATGTACAACTAAACGACCGTATATTTACGTGTTTACTCAAACAATAAATGACATCGTGGCACGATCAAATTCAAAAAAGTCCATTGACAATCGATAAGGTGGTATTATTATAAATATAGACACAAGCAGAAAATATAAGCAGATGGTTTTTTTGTCTCAAAATTCGTAATGACAATAATAATAATTATGTACTGACGTTTGCTTTGATGAAGTTTTCCGGGTCTTCGGTGGCCTTGGTCAGAGTGTCCAATAATAATTTGCCCACGCATTCCTGTGCGGTCAAGTTGGTGTGACGACGCGTGCATTGGTCAAAAACGAATGACTGAGAACCTTGGAAAGTCATCTGCAACGCGAACAACGCCAAGGTAAACTGATGCAGTAGTACGGGGTCTTTGAGCCGCAAGAACATGTTTAATTTTTTAATAATCGTGCTCCGCGTTTGCCGAGCGACTAATAATTACTGGTAGCTATTAAACGGCGTTTATCGTCGTCCGATTCGACGATTATCGTTTCACATCCGTCGTCTGTTGCACCTGCCTCCACTGCGAGAATAATGTGCCATGCGGAAATTCGGGCCATCTCAAGTCATCCATGAGAGAACAGGTGGAAAATGTTTGGTAAAAGTGTAGTCATCACTAGCTGTTTATACGCCATTCGTCCCGCATACGTGAATCATAACCTAACCTAATCAGTAATCATAATAATAAATAATATATAGACAAAGGTATTCGAGTAAACAGCTAGAATAATTTTCGTTTGTTTTCTATGAACTGTGCAGTTTTCACCATGAACGAACATTATCTCGACCGTATAATAGCCATAGTTACAATCTGTACCCGTGTAAATTATCATAACTATATATATATATATACATACAATATACATATTAATATCATTGTGGTAAGAGTAGTATTTACGACGTTTGTTTAAAAGCATAATTTATTATAATACAGGTACAATATACATACCTATTTATTATAAACTTATGAGTTATATGTTTACCATTACAATAGATCAGTGTCGATAACGTTAACCCTAACTCGACTTTGTCAAGGATTCATAACCCGGTTACTGATTAAGTTGTAAATAAAAACCAGAATCGATAAAAACACATTTTAATTTTATATATCTCCCGGAAACATACCCCCTAACGGAACCCTCGTAACGACCAAATTCATATAAAGGTTTCCCCCGATAACCGTTTAAAAATCCTATACTTCGATTAATTGTTGTATGAGTAATTTTATACTGAATCACGGTTGTTCCAAAGGTTTGACATTTTTAATATTTCTATGGAAAATTGGTAAATTTTCGTGATGTACTCTGCATAAATTGTTGGAAAAGAAGATATTATAAAAAAAAGAAAATTACAATGGTTAGGTCATACTTTAAGACATAACAGCTATATTCAAGCTATTGAAGGGATTATAACTGGAAAAAATGAAAGAGAACGCCTAAGAACGGAGTAAAAACCTGGAACCATCTGAGCCTAAAATACTTAGACATAAAAAGAAAAATGGAAGATAAAAAATAGCGGAAACGAATATTGATAAAACAATATTAGTTGGAAAACTCATAAAAAACAAAAAAAATACCTAAAAAAGAAGAAAAAACAAATCGATGGTTACCTATACTTGTTTTTCGGGTAAACATCAATTTTATACCAACACGCAAAAACTACGTAGTCTCTTGAGTCGTGAATAGTGGAATTATTTTGCCAACGCCAAGTATTATATTTAGAATTAGTTACTCCTGCTTACACAAAATAACTCTAACAACGCGACAATTTTGCAGATTTTTAAGTCTTTTTTTAAAATTTATTGATATCAGACCTGTTCGACATGTATAAGTTAATATCACAATATGCCTTTCAATTTTAAAATTTCATTAGAAAAAGTTATGGGATGAAATATGATGGTCGTTTATTTTTTAATTGCCTGTTTTAATATTTTAAAATGTTTACATTTATATTGTATACTGCAACCATAAACTTATTTACGGGTATTGCATGTTTTAAAGAAAACATTAAACTTTTATCCATAGTATAGGCAGGTATTTATTTTCGAGACTACATAACATAACAGCTATGGGATGAGATAGGTAATAAAAATAAAAATATGAGATGATGGTTTAAAAAATAAATACTTACCATCGCATGTTCGCTAAATACTGTGAAGTGTATATTTAATATAGACTTCATTATATATTTGTTAATGAACAACGAATCATAGAATCATAGACATGATTCGAAATTGAAGATGAACAAACTAAAATAGAAATTATTTGTGTAGGTTAATTTCACTAATCATTTTGTTGTAGATTTCTTAATAACAGTTTTCTTGTTACAGTTATGTAAAATTTGTTAAACTCAACTTTATAATATAGGCGATATAATATTTGATGGATATTTCTAAGAGTGTATTAATTGTATGTTGTTGTAGTCCTGCAGATAGCATAATACAATACTACTGAATAAATAAAAATGTTAAGAATGTTTCGGTTTTCATCAAAAAAAATTTATATACAAATACCGATTAAATGACATATAGACGATCCTAAGAGAAATGTCTGTGAAAAATCTTAATTAGATAAAATATTTTAAGAAAAATATTAAATATGTCTCAGTAAAAGGTACCTGCTTACACCAGCGTGGCAGTATTTTGACAGAGTGAAGAAAACAATAATTATCAGACTGAAAAAAATATATTACTGAACGCTGAAGTTCAAAACGATGTTTTCTATCCAGTTCATTTAACGGTTATAGAACTCGTAATGATTTAATCACACGGTCAATATAATAATAATAATATTTGTATCAATAAAACACAGACATTTTATTTACAAAGCTCGTTAATATAATTGTTGTTTTAATACCCACGAAATAATATAACAATCGGTTTATATAGTGAGTGCACTGTGCAGTTAAGAGCGTTTCATTTTACCGAGATGTCGTAAATATAAGAGATAATGTTTTATACTGGTTGTGACACGTGACTTTTTATGTGTGTTATTTTTAGGAATATTACTAAAATGATTTGCATGCGCGTATACATAATAATACGAATATAGTCAGTAATCAGTATATACAGTATAGTACACGATCAGTGACGCAGACATGATTTATTAAAATGGGAAGGGATCAATTATCTGAGACGGCACCATCCCTTCGTACCATTTTTCCAAATATTTTGGTAGTTCTTATTATTATTATTTTTTTTGAAATGAGTTTGAATTGTTGTTTAATATTTTTCATTGAAAAACGAAAAGCACAATATATTATTTAATAACAACATTTTAGAATAAAATGTTTAAAAGCAGAGTTGGATAAGTTTAAATGGCCAAAAGAAGACGATATACAACTAGTTCCTCAAAAATACATATTTTATGATTCAATTTTTATGATAGGTTTTGGTATTGAAAAATCGAAAAAATATAATATTTTAAAACCACCATATACAAGACATATAAATAATAATTATTGTTCAATACAATGTTTTGAAGGTTTTTATTTATTTTTTTTTTTTAATTTTGTAATTTGTATTATTATTTTCGTTTCATTTAAGTAGTTATGGTGTATAACGGGTGATTTTTTTTATTATGAACCATCAACTTGGCTGATTGAAAAATCTTGGATTTTTTTCGAGTTAATTTAATAACTGTTTTTTCTAATCATTATGGAATCGCTTAAGCATGCTTTTAAACAATTTTTAATTTTTTACCATTTCTCCATATAGGTACCTTAAATAAGTACGTAATTTTGATTTTAAAATAAGAACTTCCCCCCTTTCTGGACACAGATTTAAATAAAGAATATTTTTATAGATATTTTAGGTGATAAGTTTCAAAGCGAGTTCGATTAAGATATGTAAGATAGGTAAGATTAGTACGAAAATAAAGTGAAGCTACTAAAAGAGTTGGTAGAGAGTGTATATACCTCGTAAAATATTAACTATAAATGCTTTATGACACTTGGCTGAGTGCCAAGTAGTCATATTATATGTTTCAAAAGTTCTTTAAGTAAAGCAATTTTTACACGGCCCAGTAGTCCAGATAAATTTTACCGAATCGCGTTTACATATTTAAATAAAAGTAAAGCTATAGGATAACTATATGGCTTAATTCCTTACAAATCAATCTTAAGTCATTAAAATCTGTTCACAATCTGTTTATATTATAGTAGTAGTGGCCGGATTTAAAACCGATATCGCCTTCACTGTGTCTTTGCTATTATGCCTTAATCGAAAATTAGTGTAAATTATTGATAAATAGCCATTAGTTATAGCTTATTAGTGAATATTCAATTTTATATTATGTTCAAAATAAATGTAAATTTTGTGTTATTATCTTTTAATTGTAAATTAACATTCTTTTCCGATTTGTTTCAAAAGTGGTCTCCATTTTAATTTTGCCGTCCTGGGCATTACGGTTCTTTTGTTGCGTTCCGCAACAAAATATTCTTCATTCCTGCGTCTTGTTGTTATATAAAAAAGGAATACTAAAAAGGCAATAATATTTTATTTTACGTGCAATTATAATAATTTAAAATTAAAAACACATTACAATGTTTTTGTCACTAGTGCACTGCTATCTTGTAAATATATATGTGTACATACATTTTTAAAATGCGTAATGACTTTAGAGTTTCTTATTTAGCAACAGAAAGTCACGTAAATAATATAATATTATAACAGCGAGAGGGTCAACGTGTTTTGTCGCTTTATCTTGTTATACTTATACAATGTAGGGCGATTTTTTTTTTTTTATATAATAATCCAGTTTATTATTTTTGTAGTATTTCTAGAATAGAATAAAATTTGATTTATATTTTTGTTTTTTTTTTTTGTTTTTCAATCATCAAATAGTTCTTTAAGTTTTATTTAAACACCATAAAATAGTTACTATTGTTTACACCCTAAATAATGTTTATTAACTTTTAAATTTTATACGGCTACCCCCCCTCTTCTATTAAAACACAGATTTGAACAGAATATTTTGAACGTAACGCTAAGTATATTATCGTTTATGAGGTATATCAGTTTAAAATTTAGACCAGATGAATAGGGAAGGGTAATAAATTGCATATTCATTTTTTTGATATTAACCTTTCCCTGTTCCCGAATCTCCTCCAGTCTAAATTTCAAACCAAAATCGTGTTATTCGAAGAAAAAAATTGACGTGTATTGTAGTTGTGATGTACGAAATAAGTGTAAAATTTCGAAAAAAATAGTGTAAATAAAAGACCACTTAACGATTATAAATGATTGAAAAAAACCAAAACCAATTTAATTCGCGATATATTCTTACATTGGTATAATCGCTGGATTATGAAACAAAAATCACCCTAATTTATTTAAAAACTTAACAACTATTAAATAAAAAACTAAACCCGAAAAACCGATTTCCATATAGCATATCATATTATAAAATTTGTTTTTTTTCTTTTTTACTGCGACGTGACTTGGATACTATATTGTCTTTGTAGGCAGTGTTGAATCCAGACAATTTTTCTAGGAGCGCATTACTAAAATTGTAGTAATGACTTTTTTTTTTTCCTTATCTACCCTCTTACTAAGACCAGTCAATTTTTTTAATTAATTATTAATTTACCCTACATTTAACAGGGGGGGGGGTAAACAAAATTCAGGGAGGGTGACATATACCAGGATTCAACACCGTTTACAGGTATGTACATATATTACTTATACAAAGTGTCTTACTGTGCTCTACGGATTTGTACATCGTTCAATATTTAATTTTTATTAAATTATTTTTTTTCAGGGGGCCATGTATTTAGAGAAAAACTAAATTTGTATTATAATCTCTTGATCATTAGAAAAAAAAGTATTTTTTTATTTTTTCACTATTCGAAATTTTTAAAATAACCTGTTTATAATGGATATATTATACTAAAAATGTTAGTCTTACATACATATCCGATGAATAGTTTCTTATTAGCAGCTATTTTCATTTCTTTTGAAGGAATATGAACAAATTATATTCAATAGACTACCATGGTACGCGATAGGGAATACAATTGTCAATCAATAACTATTTTTACGATCAGCGGGATTTCATTTTATTCAGTATAATTTATATTTTAATTGATAGTGTTAGAAATTGAAAACTTTAGACTGTATATTACTAAGGATCGAATGTAAGGTACATTAAGACGTTTAGAATAGCATCGTTTCAAGTATTTTTAAAATGTTGATAAGTGAACATTTATTTTTTTTGTCAGTGATTAGGACATGAAAGAATAATTTGTCTTTATATAGAAACAAATATATATATATGTATCTCCCAGACACAAGATACGATTAAAAAAAAATTCGCATGTTAAAAGAGATTTATAAAATCCGTAAAACACTGGGGAAGACTCTGTATACTATAGTCGACGGAGGAAACTGTAGAATTTTTTTTTCAAATTCTGCTATAATTTTCTGTACATCACGTTTATCGATTATTTTGCTTTCAATATTATATAGATAATATAATATGTGGAAAAAAAACAAAACCTCAAAAAAAAAAAAAAAATAATAATAATATTAATAATAATCATTCGTCATTGTCGTCGGTAACCGCGTCCGTATCCGCGTCCGCGTCGATGGTTAAAATGTTAGCGCCGTCTTCTTCCACTTTGACGGACTCCTGGGCGGCAGCGGGGTTGCAGTTGTTATCATCCCGTGGCAATCCGAGGCCAATTGTTGCGCTTATTTTGGTGGTCGCTTGCCTGAACGAATTCTGCAACTTTTCCTGAATAATATGTACAACACGACAATATTATTATTATTTACTATACACGAGTAGGTGGGTATAGGCTGATATAAGTATACGAACACATAATAATTATTGTAATATTATGCACACAACGCGTTTAAAATAAATAATCGTTACACTTAATACGACTACAACAGCTTTGGGACGGTTTATCTTTTGAAATTCGCATTCCGCGGGTAGGAAATATCGCGCGATTCTATTCGTCCCTATATAAGTGCGCCCACCGCCGTATACCTACGCTGTTTAATTATTAATGCGTTGTAGGTACACATTTACAATAAGAGAACCGAAATCCTTTTGCACCGTAACATAGGCGGGTACCTACCGTGCATGATTAATAATCCAGAATCCGGGACTTTTGGAAACTTGCGCGTATTTATAAGCTAAATGTATAATAATAATGGATATATGTACGAGTACGTATGTATAATAAGAATGATACTATTGTGTACGACGGGCGTTAAGATAACAATATTAATATTTTATCGATTATCATGACCACGCGATCATATTATAGACGTAAGTGCCTATATAGTATATTAACAAATGGATTGCGAGAAAACGGGGAACCGATATTGAATGAGAAAGATGGCGGCGAATTCGATATTTTTATTTACACCGTGATATTGTTATTAGTAATAACAATTTAATAATAACTATTATTACTTTAACTATCTATCGGTTTGATATTATCACTATGGATCACGATTGTTGTCATTGTTTGTATAATCGCGGACTAAGAAGATATGGATGACATGGTGGACGGGAAGTCGAGGCAGGACCAGGAATTGTTGCAACGGCCTGCTTTATGCGCATATATATAGAAGTGCTCTCTGGTGTGTTTAATATAGTTTTATATATTCTCCCATAGAGCGTGTTACGGACTCTGTCCTTCACGTGTAAAGTTTTTTAATTATAAATTAAGAATACCGCGCGACAAGATATGAAATCGGTCGTCGCATTAAGTATACGCACGTCGAGGCCATTAATACGGGTGTGGTAATCCGACGATGTTCCTATGGAACAATGGATGATACGTGTTCACGGGCCAAAGGGAAAACGTTTCCGGATACGGACGACGTGCCACCGGTAGACAACGGCGGTAGCGTCCATCACCACCACCGACGCACGAGAAGGAGGAGCACCGTCATCTCGACACCAACCCGTCCAGTCATTTCTTTAGTGTAGTTATATCAGATAATTACAACTAAGTCTTGACCTGGGTCTGGTGTCGCAGGTTCTTCACTTATAAATACAACTTGTCAACTGTATTTTGTTCAAATTTTAATAAAAACCCATTTGTAGACTTAACACTCGTGTACATCTTCCCATCAAAATGCTGTGTCCGAACGGCCCGTAACATGCGTGTTATGCGACATAGAGTATACTAGGCAAGTGGCAACATTTCATGACCCTGTTTTGATCATTCGTGTCCAGAGATTACAATACGTATACAAATGTTGTATACAATATTATTTAGTTACATAATAGGTAGGTACTCATATTAAATTAATTTTCTGCAATTATTACCTGTACGACGTTTATGCACATGGAAGTCAATGCGAGTCCGAATACCAAGTATACAATAGACACGATCATAACGAATTGATTCTATACGAAATAAAATAACATAAATATTATAATAATAAGAGAAAAATTGTGTTTTAATTGCTGTTAATTGCACGATGCATAATAGTGAAAAATGGTACCTATGATAACATTTAAAAGTGGGTATGTCAAGGTATTGCAGCCTATGCATTATTTTCAATAGATCGGTTGTGACACTATACTGAAGGTTCCTTTAATATTAGGTATACCTTAAGTTTATTTTAGATATTAAATTCGATTAAACGCTAGAAGTTATCGAGATCTCTCAGTGAATGTATGATATCCGTACCACATCGTTGCTATGTTAGGGATAGAACTAATTCATATAGTTTTCTGGCAGAATAACTGTAAGCCATATTCTAGATTCACATTATCAGAACATTTTTTTCCATTATGTAGTAGTCGTGTATCAGGACATTTTTGTTAAACGAATATCCAAAGCATGTCCACACCTCTTTCTTTAAAAAAGTTCCATTAGCAAATCGATCAAACATTACCCTTAACTTTCTTTTTGATATTTCCCAGTTACTTTCCTCCAAACAGTAAGAATATTTCTTATAATTTTAAAATATAATATTTTATTAGACTATTAATTCACTAATTTACTATTTATTTTCTGGTTGTATACACATTATACACAATCTTACTCTACGGAGTGTCCAATGGACATAAATGTGTGTTTATTTGGATACAGAAAACGTCTTTAAAAACTGCTCCGAACCTTAGATATTAAATATATCCTTATTATTATTATATCTAAGTAGTTATAGTAAGTATGACTGATAATTACTATAATATTATACCTTGGGTACGAAATCCCCAAATCCGATTGTTGACATGGATATGAAAACGAAGTAGAACGATTCGAAAAATCCCCAGTCTTTCTCGAAAATGCTGAATACTATGGCACCGAAAAGGATATATATTACCAGTATGAGGAACGCCATCGAAACGGGCAGGTTGAATTCGTCGTCGATCGTGTACGCGCTGAGGGCCGGCGTGCTGGGCGACGTCGGTGGAAATCCCGACGGTCCGTCCTGTACGACTCCGAACATGGCGCTGGGCCTCCGGAACTTTGTGATATCGTACATCATTTGCATGCCTTTCATGACCTCCTGTAAAAGAAGGCAAGTAATCGTATTACCGGTATCTTGGATTTCGGATTCCAATAAAAAATATGTGGAAATCGAGATGATAACATACGGATTTTCTGTGTGGGTATTATTTCATTTTTTGGACTAAAAACCCAAATAAATAAAGGCGGTTTTCATCATTAATATAGAAGTTTGTTATCAATACGTTGAAGTGTGCGACGAGAGAAAGAACCGATAAGTAAGATTAATAATAATTTATCGCCTTCTCAGGCATAAACTTAGAAAGATGTGTATTAGTAGACTATATTTCGACAAAATAATAATAATAATAAAAATTGTGTTTTTTCATAAATGACATCAGTGTTCAAAAAAACTGTGGTGACAAAATATTCAATGGTTTCATGAAAAATGATAAATTCTGTGTTAACATTTTGGAGTTAAAAATCCACCATACGCTTATCGACACCCAGTGGTGGATTTAGCGTTATCAAAGTAGGCAGTTGCCTATGGTGGAACATTTTTAGGGGCAGCAATTTTATAATAATATAATTTAATTATTTACATTAGTTTAACATATTAGTTTGTTTAAGGAACTTAATTATGTCTATACAATAACTATATTTAATTGGCAGAGCAAATTTATTCGAAAACATGTGATAGATTGTATTTTAATAAATATTGTGTTGCCGTATTGGTATACTATTTTTTTGATTAGAACAGTTAATGAACATAACTAATAATTATTGTTTAGTATTATTCTTTATGATTTATGTTTTTAGTAGTTGTGTAAATAAGTACTTAAACATAAGTTCTATCATTGATAAGTTTAATGGGGTGGTAAAATAAAATTTATCTAGGGGCGGCAATTGTATAAATCTGTCTTTGTTGGCACCCATTATTCCAAGTTAATAATGGCGTGAAATTAGTATTTTAGAACAGAAAAAAAAGTGTTGTTTTCCATGTTGTTATCTTGGCATCACATTCTAAACATTTTTCTTCAAAACTGTGCCACTCTATAGTAACCAATCCGTAAAATTCGTAACCTAAATAATATATTAAAAACAGTTTTTCGGTAAAAGATAGTATCAGTGATAAATATTTAGGTAGTGGTGCACCAGGGTAATGCACCTTTGTTATCCTTTAGTTTGAATTTTTTTTTACAAATTTTCTTTCTCAATCAGCCGAAATATGCAATGAACGTGTAAAAAAGGATATAAAAAGTGTGGTTAACCTCTGGTTTGAACATTTTTTCACATATTTTCTCCCTTAAGGCCTCAATCAACCAATGTGTGTAACGAATGGAATAACGTTTACGGTATTTTTTTTTTAATGAATTCATTTTTCATGGTATAGCTTTTTAAACTAATTAATCCTATTCAGTGTTCAATATATAACCTAACCTAATTATAATCGTTTTAAACCTCACCCTAACCCTTGATTTAAATGAAACAATGCTTTAATTAAAAAGCCCGACTTTAATGTGGTTAGGTTAGGTTAGGTTATGCCCCCCCCCCATATGATGTTTGAAGTTTTAATCTGCGGTTTTAAATTATGTATAAGTATTTTATAAACATTGACGTTTCAAATATGTAAACAGCTAAATCTTTAACCTTTGTGACACGAAATGTATTATATCTTTACGATACTTTTTTCCAATCGAATTGATTGTTTCGATAAGTACCTATACCGTATACACTGAATGGATCGCTAACAATATAAACGAAACCTGGATGTTAAACAATCGATTTATAAATATAATATTACTTTTAACCCTTTCCGTAAAATGCAAATTAATATATTATGTTAAGTATCTATAAGTATATCGTCGGTAAATATACTTAAGAATTTCTTGAAATTACGTATTATCGATTTGATTATTTTGCCGTTTGAAACGCTTAGACATGGTGAGGTGAAGTGATGAGCGAAGAGAATCAAGCTACAAGAGATTTAAATATTTAATACTAACATATCAGGCGGGTAGGCACGTATTACACTCTATTTTTGAATAATTTTAGACAGGTATTAAAATTAATTATAATTGGTTGAATGTTATTAGGGTTATTTTAATGTAATTACCGATGGTAAAGTTTTATTTTTTTTTGTAAGTTGTTATTACACATATTTTTTGATGAACGATAAGTTTTCTAAAAAATGTAAATTTTCATTATCAAAAATCGTTTAGATTATAGAAAATACTCATAATAATACATTATTGTTCTTTACGTTTTAGTGTTTTTCTTTTTTCCTCCGTCAACTAGGTATTCGTCATTTATTGTCAGTTTTTATTTTTAAATTTTCCGGAAAAAGTATTGGGAATTATGAAAAAAAATGTTCAAATAAAGTATTATCAGGCGGAATATCAACATATTTAGAGGTGCATTTTTACTGGCCGAAAAAGTGTTTTTTGAGAAAAACATGTCCTATTGTTAGTGAAATTTCTCAGTTGCACTGTACAAGAATGTACTAATAATCTAATATTTTCGAATTATAGTATTCTAATTTATAATTCCTCGTTTCAACACTGATTATCGTTTTATCAACGATTATAATTGATTACAGATTTTGCTCGAGGGAATAAAATTGACTGACGTTATTATAAGTTACCACGAAAACGAAAAGACTAATAACTGTGTAAAATATCAATGTATGTACCCTATCTGAGTATATCATAGGACAGTGGTTCCCATCCTTTTTTTATGGCGACCCATACATTTACTCTTTTTTAGGTATGCGACCTACATTAAAAAAAACTGCTCAAGGATAATAGGAGTACAGCCATAGATGTAGGTGGGAAGTTGGGAAGGTAGAATAATTTAAGGGGAATTTAATGTATAACTGTAGGTATCAATGATGAACCATTACCAACGAAAAAACGATTCTGAGCGGAGTTCAGTTAATATAGTGATGCTTTGTCAACAATATATATGTCATAATATGGTAAAACAGTTAAATAGGTATTCTATATTTTCTTTAATAATATTTGTTTAACACATTGACGGACACTTGTAATATAATGTTTACTGTCATATTATAAGTGCTATACCTACATCCAAAATCTATGTAAATTGTCAGTGTGGACTGCCGTAATGTGGCAGATTTAAATGTGAATGTGGTGATTTTCTAGATTTTTCTCGGTTTATCACATTTACTTGGAAAACTCTTGGAAAAATCGAAATATGACTTCCTTAAAGTACCTTCCCAGTCAGATTTCCTTTCTGAAAAAATGCTATCATTATAAATCGGAGAAAAATTGCTGGTAAAAAAGTTGTTTACAGGAAAAAAGAAGGCCGTAATATATATTTTTTAACTAATACTTATATTTCGGATATTTTCAGTTTTTCCTCGGTTTTTTTCAGTTTATCACATTTGCTTATTTTCATATTATTTTTACTAATATATTTTTCAGTTTTTTATTTTATTATATTATAATCAAAATATTTTTCTTTCATCGCGACCCACTATTGAGTCGCGACCAATAGGTTGAGAAACACTGCCATAGAGTAAGATAATATAAAATTGAAGCTGTACGGATTTTGCTCGGGGACGTTTTAATACTTCACCACGCACCTCTAGATCGCAGCGTAAACAACAATAATCAATCGAGTAAATTATCATTGATTATATATTGTAATATAATATTATTCTCGGTTGAAATTGTATTGTTTGTGATTTTCAACTTAAAAGGGTAAAAGGCAATTAAAAAACTAATGCGATTGTAATTTTTACAGTTGCATGCACATTGTTTGTACAAACGGAAAATAGGCAATATCAAAATATGGTGATTATAATATATTATTTTATTTTATTAATTTATTCTTATTTATTTATTTGCGTTATTATTATTATTCTACTATTTAAATAAATAGCTAGGGATCTATATCAATACATTTTTGAATATATTTATTTTGATTTTTGATACCTTAGCTTAATAAAATTAACTGCGATATGTTACTATGTTAAATCAGTTTTATATATACGTATTGTAAGGCTCCAACTTTAATTAATATAAACTATAGAATATCATTAATCCGATCAAATATTTATTATAAATATTGTATTAAAAAGGGCACAATAGTTTGTTTTTAAATTAACAACACTGGAAGGCACCTTCCGGCTTCGATTTTGAAACTGAATGCCGCCTTTATCTTACTCTGTGGGCCATAATGCTTACCGAATAGAATATTATTATTTATAATATTTATAAATATTAAGTACCTACGTAAGACACGTATATCGGCTGTAATAATAATAATAATATTATACCTACGCGAGTAAAGTGCACATAATATTTTAAACGAAATATGTATATATAATAATATAATATAGAGTTATTATAGTGTATAATATATTTTATTATAATCATGCTTTATTGATTTTAATCCCGAGGATTCCAGAATACATACACGTTATTGCCTATATATATAGGTATATGTGTGTGTATATATATACACACACATATACCTAGTTTAAACCCACAAGTCATTTATAAGTGATATAGTGTGGCGCTACGGTTCAAGGAGTTTACATTAAGGTACGGCGTGGTCGCGATGGAAATAATCGTTATTAATTGTTGTACTTACCTGAACCGGCGCGGTTCTGCGGACTTTTCGACAGCTGCCGGTGTAGTATAGCCGCCGAACGAACGCCCACAGAAATTTAATGCCTCTGGTGAACATTTTTCCGAAATCGGCCAACAAAATAAGGAATATCGGTATGCCGAATATCGCGTACACGATGGTGATAAAACGGCCGAAACTCGTTGATGGTGTTATGTGACCGTAACCTGGAAAATAAACATCGACGACATTCTCATGAGTTTGTCATTAGTATTGTTATGGTGTTGCTTTACGGAAAGAGGTCAAAATTAAAAGGCTAGAATTTTCACTGATATTATAATATTTTAATATGGACTTAACGAACAATATCCGCTTCTTCCTTTTATTTTCGCCCTACCATCTCCCATCTACTCGCATCCGTAATGTATACTACTTCGTATTGTACTCTTTACGTCTAAATAATTTTTCTTTGAAACTATTACTTACACGGATTTTACCTGAGCTTAATAATTTTATTAACTATGTGCCGTTGCACTATATATTATGCATGTGAGACCTGCTTCACAAGAAAAAATTGGGTCCAGACGGAGCCGCTAAAAGTGCCCTAAAGTATTTGAATGAAGATGCTAAATAAATATATATTATGTATAGATACTCATATAGCAGACACAATAGAGCGCAATAGTCTCTATTCCCCGGGAAAATTTGACAGACAAATTATCGGAATCTCTACTCTACAAGAGAATTAACCCTGTAAATTATGTGTTTAGGTAAAAACGGATCATTCGCAGGTTCTGTAGAGCCAGTGTTTCTCAACCTTTGTATTGCCGTGACCCTCTAAATGAATAATACATTTTTTAGTGACCTTTAATAATTACTTGGTGACCCTCAAAGGGGTCACCATCTCTAAGTTAAAAAATACTGCGACAGACTACGATTTTTTTTTTCATAGTAAATGAAAAATAAAAACTGTGTTATAATACTGAAGTATAAATACAATACTTACTGAAATAATATACGTACGCGTGGTAAATTATAGTATGCAAGGCTGGCAAGTTAACAATTTATTTTAACTCATTAAGTTAAAAGTTCAATCATTTTTTCTTTTTTTCGTTAAGTTAAAATTTAATTCCTAAAAAAGGTTAATTAAGTTAGTTATCATCTTAGTTGATAATTAAAATAGTATAATAGAAAATGATATGAAATAGGAATTATAAATTATGCCATAATCATTCCCAAATTTTTTATTGCATTTAAGCACCTTGGTTTTTTCATTACGTTAATATGAAAATGTTTATTGCAAGCTTCCCATGGTAATTTAATTTATGCCCCATTTGTAATTTCACTATCAAATTTGCGTTTGTCTGACTTCGTTCTTTTCGGTTTATAACGAGAACATCACTAGACCCAAATCATGGAGTATGAATTATATAATGTATTATTTTATTACTTTAAATATTGAATAACAACGCGGAATTTTAAATTATTAAAAAGTATCTGAAATTCAAACACAACAGATACGTACCAAGGCAGTATTTAAAATCATTTCCAAATACTTAATTTTAAAAGTTTACTTTAACACTTTAAAATATTTAATTACTTTTACACAAATACTTTACAAGACTGCCGCAACGCATATACCGGGTATAGTTGATCTTGTGCACCACCTATAGCGCAATGTTCGAATAACGGACGGTTGTTTTAAATAGATTTATGTATATACTATATAACATTATTACGGGGTCAGGCGCCCGGATATTATAATCACGTTATAATGTATACGTGCATACGTCTATAACATAACCTGGGGAGGAGCGTTTCGATTCCTTAATTCCGTATACGTATAGGTACACAACAATAGTTTATGATATTACACGTGCGGTAGGTATACCTAGGTGGGTACAGTGTATACGAGAATCCGCGAGCGTAACAAAATATTAACAGACATAATAATGGATAAAGTTAGTAAAACGAGACACAATACAATATTCAATATAATGTGTAACTCCGAGATTATTAACGGGACCGGGCGGTAGGTAATAATAATAATAATAATATGTAAACGTATATATCTATAGATATATATGCAGATTTTCCCTGCGGGCACGAATAACGCGTGTGGTATGTAATCCGCGTGGTGGCGTGTTATTGTAATAATTTGTAATATTTTAACGTCGACCGACGAGCCCTTTGTGTTGTGCCCATAGGTATACAATAATAATATCAAAGGCAGAACGTCAAATCTATATTATAAAAGTCACCGCGAGACAACGGAGACGTACCTAATGTTTATAAATTTGATGTTCGATTGATATTTATACGTTATAAAGGTTTAGTAAAAAAAAAAAAAAAAAAACAAAAACAAAATACGCACTGTTAAAGTTTGACCATACTTGTTACACACGTTGAACAGAATATATATATATTGGTAAAAACGATAATATTGACGTAAACACGTAGCATACTCAAGTCCGAAAAAATGTTTGTATGCATTATTCTGTTTTTCAATAAGTAATAAATTTAATGATTATAATATAACGGCAATTGCGTGATAAAATACAAAAAAAAAACCGAGAAACTACTAGGTTTGCTGACTTTAAAATTGAATTATTGTTGAATTGCTGAATAAGCAGTCCAAATTTACAATTTGAGAAAGGGGGTATAATATTACTATGTACCCTCTCTCTCTGGCCTTGTACTTAATGATAATTTGACGAAAAGCTCTATAGAGCGTTAGGACGAGAATAGCAAATTTAAAGTGTCAGGCCAAGGATGGTGTAAGTTCACAAAACAAAGTATAATAGACATGAATAAGAGGATACAGTTATTACCAGGATTCGAAGGGATCAAGTTACGAAAGAGAGGCACGGAGATTTACAACAAACCAATCGGATGATTGAAGACGGGAAGAAGTATATAGGTAAAAGGATTGTCATCTACCATCTATAAAAGCATACCTATACTGTGTTTCGAAACTTGTTTTTTTTTTAAACCATCATATAAAGTTTGTGATTTATCGTGTATCTTACAAGGGTTTTTTTTTGTATGAAATTTCTAAAGTATAATTTTTTTTTTATGTATGGGCAGAAACTGACAAAAATTAAAATAAAAAACATTGTATAAAATAATTGTTGTTCCTCTCGGTCCACTCAAAATCTGTATAATCGTTATTAATAATATTACCAACGTCAAAAATATTCTTGTTCGGTTGAATATCGTGGTAAATTTGATGACGGTTATTGAATTATACACGATAATTTAATTGATGCCTTTCTAGATAATATTTTTAGCGGACGAGAGTACTCTCTACAAATACAGAAACTACAAACATACTGTATTATTTTTAACGCGATATCTACAACACCTATATAATCCTTTTTTTTTTTTAAACTATTCACATCGCAATAATGCATAAAACTTCGACCTTTACAAAACTCGTTGCAAAAGATGATTAATCGTTTTACGCTGGTAATAATTTGTCCGCAAAATACAACAGTAATGTACGCCGTTGCGGTGCTCGAGCGAATATTCGCGCATTTTTACGGTGAAACGGCGCGTGAACGGAAAGAGTAATATTTTCGAATGTTCTAGATGAGAGTAATAAATACGATAAAAGTTTTGGCGTGATAAGACCGTGTGTGGGGGGGGGGGGTAAACCGTGTTTATTACACCGTTAAAACGCGGTCGACTATTTTCTCGCGTATATTATTTTATCACGTTACACGGTTTATCAGCAGTGTTGTATAAATAAAGATACATTTCAAAATATCTATTGATACAGATAAGAGACTATTGATAGAATCATATTATCTATACGAAGATAAATGGTAGAAAACAATTTAATTATCTAGATCAAGATAAAAAATCGGGAATTTTTTATTATGATAAAAAAAAAAATGTACATAATTTTGTTCATTGTCAATCATAAATCCAAACGCTAAAAGAATTATAAGCGTACCAGATTCGATACACATCATAAAAGTTGTAAGATTGGTATAACATAATATTTTTTTCATTAAACTGTACGATTAAATTATTTTTCTCACATAACGGCTCAGACAACATATTTATCGTACATCTAGACAAGATAAAAGATATAAAAATATGCATATCTAGGTTAAACGCAATACTGTTCATCAGCTTACCTAATAGGTATACGATTATGTATAAGAGTGGAAAGAAAATCAAAATTTACAGCGTTAAATTAAAACCAATTTGTTTTCAAATAACTGAGTAAATATTATCGTGGATAAATTTTGCGAAAAATTCGGGTACGAATAGATAATATGCGATTTAATTTACAAAAAAAATCTACGAAGTTGCTTTGTTTGAAACACTAAGTGCAAACATACATCTCATGTAAGACATTGGTCTTCTTTCCATCCCCTGTAATAAACGTACATATACGAGACCACAGAAAATTAATTCGATGTGCAAAATGTAGGTTGGAAAACAAAACTCTATCGTGTATTAATCAATATGTGGCGAAATAAATAAAAAAACATTATCATTTTTTTCGTTGCTTTGTGCAAATGTTAATACAATAATAATTATTGTGTTATTTCCATGCATCAAAATGTATTTTATTTCGTGCAGTTAATTCAATATTGTTCGCGTTTTAAACGAAATGATCGAAAACAAAAAACCAATGCAATAATAATACTATACTACCTAACCCGGAGCTAACCTATTATAGTTCAGAACGCTAAAATTCTAGAATCCCAAATAATGTAAACCAATCGAAAATATTAGTGTTCTAAATTTATTTATTATTCGGTTTCTTTATAAGCACCGATCGTTTGCCGCTCGTTGTATACCTATGGTCGTGACCACGGTGAAACAGTAAATGGCCGAGTTTACGAAGCTCCACGAGCTGCGGCCGCTGTACGTGGTGGTGCCCGCCTCGAACGCGTCGTGCAGCTGCCCCTCAAACTCGACCAGCTTCCTGCGGGCCGCCTGTTTCCACTGTTCCTCGCCCATCCGCCGGCTGTCCGTCCACAGCCCGTTGAGGAAGTCCCGTTTCACCCTCTTGACGCCGCACTTGTAGAACGTCTCGAACGCGCCCTCCGTGTACCGGAACATTATACCGCCCAAGCCGCACATGACCACCACTATCACCTAAGTATACGTATATTGTAATGTACGTCGTGCGTGTATATAGATGGAGGCCTTCTAATCCGATTCTGAGCGGAGTTCGTTTATCCGATTTAAGTGACATTGTAACGGGATATTTGTGCATTCCCGTGTGGCAACTGTATGGAAAAACCTATCTTATCCCTCAAAAAAATCAACAACAAACAGTCAAGTATGGGCCCCTCATATATAGAAATACGAAATTTAAAAATCCTGCTTCGAAATGTTTTCGGACTCCTGTCTTTCCGTCTATTATGTTCGGAATTTCAGATTGCTGCTATACATATAGATTCTGACCAATGTATCCGTCGTATTGTTGTTAATATTGCTGTTGGTTTTCCGAAAAACTGTTGAGAGTCCAGAAAAATGGGTATAAAACAAAGTACGTGCAGTTTCGGAGGATTTTTAATTATTAAAAAGTGGCCAAAAAAAAAAAAAAAATAAATAAATAAAAACATTCGAAAATCCAATACCACATTAATCAGCCCCGCTTAGAATATATGAAATATCGCGCCGTTATTCTCCACTGACCGTGTTCGTGAAGCACTTGCGACCGAGCCGCCAGTATTCGCGCCATTCGTCTTCGTGTTCCCGCCGGAACGTTCGCCACTCCTGCGCCAGTCCCTGGCCCGTCTCCGGTTCCTTATTTCTGCCGCCATCGCCGCGGTCCTTGGCCTTCTTCTTCTTCTTTCTCTTCCTGACGGCGGTGGACGTTCCACCGCCGCGCACCGATTCCAAAAGTGTCTTCTCCGAACTCCAGAAACCGTCCGTCTCGTAGTCTGTGTAACAGCTTTCGCCGCCGCCGCCGTCGCTCTCCATCGTTTCGCCGTGACCGCCCGCCCGCCCGCCGTTCACCGGTCGCGCGACAACGGAATTTTTTTTATCGAGTTTTTCGCGAGTTCGCGCTGACCACACTGCCTCAGAACCGCCACGCCGCGCCGCCTGTCCCGATGACAGTCGTCCGGCGTCGCCGTATTGACGGCCTCCCGAAACCGTGTCGCCGCGGCACGCGCCAAACGATACGCCCGGCCGCGTATAAATAGACGCGAGTTATATTTATCCGCGGCCGCGGCACGGGCGCCGCGTACTGCACGGCGGCGAACCGTTCCGCAACGTCGCGCACGTTATCACTGCACGGTTACGATAATAATAAACGCTTCTATCTAAATCCGTATAAATAATCCCTACTTCGCCACCCGTGGGTGTACACGGCCGTCTCCGAGACGAAAATCATACGAGGGAGGAGGGATGGGGGAGAGGCTAAAATTTTCGTAAACTACCGAGAGATGGGGTAAAATGTTTTTTTTTACTTAATATCAATATTAATATAATACTATTTAAAGAAAGCGAGACACATATTATACTAAATACCGCGGACGGACTTACTTGTTACGCAGGCGAGAAGCGGACAAGATATATGGTAGTTATATATAATAATATATACGTACTGGAAGTAACGATTAATTATTGCGATAAAAAAAAAAAATAAAACGACCCTGAGCTGAGATCAGAATGCCGATTAGTCGTTGTTTTTTTTTAACCAACGTAGCTCTGCAGAATCGAATGAAATAAATTCGATTTGAAGTCATTGACTGTTGTCAGTTTATTTAATTTTTGAGAAATACTATCGAGAATTATTAAGAATATAATCCAAATTATATACCACAGAGCTAAAAATATGCATCTAGTTAAGGTACTATGTGGAAAATGTAGACTGTTTTTACTAATCGAGAAATCCATAATAAATCGTAGTAAAACGATTGCTACACTCAAAATGAAAAAGTAAAAAAAAAAAAACGAATTAAATATGTTTTTTTTTGTTTTGAAACACCCCAAAGACGCGAGACCATATGGTATAGTTAAATCATACGAGTTGTATACTATATTATCATTTCATAATCCGTAGTTTTTTCTGTCTCTTACGTCGCGTAATAAAAATCATTTTTATTTTCCCTATTTTTCGTTAGGAATGACTAACGAATTCTGACTGCACGATCAAAGGCCAACGATTATAATTTTAAATTAAAAACCAAAAATTAGCCTTAAATTTATTCGGTATAAGGATAATTTTGCGGACGAATAATCTTATCCGGAATGAAAGAGTTCTTTGAAATTTAAATATTTTAATGTTTTCAAAAATATCAATTGACCGACAATAGAATGCGATAATCGCTCTGTATATTGTATTTACATGTTTTATGTGAATCAATATAAATGTTTTTTTTTTGCTAACCAGTTTTTCCATCCCAACGTTTTTAGTTCTCAACTTCGACCAATATTCATAGAGCTATGAATGTTGGTATTAATATTTAACTTAACAAAAATGTTTAAATGGAAAAAAACATGTTTGAAAACTCCACGTCCTGCAGTATAATTTGAGTTGATATTTAAAATAATAACTACATTATATCACTATACATTTCAAAGACTAATATTTTTTTCAGTGTCTAAACAAGACAATTTGTTCAAAAAGATTTGCCTTTCATTTTTTGATTTTGCTTTTATAAAGTCAAAAAATAAATTGTATAAACATTTTCAATAATACCTACGTATAAGGGTGCGTATTTAAAATGAACAGCCAAACTTTACATTCTTCTTCTATTTTTCAATAATCCTATTGATTTATTTCAGATCTCCATAATTTAATCTCTCCAAATCTTTGCTCATTCACACCATTAATAATTTGTATTAATAATGTACTCTATCTTTGGATAACTCGTTCAATTAAGCCGACGACGTTTAACGGTTCTAGGATGTTGATACAGTCATTTTGTCGCTTCTGACTTTAATACTAGGATGAAGGTTCTCATTGTCCTTTTGTTCTGTTCGGGAATTCTTAGACTGTCACTCGTTTTGTCTATTGTGTCTTTGCATTTTTGGACACTCTCCATACAGACCTGATTTGGTATCAAGTGTTTTTAACTTATTCCCGAAACTAAAAACGATGATAACCCGATACAACGTTTTAATGTTTTAAACAATAGAGTTAAATATTACATTTTACTCTTTTTGAAAAACATACAATGTCATAATGAAAATCCCAGATATTTTGTTTGTAAAACAAAATAAAAATAATAATAAAAACCAAAAGTAGTCATATAGTATTTTTATTCAGATATTCGACCTAATTTTTAATATCATTTTAACATTATAAATCAACCGCATAATGTGTGTAGAGGACATTTTAATATCTCCGTATCATAATATAAAAGAGTAATAGAATAAGATAATAAATGGAAAATTGTTTCCAACGAAGGATATAATAACAATAATAATGATAATAATACATTCCTGCAGCAATAATAGCGAACCTTTCTTACAATATTTTTAGATCGATCATAATATTATTATTTTCTATTCGTATTGCCACACGAAACCTATAATAAGTAATTAGGACCAGGAATATACTTATAAAGAAAACAAAATATTATTATAACCGAAAAATTCAAAATAAATTCTCATTAATACTTGAGATAGTGAGGAAAACCTGGATCTTTAGGTTAAAAAAGATTGAAAGATTAAAAATAAGGTTATCATTGGCATTTTTTGTTATAATTAGGTTTTTATTATTTTAATATTTTTTAAATAATTATTGCTTTCATGAAAACGCAAATTGTTGAGCTATTTATAGACATCTTAATTTTACGAGATTTTCACATAATTTTTATTAAGTACATACTCAGTGGATACAATTGTTAGATTTAACCGAAATACTTGAAAATTTAACAGGAGGATTATTATAAGTTGTTGTTAGTAGTTAAATAAATTGAGTTAAGTGTAGTCATTTTTTTTTTTTTTATAATAGATTGTTTATTTACGAGGTACCTTGGTCATACGGATGGAAAAAAAAATTTAAAACAAACAAACCAACAAAAACTACATACGGGCGAAGCCGGTTAGTGCAGCTAGTAATATATGCATATATATATATATATATATAATAAATAATATATGTATAATTGTTATATAAATAGCATTGTTGTCAAGGATGTGCCTTTAGAAGGGTTAAAGTTCTAAGTTCTGACCCCTGACCCCACAGTCTGTTTGTATCTTAGCAAAAATTTCGAGAACTACTTTACCTTCTTTGATAAAACATTTTTATAAAAAAAGCTATGAAATACTGTAACAGTGACTATCGGTTGAAAAAAATTCGATTCTAATGACGAAACTCTGCTACTCATTTTTACAAATAATTGATAAATAACTTAAATTTTAACAAAATAACCAAGTTGAAATGATTTATTAAACTAAATAACTAAGTTATTTTCTAACAATCATATTTTTTTAACTATTCAAGTTAAAAGTTATTAATACAAGTAGGTAACTTATAGGTTATAACTTATTTTAGAACTTTTAAATTAGTTTCTGCCCAGTTTTGTTTACATGAAGCGGGACGGTGACAAATAGTGAGATGTGAATCTTTTTGAATACACCCTTTTAATTTATTTTTGAAATCAATGAGAACATGTTTTTTTTTTTTGGTTTTTAACTAAGTTATTTTTATATACCTCATGATAACAATACGACAGTCTAAAAGTTTTAAGTTTATGTATATATATGCATCTATAAATATTAATAAATATATATTTTTTAATGTTCTGTTTAAGTCGAGTACAGATTATAATAAAATATTTTCGTTTTCTGTTTATTTAAGTTAATATAATTAACTTGGCGATTTTACGTTTGGCGATTTCTCATTGTTAATAATTGTTATTATACGATGAAAAAGTTTAAATGATTTATTTTATGAACTGTATTTGTAGATATAGCTATAGAGGTATCTACTAATTTAACGCAGAGTAAATATTAATTACTTTTCAAACACTCCGAGAGTAATTATATTGTTTAGTGAGAATTAATTTTTTAATATTTTATCTTTAAGAACTTCGAACGTTAAATTCGTATCAATCCGGATTTATTTTAAGAGAAATAATATTTTTTATTGATTGACACAATGGTGTTTCGTCGTGTTTAGTGCGAATTAATTTCACAGTGGTGTAAAAACAGAAATGCATTAGAACTATAATACTACGGAATCTTCTTGTTTTCTTCTTAGGCAGTTCGATTATGAACATCATAACCGTTTAAACAAGTGTGCGGTTAATAATATTTTTACCAAATTCTAAATTTGTCCATGTTTAGCATTATTCTCGCTACTGACCTAATTACTGTTAAACCTATGATTTAGTTAACAAATCAACTTGAAGGAAGTCTTCTATTTCTATCGTTTTGATACTTTCATTGAATAATTATTTTGTCTAGGCTGTCACTTATTCTTATCATATAATCAAACCATATTTAAGTATTTGACGCCTTGTTGAGGTGAGTAAACAAGCTATAATAATATGCACGTGATTTTCGATCGAAAGTAAGTCAATAAAACCGAACAGACGGAAGATCAAACGCATACACGATTGCTAAATAGCATACTGCAGTTATTTGACTCGTGGCCAAATAGACCCTTATAACGTACACGTACGCTAATCACGATGCAATAATCGCTAACATCACATTACTCGGCGTCTACGTTTGTCTCGGACATCGCGACAGATGTCATCAACGGGCCTGAAGTTTTCACACATCACCGTAAACTGCACGTGTCGTTAAGAGTTTCCTACACATAACCAAGCATGCACTGCAAAAAACGCACACATAATATGTATAACGTTATATATTTTGTATTCGGATTATTATCCGCTGACGACTGTGACAAATTTCAGACATTAAATTTAAAATGTTTATCATATGTATTCGTGAACGCACTAATAGTCAGACGACCTGTTGACAATTTCCAGTTCACCGCAGTGCCGCATAACATGCCGTTTCGACGAGGACCATGTAATATTCTGCAGAACAATTATTGTGGTTAACTCCCCGAAATTCGGTTAAGCGGTCACACACTGCCGACGATCGTTTGAAAATCGTTTGAAATCCCGCGTGTCGTATCTTAAAATATATTTGTTACACCCGAAAAAAAATGCTAAATGCTAAATGGTAAAGTGTCTTTAAACGATTATTAAGTCAGACGTATCAATTGCCGTTAGATTGTTCTCGATTAGACACATAAATTATTTTCCGTGCCTTCGAAAGTGATGGTGAAATATAATTAGTTTCATCAGATGACCACTGGCTTGACGCAGTGACGTAGTCAGTGGGTAAACTTATTCTAAGTAAACCAAGAAAATGTAAAATTTCCATCAACGACTAAAAATATATCAGAATTTTTTGTACATTACGACCATTTCTAGAAAGGCCGGTCTAAGTATTTTGTGATAATTCCGAGTCAACCTGATTATTTTTACCAAATTATAATAAAAATAAATAACGTTGGTATAAAATTTCTGGTTTTTCATACTTTTTTCTCGGTATTACCAGGATAGAAAGTAAGGACCCAAAAAACAAAAAAATAATTCCCAAAGCACTAATTGGTCAACATTTTTTTCAGAATTTTAAAAAAAAATGCTAATCATGAAATCTGGAGTGAGATTTCTGGTAGAAAAACACAATTAAAAACAATAAAACTTTTATTGCCGTAAATTTGCTCTTTTTCCTGGTTTTTCAAAATTATTATTGAAACTGGTTAAAAAATCAAAAAAACGATTTCTTTAAAGTACTAACTAAATTAAAAATGATATAAAAAAGATCTTATTTTGTTTTTTGATTATATAAAGATTTGTGTTAGAAATGCTGAAAAAAAACCCATAGTTCATAGTAAAACCAATGTTCCTCACTGCATTCATATTCTAAACACTAAAATCAAGGATAAATATTCTAATATTTTATTTAAGGCGGTTGAAATCCTTCTTTTTAAGGTTCTCATTAAACGGTAAAAAATAATTTTTAAATTTCACCAAATTTGTAAAACCCTTTCCAATTATCCTTAAAGTGTACTTCCATGAATAACGTAAATTTAATAATGATTTGTGTTTTCCTATACTACACGAATGTGTGTTCAAGACATAATGAATGCGAGTGATCTTTTGGACACACACGCCACAAAAAAAAAAAAAAATACTTTTAAACACAAATTTTTACTTGACACGAGAAGCAGTAAGAAAACTCGTATCTCGTAAAGAAAATCTTTAAGTGTCCACTTGACCATTTTGTGTTTCTGTCACAGCCACTATATAGTGACCCATTTGTTTATAACACGTATTATATTAATATTGTTCTACTCAGGAAATTCCTTGTACTTTCTAACTGTCGGTTTGAATTCCGTAATAATTTCCCTCTTATTGTTACCGGACATATTCCATAAAAATGATTTCCCTCTAAATAATAATTGTTTTAAACTATTAGTATTTAGCTATAGGTATTTTTTCTTTGTCCGGCCTCGCATCATACATTCTTATAGATCACAATAAATAGTTGTTGTATTTTTGAAAAAAAAAAAAAAAAACAAAACAATTGTTAATAAATTATAGCAGAATAATTGCTGATACATCATATTTTAAACTACTAAAAGCTAACCAAATTTGAATAAGGAGTTTTCGAGACATATATTCGACCAAATATTGATTTTTAGTTTATGTTATTTCAAGTGAAATTCGAAAAAATGAAACTTTTAAAATGCTTCGAGTGCATTTATATAAGATTTATTCGTACAATGTATATTATTAAAAATATTGGACTATGGAGTCCTATAGAATGTTTCATGTCTTACTGTTCGTATAATATTATATATATTATATTATATTTTTATCTGACGTAAACATAAAAATACAAATAAAAAAAAAGCTGTCTATAGTTTTCTCTTTCGGGATTTATGGTAAAATTATAGAACGGGGTCATAATAATAATAATAATAATAATATATCGGATAAAAGAAAAATGTTTATAACTGTTGAAGGTAATCATTTCATAGTTTCAAGTCAATCGATAAATAGTTAACTGTTAACTTTTAATCACGCTCGATATGATTTCACATGTTTTTAATTAAATTTGAATTGGATTGGTTGAGTTATAATTTTGAAATCTGTATGATACCTATACGTATAGGTGTATTGTTGGAACATTTTATGAAATGTTTCACCTATATTGAAATATTTCTATTTTATTTTTAATAACGATTTTTTAATGGGTTATGGAGAAAAATTCATCTAAAATCTAACATCTAAAACATTATTTAAAAATAGGAACCTATTTCACTGATTCAAATATTTTGCATTTAATTTAAGGAATACGTATAAATTAGAGCACGCGTTGAGATATTTGCGCCAAACCCAGGTTTTTGAACTGTGCGTCTGTGTACGATTTAAAATTGTGTATTTCTCATCCAGAGTGTTCAATATAGAATTTTATTTTGTATATTTTGTATTTTTTCATCTATTAGGTATACCTATTATTAATACTTATGCGTTTTTATGTAGTTTCCAATTTTAAATTTCAAATCATGATTTAATGATTTTTCGCCATGGATAATCTTTGTTTCCTTGTATAAGTGAACATGTACATACTGTATAAGTAAAATGTATATAAGACATATAATTTTTATTAAAACACCTAGCCTAAGTTTTAAAATATATTTGTCTACATAAAATATAAAGTTTGGCATTAAATTTTGTTCGTTTTATATATTTATCTTTTTCCCAATACTTTTGGATTTTTTTTTTTTGCAGCTTTCTTTGAACAAATTAGATGATATGCAATAACTAGAATTGTTTTCTCGGCAGTTTGAAATTATGAAAGTTGAGTTTAATTTCAATATGAATTTTACGGTGTTGTTGCTAGAGAAGGGTATTTTTTTATCCTTCACCATCCCTACAGACCATTTAAATAATGTCCGGAGGATCTTTACGCACAATTTTAGTATCGATCGTATATTTTCTGGGGTTTACATATTCGACCAAAATTTCTATACCATTTGTTTGTTTAAATGGTTTTTTTAAGTAGTATTATAGTTGTGTAGCATTGCTTTTAATCGTAATATTGTATAACATGAATGTATATAGCGAGGGGAGTCAAATATGTAAAAATACTACCAAATATCAATGTTTATTTCTTTCATTGATAATATTATAATAAAATTACAAACTAGATTCAATCAACAGTTAAAAACAGTCATAACACTTAAAGGGTTAATCCCCGCTAATTTTAGATTATACGATAATGACTCTATATTTCTGCAAAAATGTATAAAAATGATCTTCTTGACAATGCTTTAGTCTCAAAGCGGAATTAAACATGTGACGAAACCAATGGATAAATAGTACACCAGAAAAACCTGAGTCAGCAATAAAAGCATTACGTTATTGTATTTACCTAATGTGAAATTGTTAATTCAATTATTTGCAACATTGTCGGTGACATCAGTAACATCAGAGCGAACATTTTTCATTCAAAAATGATTAAAGAATTATTTTCGATCAGCTATCGATGAAGATAGGCCTAATGGGTTAATGGGTTAACTATGACAAAGATGAAATAATAAAAAAAAAAATTATAGAAGAAGTTATATAAGTTTTTTCTTCAAAATCATATTGACGTTTGCTATTATTAGATTGGTTGAAATCAAAAGAAATAAATTAAAATATTTAATTTTTTCAATATTTATCTAAATAATTGTTATAGCAATAAAAAAAAATATTATTGTTAATTGTTGAGTATATTTTTAAAAAATGTTTGGATTTACTCCTCAAAATTCTGGTTATGCTACAGTAAGAATACTTTTACAATATTGATTGTCACTTAATCACTGCAGAGAGAATATCAAACCGGAGATGTAACAATATTCGATCATATAATATAAAACAAACTGTCTATGAAATATTAGATTATTTATTAGTTTAATTTCATAAAATTGTTTAATAGCATGTTTTATAGAGCTTTTTATGGAACTATTTTTAAATATAAAAGATAATGATATTTTAAAAATTGACAACACATTAAAATATTTCCATACTTTACACTGTTGTGTTCAAAAGTAATTTTTAACTAACATTAGGTACTGTTAACGTAGGGTTAGGTTACTCTACCGTATTAGATAAGGTATTAGGTATCCAATTATTGAAATTGTTGTATTTAGCGCGTTGCTTTATTTATATTAGTATATAGTAGGGTGCTCTCAATGAACGAGGTAGATAAACACTGGCGAAAATAATGACGATTGTGCTTAGAAACACAGTGAAATTTATTATAATTGTTATTGTGACTTACCTATTGTCGTGAACACGGTACCGCAGTAGTATACTGCGTTCAAATAATTCCACTCGGCTTTCCCGCTGTTTTTGTTTCGGAAAGACGATTCGTAATCGCGGACGAGATTCACCGCGGTGCTCAAGAACACCGACTCGTTGTTCCGTACGTTTTTTCTCATTAGCTACAAACAAAACAAATTCCGAACGTTAATTATAATATTAATTATTAATTATTTCAAAGGAAACCAATATTCTGTTGTCATTGTTATTTATTTGGTCCCAGATAAGGAGGGCTCAGTGAAGAGATCAATTTGTTTGTTTATATTTTTGTTTTGGTTGTCCCTTTATTTTTGGTCTAAATTACAAAATAGGTGTATGTACATTCTAATAAGTTTTGTATTGAAAATTAATATACCTTTAAGTCACTATGATTTATCTTTATTTTTGACAAGAAGACACAAATCGTATAATATTATACTAAGACGTTTGTGTTTTTTTTTGTCTGTAAATTAATTTTTGATTAGAAATGTTGCATATACCTCGAGTGGTGTAAAGTCATTTAGCATCCAGAGTTATCAATTTTTAAACGCCCACAATTAAGGTCTAACCTGGAAATTATTTAGAAGGTAAATCAACCCCCCAAATTTATTGTTTTACGATTTTATTAAATTCATATTCAAATTTCAACATTTTGCTTACCCCAAATAAGATTTTTCATTGCTCTTAAATTTTTTTATAGTTACACAATACACATATTACAATACCAAGTTGTAACGTACTTATATTTTATAATTGCCAAACAATATTATTTAATATTACTTTAAGTAAAACGTTTGAAAATAAAACAAATTAAAAGTGACATAATAATAGTGATATTGTTAATTTTATTTTGGGTTTTATATTGAGCCAGGCGTCTCATAGTTTTAAAAAGGTTTGGCACCTATATGCTTCTATTCCCCTTCTTTAACACTGCCCCAATTCTATAATCAACACACATAGGATGGGTTCTGGTAGAAAACTTTGTTTATAGTTGGTGTATTGAGAAAGTCATTATTGTTGGATTTTTTTATATTTTTTTATTTTAATAATGATGGAGAACTGAAAAAAAAACTTTTGCTGTTAACTTGGAGTTGTTACAACTTTTTGTTGTTATACAAAAACGAATAATTGTAGATTTTTTCATATATTTTCCAGCAATCACTTATATTAGGTAAATATTTTTAGATGTATAATTTTCTACATATTCTGGCCCTTTTTAATTAATTTTTTTTCTTATTTGAAATGTTTTGCTTTTTAATTTATAATATGGATACATTTTATGAATTTATACTCAAAAATTTGATATAAGGTTCATCATAAGTTGTATTTAGTGATGACAAAGACAAATTTAAATATGATGTCGTAATTAATTACGATCAGTATTGATATGTTCAAATTTATGATAAAATTCGAATACCAACATTATATAGAAATGTAATTTTATTAAAAAAAATGCTGAATCGCTGAATGCTCGGAATCGCTTAGATATTTCATTTGCAATGATTTATCGTTGCATACACATTATACAGTGTTCAAACTAAATTACCCTATATAATTGTATTCTACCTTCCTAATGTCTCGTTTACATCTGTGGCCTGTACTTATACTAACGCTAGCTTATTTGTTAAACGTAAGCAATGATATATGAAACACCCGAAATAGATTGACTTTTTTCAAAAGCGTAGTATTGTTATTTTTTGTGTGAAAGGGTTGTCGTTAAGTCGCTGTACTATCGATATATATTATTATCCACAGTAGAACATTTGTGTGGGAAGGACGACCACGGGGCATTCGCTTCTCTCCCTGTGGTCCATTAATATATGTATATGTATTAGAAAAAACAAATTGTTTATTCAATGTTATATTCTACTTTAAATATAAATTGAAACATTTGTACTATCCAATTGTTACATGCAATTTTTAAAATATATTTTTCCTTCTATAAGAAAAGTCTAGATGCGCCACTGATTACTAGTCCGAAAAATGTTAGCTATAATACATTTAATTCAATATTTTCTATAGGTTTAAAAATTTGTCCGGTGTACAGGAAAAAAGTTCGAAGAGGGATTAGTGGGGGGGGGGGGATGTTTGAAAAACATATATTATCAACCTTTATTAATTTTGTTGTAAATCGATTGATTAAAATTTAAGTACAAATTGTAGGGTCATTTATATTTTGGATGGGTGGTTCCTCCATTCTCTTTTCGTCCACTACTGCAAGTGCGTGTACACATCTTTAATATTACAGATATATACTACAAGTAAATACTATATGCATTATAAAACTTCTAATCCGACTCATCTTGGCTCTGCTACAAGTATAGGTATATTATTATAGATTTACTTAAACTTCTTGACTTTACAGGTCTCCTACCCTTGCACTTTGAACATCGAGTTTATATAGATATATATTCTCCTCACGACTACTATATAATCAATGCAGATTGCGTGAAGTCTTCTAGAATCGCAGTGCCTATTTGCAGTTGATAGGCGTATACAAAGTCGGCCGATCTATCCTCTCATTAGAAATAATTATTCCTTTGTTGCGCGTAGCAGTGCTTTGTTGGCCGATGTTAATTACCGTGCCTTCCTGCGCCCTCAGTGCTCCACTCGTCCCCGTCACCTTTTCTGTGTTCCTATTATAGGCGTCGCATATTAACCTGCGAAAACAGTATTATCACCGGTCTTTGCAGCATTGTGCAGTGTACACAATACATATAATACATTTTGTAAAACAATAATTAAACTAAAAATCGTAGTCGTGTGTTAATATTATTTTAGATGCAGCTATAATAGTAAGTATTATTAAAATATATAGCTTAAAAAATGGCTCAAATGTTTTGAACATTTTACCACGACTATAAATGACAAATACAAGATTTCTGTCAAAATGTCAAGTCTCTACAAATATTTAACTGATTTACAACAAAAAAATAAAATTGAAAATAATAAATGTATTATTTTCGTAAATTTTCCCATTTTTCCCATTTATTATGAAAGCCCCTTGGAAAATTAAAAAATGACTCCTCTAAAGTACCACATCAGGAATATTCCCTTTCAGAAAAAGTGCTGTACTCGATACTTCGAAGCAAGATTTCTGGTAAAATTTTTGTACACAATATATACGTATATATATAAATAAAAAAAAAAAAAAATATTTGACCTATATCATTTATTTAATTGAAATTGTAAAACAAGATTATACACGGAAGCCCACACATTAAACTAGACTAGATTAAATATATTTAATCACGATCCTCTTCTTACTTTCTCTCCTTTTCTTCAAAATCTTAGTTAAATTAACAACTTCTTCACTACACTTAGAATCTAAAAACCGAAAAATTATTCAATATATTATTCAAACTGGGCAAATTTTTGATGAAAATATAAGAAGAGTATAGAAAAAAACCAATAAATAATCAGTTTTGTTGTGGAAATATAAAAATATTTTTTTTCCCAAATAGTGTAAAATGACCGTGGTGATGGAAGGAAAAAAGTTTTTTCTATAGTATAAAAATGAAATATTCGAGTTAATATTATATAATATAATTACCACAAGGATCTCGGAATAAAAACGGCTGACTACAACTTATCTACTAATATATGAAATTATATTATTATGTGAGTGTATAGTCGCTATTTTATATTTGAGTTTTGCAGATACAAATTATATTATAACGTCGGTATGAATATTTAAGTGAGCGTATAAACTTTACACTATAGTAAACTAACTAACGAGGTTAATGGTCAACGAATTGTTTGTTATATAAAAAAAAGGTAGTGAATGAATTTTAAGAGAATTGAAGGTCTTTACGATGTTTTTAATTGAATTTTTTCATTTGATTGATTTATGGGTTACCTCAGATGGGTAGCTGATACTGCTGACGAGTGTGCCCTCACTGTTGTAGGTGAAAGTTGGGATAGTAACAGGATATATTTTAGAGTAATTTAATTTTATATCTGTATGTAACGAAAAATCATTGCTAACGAAAATATACGATTTTAAGAGAAGTCTGGTTAAACCTGTTTTGAAGTAACGTCATTTTTAGGATTTTCATCGAAATTTGTTTGCACTTTTTTTACTCATGTGAATTAAATGTTTTTTAAAAGCACAAAAGTTTGTCATACGGTTCGTACTTATCATAACAAGTATAGTTGCACTTAGTGGTAAAACAAAAACGTTGTACGTAAGTAATATCTTAATTATTTTTATAAGCGTTTTTTTATAAGCGAGACTGAAAAGTGATATTTTCATTACCTATATACATTTATCGTTCAAGTTTGAAAAACTTACTCAAATTTACTCATTTTAATCAAAGTAGGTAGCTAAATAAAAATAAATTCAAAAAACTTTTTTAATTTCATAGTATATAGGACGTGTTTCATCGAATGTTATTAAATAAAATAATTTAATTTTTGGCAAACAAATTACCCAGGTTGCCAAACAAAGAAAAGACACATTGAAGAATCTAATTTTTTTAATTGGACATTTAATGATTTGAATAAACACAAAATCGTGTTTACAATTACTAAATTTTTTTACATTGTATTTTTTGAAATGTAATTTTGGATTTTTTATTTTTTTATTTCAACGTATGTCTGTATATTATACTGCGTTGTTTATAGTTGTATATTTGTTTTTAGTGCATTAACATTTTAAAGCACTAGTTCTTACGTTGGTAATTTGCATAATCAACTCAGTCCTCTCTTTGGTGATGTCCTCCGTGTGGTTCTTTTCCGTGTGCCCTTCGATCGCTTGGAACACTAGGGCACCAGCCGCACAGTAACCAGCGGCTATGAAAAGGAGGAAGAAATGAGTCAGCCACATTTGAGACCATTCTCGGATTTTGTCGTACATCCAGAAGACCGCTCGTTCACCATAACTTAATCTTGACTTGGCCGTGGTCATGATCGTGTCTTTGAATCCTTGTAGAAATAAAAACAATTCGTTTTCAGTTTTTAAGTGTGAACTATAAAAATAGTACATAGATACATTTGAAGCGTTTTATTTAAGTGTTCGTATCACGAATTTACTATTAAACGCGTTAAGCCATTAGAACTAAATATAAATATATATGCAGTAAGGGCTTGTAAATGTTTAACTATTCCAGAATTATTTTATGTTATTTTATGATCTCGTACACGTATACAGTTATACGTAAGTTTACGTATAGCCAGTTTTTAAACCACTAATTTAGTCAAAGACTAGAATAATAAGACAATAACAATTGATATAATTATTCGTGACTATCTAAGTAAAAATCATCAAAAGTTCAGTTTGTTCACAGACATGATTGTCACATAGTAAACCGTCAAAATAATATACTAAAGGTAAAAACCAGATTTTGGAATGGGTTGTAAATTGTCAGTGAGTGTTAAAAATTTTGTTATGATTGTTTCCTTTAATGCGAAATAATAATAATTCTAAATCAACAATCAACAATGTGGACGATGTGGTAGTAAATTAAATTTTTAAATTCGGGAATGAAGATTTGTACTATCAAATTATCTATTAAAGAAAGTAGAATAAATTAGGATTTTTTCCATAATATCGATGATTTGTTTATAATTTCAAAGTTATATAAACATCATTAAAATTTCATAAAAAAAAAAAAAAAATGTTGATTTTGTAATAATTTAAAGTTACTATAAGTTAAAATTAGAAATGTTAGGCTAGCATCGATTGCGCCGAATAAATCGTAGGTAAAATATACAATTTTATTGGAGAGAAAAATATTATACACCAATTGTACCGATAAACATTTGCAAATATTTAATATTCTTATTGCGAACCAGTGATTTAGAAAATGAGTAAATTATCGTCCAGTGGCGTAATCTAAGGAACAAAAATTAATCGTTTTGACGGAATATAAATGATTAATTTTTGTTATTTTGTTATAAAAACCTTCAACTTTGAACCATATAATATGATAGTTAAAAACACGATTGTTGTGGTAATTATAAGTAGCAGACAAATTGTAATCACCGTATAATACCGTATATACCTAACCAGGAAAAATATTCAACGAATCGGCAATTTTCTAAATTAATTAGCTCTAAAGTAAAGGAAAGTATGGATAATAATAATAATTATTATTATTATGTTTTTGTTTAAAATAAAGTTTATACAAAAAAACTAGGAGTTGTATTTACATAAAAAAACAATATTTTGTATAGATAATATTATGTGTCTCTAATGTGCGTTACTGCGTAATTACGCCACTGTTCTCATCGTACCGTGTATACGAACACTATTATTTTTACGGCTTCTATAATAATATGCAACTTACAAGCTATTGTATTTACTAATATGTTATACAACTTAAACACTTGAACATCCATTTCCAAATGGTATCAATTTTAAACCTACCGTCTAGCTGTTTGAAGAAAAAGTCTGTGGCTTTGTTAGACGTGTACGCCTGGTAAAGTTGCGGCGAAAATCCGTTTGGGATGACCGAGTCGATGATCGGGGTCATCGGCATGATCGGGGATGACGGGAAAAACTGGAATTTTGGAGGTTTCGCCGGTAAATCGGGTTCTATCTTCAGTGACATGGTGCTTCGGGACAAACGGCGAGCCGGCGGTTTGGGCACATCGAGCTGAAGTTGCCCGTTATTTATAACGGCAGCACGATGCTCGTTGTCCTCCATCTGCAGCTTCTCTTGGTCCCGTCCTTTTTCTCCTTCTCCTCCTGTAGGTCCTTTCAAAATAACCATAAACCCCGGCAATCCCCAAAGTTTTGATTAAAATTTGTTCATAAATTGCGAAAAACTTAAATTATATAATCTATATAATCTATAAAGAAGTGAACATGAAAAACAATTTATATATGTATAAAATGTAACACACAGTTAAAGTTCGAGTTAAATTATTGTTTTCTATTTGTATACATATTTGTTAAAGTTTTTTTTAAATTTTGTTTTAGTTTAATCGTTTTTGTTTAATTTATTAAATCGAAACTTGTCGTAAAAAAAATATTTTAATCTCGTATATTACTTAAAATTATTATTTAAAATCGTATATTATTAATATTATTTTTATAAAACGAGTATTAACAATTAAATGTTTTAATAAATGTTGCACGTAAATAATTAATTTATTATAAGTAGAACGTATTTAAAACCAAATTATTTGTTAATTCATTTGTTAATAATTTACACGAATATATGTATGGCGTATATTACCTGCTTGTTTGCTTACACGGAAGTACGGTTTTTTTTTTTTTTTTAATATTACTAAAGGCAGAGCTCATAAAGTTCAGATGAAGGCGAAGGAAAAAAATAAGACTATTGTTAAATAATAACAAGACAATTAAATTAAATATTCAATAAAGAACTGCGTTCTTTTGGAAATCCGTTGGACGGATATATGTTTTTATGAAAATGACAATTTTTGATTTTATTTATAAAAACTTAAGTATAATGTACCTAGTAATAGTAATGAAATAATCTTCAAAATTTAACTCTTCAAAGAACAAAAATATAAGACTAAGGATAACCGGGCTTATAATAATTAATAGCAGTCATTTTTATATTCCTTAGGGTTTGAAATCTTTTCTCAGTAATCAATTTTTGATTTCCGTCAATTCGTTGATTTGATATTCTATTTTTAAGTTTGGGTCGTAGGAGAGTAGTAGTACATTATTAAAACGCAGTGCGACGTGCTGCCACATTAATGATGCACCGATCGCTATTTTTCCTCGACCAAAACTTAAAAGATATTTCTCGTTAACGGATTGATGGAAATTAAACATTTCAACACCAACATTTATTTTAACTAATATTTCATCTATTTATGGAATTTTTAATATACGTTGCCGTTTAATATGGGTAATGGTTTTATCCCACCCAAAAAAGGGTAACAAAAAATAACGTAAAAGTAAAATTATAGAGCTGCTTGTTTCTTAATTGTTCTATAAAACAAATTTCGAAAAAATTTAAAACTTTTCAAGACAATGAGTATACCGATTTAAATGGAACATCCTGTGTATCAGTAAGAAACAAAATATCTACCTCGCAAATACATAAAAATACAAATAATAATTACCATACACTCGTAAAATAGATATTAATTTAATAATTAATGTTTTTTTTTTTTTTTTTTATTTGCATTAGTTTTTTTGATATTTTGTATAATACTTTTGGTCGATAATAGTGGTTTAAAATGTGTATATATACACGTATAACAAATACACGTCCACAAATATCATTGTTCTGTTCGTTGTTCATTACAACGTATATAATAATAATTATATACTTTGTATTTAATACAATGTAAAATTATAAATTTATACAGTTTATAGCAACACGAATGAAATAAACACGATAAAAAGCGCCGACGCATTTTTAACCACGCGGTATATATGTAATTAAATAATAAAATTCTACAAAATATAATTAGTATTACAATGAATGTGGAAATTAAATTAACCCGAAATTCTAGCGTTGTAACAATAATATTACATATACACGTTAAATAATGAAAAAAGGACGGTCAAACGTACATATTATTTCGTGTAAAAGTTGAATATTACATTTTTATCGTGCGCATTATTTATATTATAATGTTATGCGATTTTGGCTGATTAATATTTTTCTTTCAAACGTTTACCTAATAAAATTATACTATTATGATTGTCTTTTAGCTCTAGGAATTAATTGAGACACAGATCTTTCATCTGTAAATATCACATCGCCCAAGTTAAAAACAAGGAGTAACCTTTAACTGGTACAACTCAACAACAAAATAGTATGATGACATTTATTTAATCATAACGAAATTGATATGCAACACATTTTAAGAAGAACTAAACGGCTTTGAAAAGATATGTAGCTATTTTAGAATTTTGTAATAGTCACAAGAAATAAGTACCTAAAAATATTATGATTGTAAATTGAAATAATTACGTAAAAATGGAAAAATACCTAAATCATCAATTAAACCAACTTAAATTGAATTATTTGTTTAGGTATCTATAAATTATTATTATTTATGAAAAAATCATAAAAAAAAAGTGAGACCGAAATAGGTTGGACATATATGATACATAAGCCGAAACCCGTTACTATTTATGAAAAATGAACAGTGCTATAACAGAACCTAAAAATAAGAGGTGTTTGAAAATAACGATGATGATGAGCCGATGGGAAGATATATAACTAATTTGGAATACACAATTAGTGAATAGTCCAGAGTAGTGATTGATTGAAGAAATGACGACTTTATGATCGGTGTTTCCCAACTTTTAGATTCTGAGTGAAGCGAGGCATATATTGGTTTTACAATGATGTTTATTTTTTTTTTAAACTGTTAACAACTTTTCTATTCATTGTACATATACATAATACAGGTATAGGGAGAATTTGGTTTTAGTAACGGAACTCTGCTGTTCACGGCTGTTTTTTTTTAAATAAAATTATTTTTTATTTTTAACGTCCAAATTTCAAACCATAATAAAAAAATAACAACATTGTATTGTAACTCTATTATTAGTAGTTTTTTTTTTTATTGTTTTCGTTTTCCTTTTTAAAACTGTTTTATTTTGCAGCTATATATTCATACTTATACTACTATATACTTTAAGCTGTTAAAAAAGATAAGTTATACAAATGCGGTGAATTAAGTATTAAGTATACGAATAACTAAAAAATACGTTACTTAAAGGTCGAAATAAACTCTAGATTAAAAAAATTGACATGGAAAAAAAATTACATTATAATCATTAATCATATAGTTATAAATTGAAAAATTATTGTCCCGATCTTAAACGGTAAATAGTTTATCACCAAAATATATCTTTGGTGTTTATGCATGTTTTGTATATAGCCGATGATAAATTGAAATCGAACGTCTCATAAAATCCCCATTCCGAAAATTTAACATCGATAAGATGAATAATTGGAAAACACGGTTTATTTTTAATTTTAAAATAATAAAAATAATAATAATAATAAAAAAAAAACAAATTAAGTATATGTTTAACCCAGATTTAATATTATACATTTTAATCTGGAAACGTATTAAAACAATATTAATTATTCGGGGTCCTAGCTTTGCACGTAATCGTAAATTAAATTATTATTATTCATTAATTAGTTTTTCTGACAGCATTTGCGGGGACTATGCCGGTAATTTTAAAAATACGTGTATCAACGTCATATCTTAAACTTAAAAATTAACTTCGAAAATCGATTAAAAAATTATTTTTTTAAAATGTTTAATTTTAGATGTCAGGGTATTTAGACATTTATGAAAATTCTTAAATGTTGTATGTATTTTTATTATATAATGATATGATCAAGCATAAAACACTAGTACGCTTATAAAAAAAAACAAAACCCAGATTTAATTAGAATATTTTTGATGGTATAGTTTTAAGTGGCTTAAAAATGTAGTAAGTATGCTATTTTAATGTTTCATACAACTCAAGTTTAAAATCAATTTTTATTGGTTTGATTTATGTGTCAGAAATAAAAAAACCCCGAAATAGGAACAATACACGTATGTGTTATATTTTTGTAAGATTATAAAATAGTTATAGTTACATTGGTATATTTTGTTATTTAAATATGAAATACCTAAGTATCATAAACTATTTAGATAGGGGAGTATTTAAACAGAAGCATGTTTTAGAAATTTTCAACGGGAGATGTTATGGAACATGTTTTCAACTGAAAAAACCAATCCTTCACTCATTGCTCCAAAATTCACAAACTTTTCAAAACTATACAAAATACAATATTCCGAAATTTAATCCTATAATACATCAGTACTAGACGTCTGATAAGATGTCGAAAACAACTTTAATATTTGTAAGGAGCAGAATTGTTCGATAAGACAGGCAACCGAATCGACTCTATGTTTTGGATGCGTTTAGTTATACTAGTTGAGAATCAAAGTAGCTATGGTCAACTATGGTTAAATATATAAAATAGCTTTGTAAGTCCTGAACATGCAAAAAATAGCAACACAAAATTTCTTATATAGCACCGGTGAACCATATTTGTTTCTCATTCAGAATTGTCCAGGCGTCACAAAAAATAATATTATGCACACTAATCCTTCCGAACCGGTTAGAATATTATAAACAACCAACAATAAATACGTCATACGAATTTTACGTTTCGAGATATAACGCTAATTTGGTCGAACATCGATTAATCTGTGTGCCGTCGTGTTTAATATTGTAATGGAAAAGTCTTGTTACGTTCACGGGACCTAATTATTTTTGTTTTATTTAGGTACCTACCGTAATACATTAATTATATCAGACGGTATTAATAATATATTTGCCTTAAAATTACTATAAAAATATATAATGCATACAAAAATTGATCTCTTGTCTCACTACAACGTGCATCGAGATGGATGGCGACTACGTGGGAAAATAATCCACATACGTGCTGATGTAACTTTGTAAAAGTTTATTTTTAAATACATTTTTTGAAACCTACAAAAGCCTAGTACACTTACTTGAATGTGCCTTGTAAATTAATAGCGTCTATATCAGCTGTTCTCAACCCGTGTGTTAGTGACCAAAGCTATTTATCCAAATTTTTGGTGCGTCCCCAAGGGGGGGGGGGTGAATGGACGAATGTCCCTATACAAATTACTGTCATTGTCAACAAATTAATAATGATCTAAATTTTAATTTACCGTTATCAGTAGAAAAAACTATAATAATTTATTTTACTTATTTATTATTATAATTATTTTATTATTTTACTAGTTGTCACCCACCCGGCCTTGCCCGTGCCATTTTTTGTATTATCTGTATCTTTATTCTTGTTCTGCTCGGTATATTGGATGGAAAAAAATAGCCATTCGTCATTCGCCTATCCAAGGTAAATATATAAGGTTAAAATTACGCTTATAGTAATTGTTGATTTAAAAAATAGGTTCGCCCCTCCTCCCTGAAAACTATCTAGGCACGCCTCTGCATTCCATGGGCTGTCTATTGTATAATCAATATCATAATTAGGTTCTATTAATGATAATACATTTTTTTTCATCGATAAGGGGTTTACAACATTAGGATAGTACCCAGCCGAAGCACTAAGCGAATTGAAAAATCGTATATTAAATTTCGACGAGTAATGACTGCCTATACAAAATCCAATAAATTTGACTAGTTATAGTTCATTTTAGTAGGTTGTTAATTTTTTTTATAAATGTATAAACAATTAGGATGGTCTAAGTATCCAAAAACTACATTTGGATAAAGATTAAAAAATCAAGTGAGTCAATAAAAAAATAAATGGAAAGAAAAAATATAATTTGGGCCAAAAAATGAATCGAGAAAGCAATTTGGTCTTAAGTGAACTTGCTGAAGATGATGTGACTGTGTTTAAAAATTGCACGAGAATGAGTCCATCAAAGTTTAATACAGTAAAGCCAAACATACACTGGATAACAGAAGCATAAAAAAGTATTATGACTTGTTGACCGAAAATTCTGATCGATAATGTATTTTACTCGTTGTTTTAATAACACCATTGATGTCTCATTGGTTAAGTAGATAAACAAATGTAAGTTGTAAGTCTAACTCGATCGAGAAAATAGAAACGGTTTTTAGTCGCTAATTCACTAGTCCCACGACTAAAATTTTTTCTATAATCAGCACTATGATTAGCACTAAAAAATGTAATCGAATTCAAAAAAAAAAAAGTAAGATATAATGACCATTTTGAATAGATATAAATGAAACGCGGGGAAACAAAAAAATATAGGTTTTTTTTTGGTAGAATAAATTCACTGTGAGTGTAAGTGTCTATGTGTGTGTGTGTGTGTGTATCGAAAATTATATTGTGCTACGTTGCCACTGTATGTAAGTAGTCGGACCCAATATGATGTATTGTTTATATATTATAAAATCGTATAATGCATGTCATTAACAAATGTTGTCAGAAGGTGATTCCATCATGTAAATGTGTTTACTTAAATAAGTGTGTCTATTATAGATGAATGGACTTTATCAAAAGAGATTACTAGCCCTGACGAAAAGTCCTAAAAAATATTCAATCACGATAACATGCAGATCAGTGAGGTAGGTGAAAGTTATTATTAATTAAATATCGTTAAGTGTAATATGACGAGTAAACTAGAAAGAGTTAGGTTCGGATAAATTCTTATTCCGGTTTGTGGAATGTAAAATGGAATATAAGTAAGTTTGGATGTTTATTAAATGTCATAATGAGTACACTTGCATCTGATGTAAACGTGAGTACTCTATGTAAGACACTTAGGACGTGGAGCCAGATTACTAATGCTTTTTCCAGGCTTTAGAGTTTTAGATAACTGTTACAATTAATACAAAATTAGTCCAAAGTTAACGGCATAAAATGTCAATTTTCGTTCTAATAGCAAATATTAATATGTGAAGTTGTGTATAGCCGAACAACACTCGGCGGAACACTATAAAGAAGTAACACGTTTAAATGTATGATAAAGCAAGGTAGCATACACAATAACCAGGTATACCGGTTAGGTATAACCGGTCCAATGTCCCGGGTTTGGACGGTTGGCGGGACGATGTGGTGCTTGGGGCTTGTGTCACAATAACGATCAAATATGTGATAATAATAAAATGTGTTGTACAAATTCTAAAATAAATTCTCGCATAGAAGTGGTGTATATTTTGGTACATTATTCGACGGGGGGACCTTTGTTAAAATTAAACGTGTTTTATAAATTTGTACGTCCGAATTTGTACTCGTGGGACGTATAACTTAATAATTAAATAAAATCTAATTTGTTATATCAGATTTGGAATAGGTGTATTCATTTTGACCCGTGTACCTATAATTGACATTATTTCGCTCGTAAATTATAATTTAAATGCGGTGGAAAGTCATCAACGGTCGCGAACTGCCAACGTGCAGTACGAGTAATATATATTATAAATACGGCAGTAAAAAAATTATATTTACTGTTTCGTATACATAGTAGACGTTATTACTATTACTGTTATACAAATTCGTAATACTCAAAACGTCAAATGTCGAGAACGCGTGTTAAAACAATAGGTACCTGCTACTAGTCAGTTGTCACATATTATAATAGTAGTAGTAACCAGCAAGCAATTTTTATTTTCTGGGGCTGAATCATCGCTGCAATTTGACCAGTCGTCTGCGGACGAATAATATGATATTTTGTTGACTGTCCATTGAAAATTCGGAATCTGATTTTCGGTAAGTGGTTATAATTTATAATGTATCCAGAGTTTTTTTTTCGATTAAAATTCCGACATGAGCGAGCGAACGGAGAGTGTAAAAGTTCTATAAACGAAACAATTGATAATGTTAGGTTGACATTTTTCATATGTTTTCATTAATTCCAAAACTTTTTTGTAACTTTTCGGAAGAACTGTATAAGTTAGCTGTTTTGACAACAAAGTATTGTGTCGACACGGGGATTTATCGATTCCGCCGTTTCAATATTAATTCCGCCGCCTATCGACTCTGATTATACATTTAATATAAGTAGAATAAACAGATTAAAAACCTTGAACACAGAATTTTGTTGAATAAATTAGAAGAAAAACTAACTTACTAATTGATTCACCCAAGAAGGATTTTTGAAATTTCCGGCAAAGTCGCAGGTAATACAGATGGTATTATATATATACAATATACATTTTATAGGTATTTATTTTATTGGAAATTGTTATTACATTATCGCGTCAGTTCCATATCATAATCTGTATAACAATAAAAGTAACCGAAAAACAGGAAATCAAAAATAAAAATACAAGTCTACATTTTCCAATAATGTGGTCTCTAGGTTTAAATAATATACATATTTTAGTAATCAGTTGTAATCTTTTGTACACTTTTTATGTTACACTGTATAAATTTGAAATAATTGTTAGTAAACGATTTGTAGCTACTATCAAAAAAAAAAAAAATTGCTTAGAATCATTATGCAAACAAGTTTGGGGGAGTCGATAGCCAGCGCAATTGATACATTTTTTACAGGCAAAAAGGTTATTTCGGCGGAATCGATGTACGCCTAACACACCTGATTCAGTGGTTCCGTGTCAGCCTTTGCAAAACGCCATGTATCATTAAACATGTCAATGTTTTTGACTAATCGCTGAAATGAGAAAGTTAACTGTTTTATCCAATACATATTGTGTTTAACCGGTGTACAACCAACATACATCACCCCTAAATAAACTCCCCTAACCTTTGCTAAAAGATAATAGGTATTGTTATGATATACCCTAACGTAACATTTTCTCGTGGATAATCGCATGGCCTGCAGTCGATTTACACGGATATCTATAAATCAATTATAACAGAGGAATGTGTTTTCGCCAAAATAGTATCTATTAAAGGTATTTAAATAATTCGTTTAAAATGCTCATTATTTCCCTCTATGACGATTCTAGTTACTATCAGTGCTACATTTATGCAAGGAAAAACGGGGCATTTGCACTGAGCTCACTCAGAAAAGGAGCTCACCGATTATAGGCACACAAAATAAATTGTACACGTATTTAACACACTTTGGGAAAACAAACTTATGGCCAACTGATTAACAAAGAAGTTAATAAGTATTATCCGAACGATTACTGATTATAACTCAAATTGTATGGTAGATTTGAATTTTACTGAGATATTTTGACGGGTTGTAAAGTATAGTGGGCTATCCCCGAAAGCGACGGCCTTACCAACATTGTCAATACGAAAATCTAATTGCCATTGTTATCGCAATAATGTTATCGTCACAATAACCCTGATATTATTACTGACGTTATTGTTTTGCGCTCTTGTGTGGTGCATCTCACTTCCGCGATATACGCCAGTCGTACTAATATTTTTTTATGTATCTATTGTCATTTACTAAATTCAATTTTAATAATTTGAAATGTCAAAAAAAAAAAAAAAAACTTAAGTGATTCAATGAAGAGAAAATTAAAGTTTTTATTCGAAGATTTTAATTTTTTACAATTGCGTAGATAATAGGTATTTTACTATACCGTCACTTGAAATTAACGTTATCTACGATTGAAGGCAGATGATAGCGTACGCACAGTGATAACCACTTATTTATTATCAATGAAATATGGAAAAAAACTAATAAACTAAGCAATATAAATAAAACTATAAAGTCATATAAGCATGAAACGATTATGTTAATAATATCAAATTGCCAATGTCTGGGGAAGAGAATGGTCATCACGTCCCGATTTTGCTACGCAACGGCTGTATATAGATTTTCCTCTCTTAAATCTTGGATAGATTATTATTTTATTCTACTCGTAAATCTGAAACTCGTAATAAGCATTATACAACTACAACTCAATATTATGGTACCTACACCTATTAAATATATATAGTTACAGTTTGTTGAAGTTAGAGCCCTTTATTATCCCGATTGCGGTACAGCTGCCGTGCTGTCGGATCCAACGAGAATACAAGTTGACCGCTTTGAAATATATCTTGTAATGGTTAACTTTGTATTATTTATCGTTTTAGTGTACGACTATTTCTACAATTGGCAAAAGGATTTTAATAATGATAACTTTTTTTTTTTTTTTTTATGTTTATTTACATTTTAATATCTACCGGCTACCTATATACCTTCAGACTGGGTTAATGTACGCAACTTTATACCGTAATAATATAAACGACACTGCTGAAATGGAAACTATACTCGAAATCCGAAAACTTAAGGACAAAAGATGTAGATATTTTAGTAAGTCATAATTAATACAGCCGTAGATAGTAAAATATCGTGAATTCGCTTTCTTGTACATTTCGTTCAATATTATGTAACTATATTCGTAATATATTACATGTTGATATAATACTGTTTTTTGTTTATAAGATTATTTAGATTCTGAACATAATGGGAAATTTATTGATTTTACTATGATGTGTTATAGATTCGAAGCGTAGCGTGAACATCTACCACCGTCCCCTTCTCGGCCCTAAACACTATCAGTAATCAACTAATGATAAAAATTATAAATAATTGCCGTTCATTTTAAAATAGATAAACATTGTCAATACCATAGCAGTGTATTATGTTCGCAGTACAACTATAACATATTGTCGTATTTGGTACTTATATAAGATTAGTGTTTTTAGAAAATTTGGTTTTTTTTTTTATATTTTAAACACGGAAATTGTTACATATTAATGTTTAGTCATTACACACTTTATTCTTTCGGATTACACACATTGAATTTCGTAATATGCACCGATTGACATAATGTGTTGTATTACACACAAACATAGGTCCCACGATTTTTTTTAAACGTATGCTGTACAATAATGAAACAAGCGAATTCATTACGACAAAAGGCGGAATTGCACAATAACCATGGGGATATTTACGTCTTCTTAATCCTTTGTCGTTCGGAAGAATAATGTTTCGTCCAAAATGTCTACCCGAATAAAATATATATAGTAAACAAACATATAATATACCTACCTCTAGGTACCTTAAATCCGGATGAGATATAAATTTAACTGCTCTTCTTCCGTCTCCGTAATAACAATAATAGGTAATAACAATAATTGTTGTCGATTTTCAGTGTATTTTTTTACGATCGCTCGTCCGTGAAGAAAATACGTAATACATCGACGAACACAATAAACACATTAGTCTAGTATCCATCTATCTACAAGACTGCAAGTTTTATAATTTATAAGTAATCAGCGCCGTAAACGTTCGCAAATAATAATTATCGAATCATTTTTAAAAGAACAAAATAATGCAGGCTACATTTTTCGCGTCACAATCCGATATCTCAATGATATAGATAACCATCTATACGTTTTTGAGACGTTTTGAGACGTTTTGGGACGTTTTGAGTAAAACCGATTTCAAGACTTCAAATTATTTTCATGTAGTTTTTAGAATTGTTTAATAATACTATTTGTCATTAATATTTTCAAAATATTACCTTTAGTATTAAATTTTCAATTAATAAAAATAAATGTACAATCCCTTTAAAGAGTGCAGTGGTAAAATTGTGAAAATTGTGTTGAAATAAAGTTTATAAACGATTCCTTAATGAACGAAAAAAAATCGAATTTATCCTTTCCCCAAGAAAATCGCTGAATCATGATAAATAAATCACTCTGTATAATATTATAAACATTTCTTGTCTCATTTACAAAATACGTGGCGTACGAAATGACGGCACGTGCGTACGAATTATTACAATTGTCTTGTACGTGTCGAAAAATATTTTATCCACATCGTCATAGTTTTAATATGGTTTTCTTTCGTTTTTATCGGGTGTCTAGTAATTTTTTCATATAAATTATGTTCTATATTACTTATTATTACCATCGCATACATTTTACAATGGATCACTTCACAGAGCTTTTTTTCTTTTTTTCGTTAAGCATCATTATTATTATTATTACGTACACATTATATACCTATTCCGAAACTATTTAAAATCCTGGTGTACGTCCAACGGTTTTGAATGCGAATAGATTCGGAACATATGGCCGCGCGTCTTAAATTATGAATAATTTTTGTTACTATATATTACGTAGGTTGGTATCTTAGCGGGGGAGGGGGGGAGTTACGCTTGTAAATTTGTTTTATGTATTGAGAATCGTATATGCGTGTGATTATTTTTCTGGTACCAGTGGTATACCCAGGGAGACAACTTAGGGGGCGTCCCATTGACCGGGTTAAATAAATAAATAAAAAAATATATAAAAATATAAACTGTTCAGCGTTAGAACATTTTTACTTATTAAATAATATTCATTGCACTATTTATTGAACTGAGTACAAATAATCGTATAAACTACATAATTATATGTTTTGTAAAATATATTTTTTTATTCGAGTTTTTCAGTTTAGCTTCTCGTTAGTCCTATTGAAAAATCTCAGGTGTGCCATTGTCCGATACCTAAGCGACCTGCCTTTACGATTATTGTATCGACCAAATCATTTATCATATTATTTCTATTAATTGTGGAAACGGTTTTCCAAAATGCTTTCCCATTTGAAAATTATTTTTCATCTTTTAACGACCATCGTAATGATAATACTTTTCACTTTTTTACTTTTTTTCCATTAATCTACTGCCCGGTACCCATTCTCAAAGCCATTTTTACTGACAAATATAAAGTTTGAGAACAATGAGCTAAATGTAGTCTAAATGTGTAAAAAAAAAAAACGAATAGTTTTCTTCCGTCTTGACTGTTTAGACAAACTGATTGTACCATTAAATGTTCGTTACATAAACATTCACTTAACATGTAAAATATCGTACTGTTAAATTATATAAAATTTTTGTGTATAACATTAAGGTGACGACATTGAGAGATTATAGTATAATAAAGTCAGTCTTTTAAAATATAAACCGCGACTTCTTTGTTGCATCGCGGTAAATTACTTTAAAAACTTATTTGTTAAAAAATCATATTTTTCTTACAATTTTTTTAGTCCATTAATTTCGAGAGTAGCCGCAAAAAACTTTTGACAAACTTTAATATACGCACACCTATATAATATTTGCATAATTATATGCAATGCGTTTTTATATAACTAAAAACCCGTACGAAAAAAAACAAACGTATATAGTGCAATGTTGCTATATTTTATTCAAAATATATTCAATTTCAAATTAATACGTTGGTATTGAATATCTATTCCAAAAAAAAAAAAAAATGAGATATGGTTGTCTCACAATAAATCATCATAATTGTTTACAATCGATAGTATTGTATAATCAGAAACATGCAGTATTTTGTGCAAGGTGATTTAGTAGAATAAAAAAAAAAATTAATCCTGTATCTCGGGAATCATGGACATCCGTGGAAAATAATACGTGGGAAAAGGAGTTGGGGAATAACAATTATGTTGAGTATACGGGATTTAGTAGTTTCTTTAATATTTTTGATAAATTTTTTGCATTAATTGCGTATAAACCAGTAAGGGTTTCCGTATACTTTTGCAACCCAAACATTTTCGAAAAAAAAATTGAAATGTCTACAGAAACTTACAAATTATGCAAACACAAATTAATAGATTAGTTAAATATAGGTACATTATCACCTTATCACGTTATAAACTTGACGCAAAAAATAATTGATTATAAAATAGCTTTATACTTTTAATAGGAAATTATAAATTTAACTTACTTCTACTTTAAACCTTGATGACTTGATAAGCAAATAATTTGTTTCAATAAAATCAAGAAAAATTGTATTGTTATTATTACTTTGGTTTTACTACGATGCGGGTAATTTTGTTTATATATTTTTGCTTTTAAACAACTTTTCTATCAAAAATCGTGCTCCAATCAAATAACAACAAAAGAGCTTTTTCGTAGAATTTTTAATTTAGTCAGTGCATTGAGGACGTAATTTTTTTATTTTTCTATGGCTTTTATTATACATTGGAAAAACCAGAAAAAAACATATGTGAAAAACGGAAAATATTTACGGCAATTTAAAGTTTTAATATTTTCGATTCGGTTTTTCTACCCTTGCACCGCGAACTAGTATAGCATTTTTTCTAAACGAAAATTGTATTTAGTTAGCATGTAAGAAACTCGTGTAGGATATTTTTTTGGATTTCATTAATAATTGAGAAAAACCAAGGGAAATTACTTAGGATAAACGGGAGAGTTTATAATTAATTATCATTGTCGATTTTGTATTTTTGTTGCGATTTGGTTTTCAATAATAAAATAATTGGACTTCTCTAGGCGAGGTAAAATATTGTTTCAAAAAAAAACCGAACTTCGTTCAGAATCGTATTTCATCAGCAATGATTTATCGTTGCAGCGGCGTATACGGATGTTAATTAAACAATTTTATGGACCCTAAATTTGCAAATAATTCCCAACTAAAATACTGGCGGAGGCATATCCGTCAAAAATGTCAGCTTTTTTTTTTATTAAAATTAATAATACGAAATAATTTGTTTAACTTTGTTTTCGGTGTTATTTAATATTTATAATAGGTTATGAATGACAAAACACGGGAAATCAGTAATTATTAATATCGTTGTGAATTCGGTGAAAACCGAGAAAGCCGGGACGGGTCATGTTTTTTTTTTTTTTTTTGTCTCGATTTTTGGACCTCGAAATGTTTAAATCGGGGCACCGTGTCGCTTACCGTCCATCGTCATAATTCAATCGTTCGGCGGTTATTACCACCGCAATATTGTATGGATGGTGACCACGCGACGGCCGCTGCAATAATCTCTAGGGAATCGGCCGCTTCGCCGGAACTATACGTAGATTTGCGGGTCGTCGTCGTCGTCGTCGACCGACCGGCCGGCCAAGTGTTCCCGAGCGCGAAATCGTTCGCGGTCAACGTGCGGACGGACTTTTCGCGCACCAGGTACGCGGCGACGGTTTCGCACCGCACTGCGAGCCGAGCATAATAATAATATAATAATAATAATAATAATAATAATAATAATAATAATAGGCAATAACAATTAATAATAACGATAACAGTAACAATATCGAAATACGCGTAGTAAATGTCTGCTGTCCACGCTTTAACGGCGATAAAAACGCGAACCGGGTTCGACGGTCCGTAAGGGAAAAAAAAAATAAAAATTATATTATTATTCGACCGAACGACGCCGAGATATTATTATAATATTGTGATGGTATAAAAATATTGCGTTTTCCCCGGTCTCCGAGCGTCCGACACGACAACGGCCACGGACTACGTTCTCGTTCTCTCGCTCGCTCCGCCGAGTGTTACGTTTTTTATTTATTTTTATTTTTATTCTTTTTTTTTTTTTAAATATAATATTGCAGAGGTGGTTCCCGACTTAGCCGCGTACTACACACACACACTCGCACGGTCTCGAGTCAGTCGTCGTGTCTCCGTATCCCCCGACTTTGTTGTGTTTGCGTGTGCATGCGCAGGAATGACTAATTCGTCACGTCTATAAATACAAACAAGACACTATCGGCGGGCAAACGGTTCCTGAGGGAAACGCTCGTAATCCCGCAGCCGCCGTGAGTCGTGACCAGGCACTCCGGTGCAGGAGAAAGAAAATGCTGATACTGAGGCTAATGGGTGCGCCACTGTTAGAGTAGGGAAGTTGGAAGTGAGAAGTGAGAATATTGATTTGATTTATATTTGTGTACGCAATGATAATCCATATATAACGAAAAAAGATTCTCAGTAAAGTAATATTAATTGTATTTTTTTCTTTTTTACCAGGGTAACTCGAAAATCAATAAAAATTGCACAGTTTTCCGTTTTACAAAGAAAACTACAAGAATCATCAAAATAACAAAGTTTCTAGAAAGTGATCGGTTTGAGCAAGATTTGTGGTTGACAAGTTATTTACAGACACACACATAAAAATTAAAAATCATATAATTTACTCGTTTCGCTCAGAATCTAAAAAATCAAAATCGTTAACCCTTCCAACATCCTTTCTCAAATAGTGGCACAAATATCAGCAATATTTTTTTAAAATCATAATCGTTAAACCGTCTTTCCAAACAATGCCTCTTACAGTCTTTTTTATTCAATGCTACCTCCTTTCAGTCCGAATTTCTTTGTTCCTTTCCTGAGCTGCTCGAAAAGTCCTCCTGAATAAAATTTTCTCAACAAAGCATTGTTGGAAAACTGAACATATTCGTTTAAAAAAATCACACTTATTAGCCCGGTTTTAAGGGAAAAGAGGACAAGAGAGGCGGACACGGCACTTGGTGCATACGATTGTAAGGACTTCAGTTTTACCACTTATAATCTGGCCGAACAAAAAACGAAGACTTTTTGGTTATATAATATACTGGGCATGTAGAACGAACGATTAGTTAAGATATAAATACTTAAATATAAAACGCAAACTGTATAATACAATTACATTACAGTATATAAGCAGGAATTAATATCTCACGAACCCTAAAGAGTTCTTAACGCCCTCTCCTCTCTGTATTGAAAAACGATTTATTATACGTAAGTATACCAAATGGAAAATGTATATACGTATATTGTCATATGCATCTAAGTTATAATTTAGACGAAACATATTATTTCCAAATGAATCGAAAATTACCGTATAAGTAACTACCTACAATGTAGCCGTAAGTATAACCGTATATTTGTAAGTTTATTATTTATAAGCGTTTTAGATTGGTAGATTGGTTAAGTTGTGTGGCTATACGGTGCGGTGCGAAAATAGCATTATACATATACACTGAGAGAATTTACTGCAGTGCCTATAGGTTAGGTATCTACCTATACCTATAGTGTGGTATCGCAGTCCTTTAAACTTTTAGTGCTTTAAGTGCTTACAAAATAAATAATAGATTTATTTATTTTTAAACCCATTAGTTAAAAATAAAAAAAATAAAAATATATATATATATTTAAGTAGACTCGTTTGTACTTGAAATACAGTGTTATAAAACTCAGAACATTAGTAAGATGAAAAAGCCGAATTTACTACAGGTAGACCGTTATACTAGGTGGTAAGTTTGAACATTATAGAATATAGTGTAATTTCATTTAAATACCGAAAGAGTGACGAAAAATTATTGGAATCAATCAATCACTCTGAGTGGAGTCGTATTAGCCATATTAGTCGTGGTTTATAATTTTTTTGCCATCAGGTAACCCAAAACAAACCGATGTATCGAGATTTGTTGTTAGTTTTTTTGAATTTTGTAGAAAACTTTTGGGAATCTATACATTTGTTTCTATTACTGTAATATATGGCTTAAATTCCGTGTCTTCTTGATGGAAAAATGAAAAAATGAAAAAATGAAAAAATCGAAGTAAGTTTATATTTGGAATGTGAAATAGTAAACAATATTTTTTAAGAATAAGGTATTACATAATTACAACAAAATAAATATTGAAGAACTAAAGTTTTGATAAAGATTTGTTACATGTACTAGAACATAATAATACAAATAAGTACTTAGATAAAAGATTAAAAACTTAAAATTGCATTTGTTTTTTTTCTGTAGAGAATTTCACAAGTGTTTACAAATATTCAGGCGTATAAACAAAATGTATTTTCGTAAGTAGATGTGTTTAGTAATTTTATTTACCACAATATTATTATACGGATTTCTTAGAAATAATTTTCATCGTTATAATTAGGATTAGGATGTTTATGCATTTAAAATCCATAAAAAGAGTTTAAAAATGCTAAAAAAAATCCCCAACATATAGCTTGAAAAAAATATTTAAAAAACTATACCAATAATGGTAGAGGGGTTTAAAAGTCCTTCCTCTTATAATTCTGACTTATTAAAAATAATTAAAATTTACTTAAAATTCCTCTACCAGTTTTGTTTTTTTCACGATGTAAGCGCTTTTTTGCAGATTTTAAGTGCATAAATATCCTAATACTTTAGTTATAATACAAGTATCGAAATAAAATTTTAGCGTATACAACACATTACTTTCGTGGGATAAATTTTTTAAAGAAGCTTTATATAGGCGTTTTTGGCAATGTATATTATAAAGATAATAGATGGGTTCAACACATTATAGAGTGCCGTAGCGGTAATAAGAATAGCATATAAGAACATAATTTAAACGCCTTCCCACGTGTTGAACTGTTTTTTCTTTTTTGTAGCTGGCACAGATTAATCTGTCCGTTTAAACGATCAAGTTTTATAATAAAGTGTATCGTTCTTACCGTATAATATTATAATATTTTCAAATTATACTCGCGTCGGGCAACACTAATAAACTCATTCCAACGAATTTATTTGGTATAATATTATAAATTGTTTAATTTCTGCACCCGATTACTCTTTTTAATTGTCGGGCCATAAAATATGTAAATATATTTAGCTACAAGAGATTAGTGGCGTGCGCTGACAAAGTGGAAGTTAGGGGTTATATTTGTATAATCCTTCAATTTGGTTTTTTAATACAGAAAATATATTAGTATTTTTTTAGCGATTTAATCTATAAGCGTTTACTTATAATATCAGCCAAGTTACAAGGAAAAGCTTAATTTGTTTTTTTTCGGTTTGGCTTTTAAACTACCATTGTCGAGGTGGGTAAAGAATAAACGATTTTAAAAACTATTTAGAATTCATAATTGGTAAATCCCCTTCAATTGATAATTCCTGGGTGTGTCACTATTAGAGATAATTTAATAAATATTATCTATGCAATATTATTGATATTATTGTAGGTTTTAACAAAAAAAAAAAAAAAAAAAAAAAAAAAAAAAATGCAGCATACAGCGCAGCCGAAAAAATAACCGATTTAAATGGTTTTAAACGTTACAAATAATAATTGCAATAATAATATTATGATTTTTATGATTTATGCGAACTATTAAAAAATATTAGAATAACAATAACAGAAAAACATAAGGAGGGTGTAACGATGGTATATACTAAGAAAAAATAAGATTTATAGCCTTCGTACACAAGTCGCTCGTTTTTTATATTTATTTATTTTTTATATCATTATTCACAAATACGTCTTCATTAAATTTTATTCACCGACATCATTTATTCTATTTACACGAACCGCGCGTGCGTACGGGTTAATAATCCGAAATTGTTGTACATTTAACTAAAAAAAAAAAAAAACAAAATAATGAATAATATACTTAATATAAACAACGTTTAAGAAATCTGAAGAGAAAATTGTTATAAAGTGTACCCAATATAACATTGGTACGTATATTATTGTATAGTCATATAAATCCTAAAAGTGAAAACTGTTGCGAGTAGAAAGTTGAGAAATCGATACTGCTGAATTATAATGTTGAAACTTTTGAATGAAAATATAATGCTCATTATATTGCTGCACCCAAGTAATGAAGACAAAAATGTATATACTTGCGATTTTTTTTAGTTGTTTAATTAAATTTATATTTGGTGTGATTTTTTTCTGTAACGAAGTGGTTGGGGGATTTCTCACAACTGCACATAATTCAAATTATAAGTGTAATTAAAAGTTTATCTGAAATTCTATTTAGTTATTATTCTATTTAGGTCGTAATATAACGAGTTACAGGACAAAAAAATATTAGGGATTTCTTTGAATTTAATTAAAATTTACTTTATACACATTTTTTTAAATTTAATAAATACCAATGCATAGATACTCTAAAAAATTTCATTATTCTGTGAATTAAAAGTAGGTACCTATAATAAACATTTTTTGAAAGAAAAAAATAAAAGACTTTAATAATGTATTCAATTAAAGAAGTACTTATATAACAAACATTTAAATTTGTTTAATAGTCTGAATAAATAAAGAAAGGTTTTTTATTTTTATAATATCTGATTTAAAATTATACTGTAGCTTAATTTCAAGAATTAAGTATATTATATAATTGATAATTATATTATAATAATTTATAATGATAATATTCTCTTTAAAAAAGTGTCTCTTTTTTATATTTTTACTTTTTGGGTATTAATTTGATTATCTGGCATTCATTATTTGTAAATAAAAAAATGATCAGTTAGTATCTACTCAATTGTATAGTCTGTATATGCCTGATGTATTATAGTCGTGCGCAAATTTCATTTACAGATTTTGCATTTAGACATATAGGGTCCCATCACGAAAATATAATTAAAAACATATTGTCATACTTCGCACGGGTAGGCAAACAGTGGCCAGTCAAAATGTAATAAGAAATTGTGAAGATAGAGAGAAAATGTAACATATATTTATATGCAACGATTAATCATTGTTAACAAAAAACGATTCTGAGTGCGCTCACAGTTTGAAGTTCAGTTATAAATGTATTAAAAGGCCGTAATGTTTGAAAACAATACATTTTTAAATTTTCAATGTTTACTCATTTATTATAAAAACCTCTGGAAAGAAGAAAATATTGCTGTAATTTACGTTTCCACAAAAATTTATTTTCAGAAAAGGTGTTATACTTGAAAATCAGAATTATATTTCTGGTTTTTCTAATCATTTTAATTATGTTAAGGATATTAATTTTCAAATGGCGTTATTTCAGAATTAATAATCATATTCATTAATAATTAGTAAAATTTCAACAATAATCTCAGGTTAGTATATAATTCTCGAAAAAAATATACTAGAGTCCGTAATTAAAAAAAAATATTATTATTAATCACTTTACCACTGAGATAATGTATATATCTTGTAACATGTTGAAAGGTATTATTTTTAGTTTTTAATGATTTCCACTAAAAAAAAAAAATGCTGTTAAATAATAATTTTTTTTTTTACTTTAGCCACATAATAATATTATCATAATCATTTTAAATTATTTTCAAATTATTAAAAAAAAAAAAAAAAAAAAAAAAACAAAATCAATGAACGAGTATTTAACAATATATTTACACTATAATTCGTATTATAACACATTTTATTTCACTTGTTTAAACATGAATGTAAAACCTCTTATGGGTTACTAATTGACTGAACTACTGCTGTATGCTGTATGCATAGTATTTTACTTCCTACAGCATTATTATCGCGTATATTATTTTCCATAAATATTTCGGATGATAAAAAATTATTTAGTGTATCCTGAAAAAAAAAAAAAACAATTTCACTTTTAAAATCTATCTGTCAATTTATTAAGCTCAGATATTTAACAATAGA